TCCGGAAAGGGTTAAATAAATATTCATGTTTACGAATTTTTATGGCTTCTTTTACGTCGCATAAGTCAAATTCCCTCCGGCGAAAATCTTTTTTTTCTCCAAATTAATCCGTTTTGGGGCTAATTAAAATGATGCCCAAACAAAAATCTGGAGAGAAAGTCTACCTTTTCATTTGCTTCGAAAACATCCTTTTTATTGTTACAATTACTTTATATTTTCTTTAAGCGGGAGACATTAAAAAAAACCTTTTTTTTTGCATACTGCGGCCAACGCAATCCAGTGGCAAAAAATGCTCCATTTTGCATCCGCGGGTACTAGTCGCGCCATAAAGTCCGTAGACTTTTTTCGGCGACGTCGCATGGTGCGCCCAAAAACTGCATGTCGTTAGTGCAAAAATCGTAGGCGAACAAAGCGCACTGTTTAAAACACGACTTAGTTGCCTAGTAATGGTCGATTACTGTAAAAACATTAAATTGCAAATTACAATAGATTAACGAGAGAATTAGGGAAAAATATTTCAGCAATATGTTTACTGGATGCCTGCAGTCATTTTAAAAGCAAAAACTCAAAATCCATTTTTTTCTATGTGCACGGCTGATTCAGTGATTCAGAAATCGTGTTTTAAATTCTATGGACTTTTCCAATCCTTCCAAAAAGTCGCCGGACTGACCTTTGGCGCTTGCACTGTGCTAAAAAATAAAGCTAAAACTTTTTTTTGCGGGGTCGTACCTTTCAAAAAATCCCGGTTTTTCGGCGCAACCAAGCGATTTCAAGGCTTATAAAATAAAAATCCACATCTTACTCGACAGACTGATAATAGTCGCGCCGTAAAGTCCTCGTAGAATATGTTTTGAAATTTGGCCGACCCCTATTCTGTGTATCGCACGTCGAGACCTCCTTTGTTATTTTCAAAAACACTTTTTTTTGATTATTCGATTTTTAAAAGTCCCATTGTCATAAAAACAAATCTCTCTCGGGTTAAACCTTACAAGGGAAGCGCTTCAGATGTTGGTGAAACTTGGTGCATTTTTTGAATATTGTCTGGTAAAGATACGGATAAAAAAAGTGTTTTTCTCTGCCCGCTCTCCGTGCTTTGCGAGCTCTCTTGTCGGAAAAGATGGTAAAACATTTCGACATTAAAAGTTTGGCCTCATTTTTACTGCAATGACTGATGTTTGCACACTGGCAAAGACCTCAATCTGAAAATTAAAATCAGATTTTTTTTTATTTTTAAATATTTTATTTTGAAATTCATTGAAATTATTCTTTTTTTTGTACCATTTTTTTATTTTTTTAAAACTTTTTTGGTGTTTGTTGGATTTCGACGTTCAATTGCACTTCCTTAGCAGCGCGTCGACTCGAATACTAATCTTCAATTTTTGAAGCCCACGTAGCGATGGTATGTATATATACATATTCATGTATTGAGAATGCTCTGAATACCAATATGTTATAAATAGTATTAGACGGGCCAAAAAGTCTTTACAGGCCTGTGCACTGTCGTGAAAAGACCTTGTCGCAACTTTTTAATCGGCGACGAGAAAAGATGGAAAGCTTGCCACAAAAAAGTCATAAAAAAGCGTAATATTAGCATTTTCACAAAGTGCCTGGACATTTTTTGCTTTCGCACAGTGCATCTTGAATCTTTGTTGCCAACGCACTGTGGACGCGGTTTTTTTTACAAGGAAAGTACTTTTATGGGGGCTCCTACTTTTTGACGGGACATATCTCAAAAAATCAGAAAAAATGTGCTGATCAAGGATATATAAATCCTAGCTGCCCATTTTAGGTTTTTAGGGGTGAAAATGCCCAAAAACTGGCTTAATTTGCCTGCAAAAGGCGCAGGCATTCGAAACGATAAAAAGCGCAGTCGGTCTCTTCCTCACCTAAAATACTTTTGGTTCACCCTAATAACCTAAAATGGGCAGCTAAGATTTATATATTCTTGATCAGCACATTTTTTTTGATTTTTCGAGATATGTCCCGTCAAAAGGTAGGTGCCCCCATAAAAGTACTTTCCTTGTGAGGTTCGCACCATGCAAACCTCAAAAAAGCCGATTGCACTGTGCACATTTTTGAGCCAAATCGCAGTGGCGCAATTGAGAAAAGCTTACGTCGCAGCGATATTTCAAATGCACAGTGCAAACCCAAAAAAAGGTGAATGCACGGTGCAGAAAATCGGGGGCTTTTGTGCACAATGCGGCGCAAAAAAAAGTCTACGCACTTTATGAAAATTCTAAAAATCGTTCCAAAAAAGGGCATAGACTTTTTTTTGCATCGCACAGTGCATTTTTCTTCTTTTTTGGCAGCGATTTTTCAACTGCAAAGTGCTGAAAGTTTGTGACAAAAACTCCATGCACTTTTGAAAGAGCGTCATAATAAGTGTGTGTCCAAAGTGTGTGAAAATTTAACGAAAATCCTCGGTTGTTCAAAGACTTCCTTGTCTTTCTGGTCTCATCAAACTTTAATTTAATCCGAGGACCAGCAGAAAACTAAGAAAAATAGATTTTTTTCTGGCTTTGCATGTCGCCATTTTCCTGTTTTTTCCGGCACAAAAATAGCAAAAAAAGCCGACTGGTCGGCCATTTTTTTAGAAAATTCGGATTTTATATTTATTTCTGGATTTCGTGCAGAATTTCATTTGCTTTTTTTCTTGTAGTCTACGGTATTTTTATCAAATTTATGGTCGATTAAACATTTCGGAAGTCTGAAACAGAAATTTGCATCGAACCCGGAGGAAGTGGATTTGAAAGGACGCGGAATTTCATTTTTTTATTTTTTTAATTTTTTTCATTTTTGGGTAGTGTTTGAGTTGTTATTTTTGAACCGTGAAAAGTGATTTTTCAAAAAAAAAAAAAAAAAAAAAAATTTAATAATTTTTTAATTTTGCTCTTGTAAAAAATTGATTTTATAAGCTAGAGTCATAAAAAAAAATGTTTTTTTTGAAATTTCAATCATTAAAAAAAGTGGTGAACTAAATTATTTATCGGCTCATTACAAACTCGATCTGTACGGGGCACGGCATTCTGTACTTTTGGGACACAACCGGCCTCCGCGACTTTTTCAATTTTTTCGACGTGCGCTTGCTTTTTATCTCCATATCTCGCTAGCCGTATGCGCAAGAAGGCTGAAATTTGGTATGGCAGTAGAGTAAAAAGATGGCTTTCAGAAAATATAAATATTGTAGGGGTTACAATATAAATATTGTAACCCCGCGGAACAAACTTTCCGATGACAATTGTACTTCATAACTCAGCTCGTGACGTAACGAATAAGATGAAATTTGGCCATCTTGTAGAGAATCGAATTTGACACACATAGACACGAAGAAATTTGTCAATACGATCATGCAAGATGCACTTCTGGGTTGCCGAAGATTTAAAAAATGAGATTTTTTCAATTGTCATCGGGAAGTTTGTTCCGCGGGGTTCCTTAAAAGATTTATATTTTCTGAAAGCCAGCTTTTTACTCTACGGCCATACCAAATTTCAGCCTTCTTGCGCAAACGGCTAGCGAGATATGGAGATAAAAAGCAAGCGCACTTCGAAAAAATTGAAAAGGTCGCCGAGACCGGTTGTGTCCCAAAAGTACAGAATGCCGTGCGGGGCGTAGTTCAGGTGGATACCCGAAAAAAGTTTCAGGAAGTGCCGACGAGGCCTGGCAATCTTATGATTTCTATTATACTAACTAAGCGTTCTCCTAGCCTAGACATGGCTCGTCGGCCGGCCCGGCCCGTTTCAAATTTTCCGTCGGCCCGGCCCGGCCCGTTTTAAATTTGCTTCGGCCCGGCCTGGGCCGGCCCGGGCCGGCCCATTGAAACGAAAGTCTCCCCAAGTCGTCTCCTTATGACCAAATTTTTTTCCATCATCGTGTAAATGGATACATACTGTGTTCCATAGCTGTCTAAAAACAAAACCTTTAAAAAAGCCAATTGTGTCTTGACATTGCGTTTATTTTCATTATCAAACCCAATTTTCGCTTCGAGATTCTGGATTTTAAATATTCGGGGCCGGGCCGGGCCGAAACGCCGACCCGGCCGACGGGCCGGAAATGGTCCGGCCGGCCCGGCCGATCTGAAATCGAGCCGGCCCGGGAGCCATGTCTATCCTAGCCTGATCCATGCTTACAACGACGACCCGTCGCGGCCCATAGTACCATTGGCCCGAATTGTTATTGACCCGAAAATTCGTAGCTCCTGTTCATCGACCGTTGAGGGGAATGTGATTTAGCAAAAAAACAAAAAATTTTTTTTTTTGAATTTTTGGTCGTTGGAAAAAACGGATCAACTGGGTTCGTCGTATTTTAAAAACATCATTTTTCAAAAAAAAAAACTCCTTTTTTCATCCTTTTTTGTCCCACTCCCAAATTTTTTTTTATTTTCGTCCCTAACTTTTCATAATGTTCTATTTTTTCCTGACCTTCTATGACAACTGTTCGTCATCCACAGTATACGTCAGTCCCCACCCTCGAGTTTCCATGGATTTACAAAGCAAAAACGAAATTGTTGAAATATTTGGATTTCATTATATTCACCTAGATGTTCATGGATAATATCCGATTTTTCGAGTCAAAAAAATAATGACCAATAGTTTATTAAAGTGTAAAAATTATTTTAAAAGGCTAAGGAGTCGTTCTTAGTTAGCCAATTTATATTTATAAAGAGTTACAGTACTTTTTTGGGGAGTTTTTTATTATTCATGTCATTTTTGATGATTTTTGACCAAAAAATCTCATTTTTTTACAATTTTTGTATTTTTTTGACCATATAGAATTCCATCGTATTCTACAATTAATTTCACTTTGATTTTTATTTAAAAAATCGCTATATTTAACGAAAAATTTAAGATTTTTCGAAAAAATCTCAATTTTCCTCCGTTTTCCCTCGTTTTCTTCAATTTCCCGCCTCTAATCCAACAATTTTTCAGTTATCATTGTTATGTAATATCCCTCACAGCACTAGCCTCAAATCACGACCAAAAATTTGCACAATGCCTAAGGCGATGTACCCGTTTAATCGGGCCGAATCAATTCGCGCGGAATGCGCCGAGAACCGCGCCGAAACCGAAAATGAGTCCGAAGAGTCGATCCACCTCGACGTGGCATCCAATTCCTCCGATTCTGGATGCCCTGTGCTTCCAGTCGAGACCCAGATTGCCCAACGAAATGAGGAGACGGCCGGGGAAATGGGGAACAATCAGAGTTTGGCCGACCAATCCAAGAGTTTCCTCGCCGATCTGCTGGAAATCTCGTTGCCCACGCAGAACGTCGGGCAAAGTGGACGATTGTAAGTGGTACCTTGGTTGTAGAAGACATTCTTACATTGATTTATTTTTTACGAAAAGAAAAAAAATTTCGGAGGGAAGTGAGATTCGAACCTGCGACTGTTTGACTGATAGGTTGGAATTTGAACCACTAGACTATTGAGGTACGGGCTGATTTTTTACCGTAATTTAGTGGGAAATGGCTGGGAATGACTGTAAATAGCTCTAAATTTTTTATTTTTCGACTTGAAGAATATAAAAAAGCTTCCAAAAATATTTTTCAAAAGATGCCTGAAAATTTTGCCTCAGGCAAATTGTTTCAAAAATCCTTTTTTTAAATCATTTTCCGTCAATTCGCTAAATTCTTCACGTAAAAAATGACCCTCCTTCACGGAACGTTTTGATTCCGCCCCAGGGCATCGGCCCAAAGATTAATAGCCGGTTCGCCGCAAAACCCGCAGACATTTTCCGCCGAATGCCCTGAGGCGAAGCGAAATGGGACAATCGGGAGGAAAGGTTTCAAATCCCGACCTCAAGTCGGATTTGTCATCAAAAAGTGCAAAAGAATTGCCTTTTTTCGGACCCGCTCTTGAAATAGACCCCCTTTTTTCGGAGGTGGCTAGAATTTCCGTTAAGCTTTGTGTTTTTAAATATTATGTTTGAAAACATTTCTCTTGCGTGGGAAATGCAGAACGCCTCCGTTCGGATAATGACAAACATGCTCGCGAAGCGGAATGACCATTTTTGGAACGGAGATATTTTGAGTTGATTTTGAGAATTTTTGCTTTCCAAGATTTGAAAATCGCTGGAATCGTTCCTTTGTAGACGTGGCAATTGGGCTAGGCGTTCATCGGGCTGAGGTAATCTCGAAAAACCGCATGGCCGGGCTGATGAAAATTTCATCGTATAAAATGTCGCCTCGGATTTTAAGAAACTCAAGCAAATATTTTTATCGTATAAAATGTCGCCTCTCATTTTGAAAGGATCAACAAAATCTTTTTATTTATTTGAGAAATTTTATACAACGGAACCTATACAAAATGTTTCATCGTATAAAATGTCGCCTGCCGTTTTGGAAAAATCAAGTAAAAATTTTTATCGTATAAAATGTCACCTCTCATTTTGAAGGTATCAACCAAAGCTTTTTATTCATTGGGGACGTTTTATACGACGAAACCTGTCCAAGCATGTTTCATCGTATAAAATGGTCGTTTATAAAATATGTAAAAATTGCGGCTATTTCTACCGTAGAGAGTGACCTTTCCACAAAAAATACATTTTTTCCACACAAAACTGGCAATAATATTGCCAAAAAGTGATTTCCTCTGACCGCTCTCCGCGTTTCGCGTACTCTCTCGGCCAGAAAGATCGTTGAATATCTCGGCTCTAGCTGCAAAGCGCCAGTTAAAACTTCGAGGACTTGGTATGTGACTCATGTTCGACTTGTGTGCCAAATTTAAAGAAAATCTGAGCTTTGCAACTTGGGCTACTTTGAGTGGTTGGATTACAGTCCTAAAATGACGTTTCAGCCCTAAAAGTGCATTACCATAACCACGCACCGCCTCCAATTACGGTGTCTGGCGTATTATTGTTTGTTTGCTCAAAAATCCTCAGACAACATCTACTGCGATTTAAGTATTAGATTATAAGTACATAATGATATTACGTATACTTCCTAATGGTAAATATTTTCGGGCAATTGAAGGGAAATAAACATTCACTTTTGAAGTCACGCCTTTAGGAATTTTTTTTTGAAAGTGCTGATTTTCTTTTAATTTTGCGTACTCTTTGGCGGCGAGTCCACATTTGCGGGTTTGACATCATCAAGCAAAAATTTTTTAATGTCTAGTATAATATCGGGGTATTGCGGGTAGCAGGTAGACTTTTTGCAGCCTCGTCATATACGGTTTAAAAGCGCAATTTCTAAATAAATTTTTAACTCGCGCCTTGCTGGGAGAGTCGAGATATTCGACGATTTTTGAGAGATTGCGCAAAACGCGGAGAGCCGCCAGAGAAAGAAAAACTTTCGACCATATCTTTGACAGTTTAACCGAGAAAAAATGACTTTTTGCGGAAACATTACCCTCTACGGCAGAAATAGCCACAATTTTGAATTATTTCGCAAACGACCATTTTATACGATGAAACATGTTTGGATAGGTTTCGTCGTATAAAGTGTCTCAAACAATTTTTTGTGGAAACATTACCCTCTACGGTAGAAATAGCCACAATTTTGACATATTCCGCAAACGATCATTTTATACGATGAAACATGTTTGGATAGGTTTCGTCGTATAAAATGTCTCAAACAAATAAAAATATTTTGCCAACTTCCAACCCAAAAATCTCGGTCTTTTCTGCAAAGCGCGAGCATTTAATCATGCATAACTAGACAAAATTAGTCTATGTTTATGTTTGCGCCATGTTTATCCAAGTCTGCGAGTCTACATTTCAACCACTTCCCTTGTTAATTGTAATGTTTTCAAACGTTTGAAAAATCTCTTCCAAGAACATCCCTCCTAAGGGGCTCTGTTCTGCCGCGCCGGTGCAATCGAATCTCCGTCTAATTGGGAAATGTTTCGCGGAAGTATACAGATTTTATATTGCATTTTCGGGCGTGACTTGCGGCTTCAAATCTGTTTTTAAAGCCAGGAATTCACGGCATTCAATGTTGGTCTACGGTAACGGAAAAGAGATGGATGAAAAAACTGACCCGTAAGTTATGAAATAATAGATTTTTTTGTCTGTGCGACGCTCAGATTGTGATGAAAATTGGCATAAATTTAGAATAATTTTCTTTGAGATATTTGCAAAGCATTTTCATAAAGTGTATGGACATTTGTCGCGGCCAGCACCGTGCACAAAATCCCCAATTTTTTGCACTGTGCATTGGCGACAAGCGTGAAAACAATCGAAAAAAGTCGGGGTGCGAGCGATAGCCCTAAAAGCCTATTGAACCGTGCGAGAAAGTGCACTGTGCAAAAAAAACTTTTGTTTTTGCAGGGTGCGTGTCGCCGATTTCAGACCGGCGACTTTCCGGAAGGGCTAGGAAAAGCATGGGGTGGGTCAGAATGGTTTCCATCGTTTAGTCAGTATCAGATATATTCATAGCGGGACATACAGTGGCGGACCTGATCCAGCACAGTGAGGGACCGGATCCAGTGGCAAAAAACGTCCCACTTTGCATCCCGGAAGGGACCAAAACGTCTCCAAACCCTTCCCTTCTCTAACAATAAGCTAAAAAACTCCGCTTTGAAAAGCGCGCCCTTTCCTTCAAGGCGGGCTCTTCAAAGCGGGGTTTTTTAGCTTAGAGAAGGGAAGGGTTTGGAGACGTTTTTTGCCACTGGATCCGGTCCCTGACTGTAGCAAGGAATGCACAATTTTGCACTCGGGAAGTATCAAAAAATGTGGCAAAAGGCCTCCTTCTCTAACTAAAAAAGAGTTCACACGGCTTTTGAAATCGAGGTTTTTTCACTTGGAGAGAGAGGTATTTTGCTACATTTTTGATACTTCCCGGGTGCAAAATGGTACGTTTTTGCCACTGGATCAGGTCCGCCACTGTAGTGTTTGCAAAATCCATCGGTCCTCCACTCCAGCAATCGCTGTTTCCATCTTCTTTTGTCTTTTTCTTAGCTCCGTGTTGGTTGTTCGTTTCATATTCGTTTCCACGCTTCCAATTGATCATACGTTGATGGTGAGGACCTGGAATCCATTGTGGTTTATGCCTACTGTCCACGCGAGGCTCTTTGTGCCCGCAACGGCATGGGTGGACAGGAAAACCGACTTTGTGAAGAAAAAAGCGGAATTTTTCATAAGTAATCATGCAAAATCTCATCGTATCTTTCCAAATTTTGTTCTCTAGTTTGTTCTACTCTTGACCAAAAAAAAATCAGAACATAAAAACATAAGTCACATGCACTTGCACTCAGCCATTTCCGGAGTCCTTAATCATCCCCGTTTACCGTAATTAATAACCCCCGAAACATTTTTTTTCGTTTTTTTGTCAGATTGTTTTCGGAGACGTCGGCCGCAGGCGGCGAACGTCCAAAAACGTCCTTTTCTGAAACAGAAAACATATCAAAGTGTGGGGATAAAGTGGTCTTAGGGAAAATGTTGAGCTGAAATGCGCGCAATGACGCAAACAAAATATTTTTTGTAGCTTTCTTGGCGCTATAAGAAACTTTTTGCAAGCTTGAACTTTTTTGGAAAATTTTTATTGTTTTAGGGGGTTTGTTACCACTTTTTTGTTAAATATAGGTTGAAATACTCAGAAATATCATTTCAAAGCTTTTGAAAAATTTTTCTAAGGTAAGTCTCAATTTATACGATGAAACATGTCCGGAGTAGTTTTTGTGGTATAAAATGTCGCCTGAGCTTGCAAAATATGAAATATAATCTCTAGTGGCGGATCTAGTCGATATTCAACGCGTTTTTGCAAGATTTCAAATAAACACTATTTTAAACAATGAAACATGTCCGGAACAGTTTTGGTCGTATAAAATGTCCCATAGACTTGCAAAATTTATCACACATGCTTACATAGCCGATATTCAACGTCTTTTTGCAAGATTTCAAATAAACACCGTTTTATACGATGAAACATGTCCGGAGTAGTTTTGGTCGTATAAAATGTCGCTTTCAATTTCCAGAATATTTCTGGACTTTGGGACGTTCTGATTTTTTCTAAATAAGCCTTTTTTTACTCTGTGTTCATATGATGGCTCAAAAGTGAACTTTAACTTCATTTATCGGATATTTGATATGTCTAGCGCATTCAACGTTCCCGTTATTCCTTGCGTTCTTCGGAAAAAGTTTAAGAATGCCCTTCTAAGCAACTTATTTTTATTTCCTCGCTCGGAATGCCTAATAGACCGTTCCCAAATTGCTCCGGGTTTGGGTTTAGAAAGCGCATTGGACGAAACGGGGTTCAAGACGCACGAAGAGTCTGAAGGTCAACTTCCAGAGGAAGTGTGTACTTCAAGTGCAAGCTCAGATATTTATTATATAATACGATGCTAAATTTTTCATCGTATAAAATGTCACCCTAAAAATTATTTTGCGATTTTTTACTATTATAGTAAATTTAATTTGCTTGTAAAAAGATCATAGAAAGATATTTTCTAAAAATTTTTAAGAAAGGCCGTTTTATACGACGAAACATGTACGGGATATTTTTTATCGTATAAAATGTCGCCTTAAACAAAACTTTGTAAACTTGTTTACTTGTAGCTTTTTACTTATAAAATCTTAAAATTTTGAAAAAAATGCCATCTTATACGACAAAACGTGTCCTGAGTACTTTTATCGTATAACATGTCACTCAAAAATTTTTTTGTGTTTATAAGAGAAGTACGTAGGCATAGGCCGCATATCAATTCCTCGCGCTTTGCAGTGGCCGCCGAGATATTCAACGATATTTGCGGCCGAGAGAGTACGCAAAATGCGGAGAGCGGTCAGAGAAAAATTCCCACTTTTTGGCCATGTCTTTCCCAGTTTCGCGCAGAAAAATTAATTTTTTTAGAAACATTAAAATCTACGGTGTAACTTTTATTTGTATCCTCATTTCCATATCATATATTATATTATATATATTTATTTGTATGTATATATAATACTATAGTAGCTGTAAAAACATCCATTTCCATATTAATTACCGGCAATATAACGGTCTCGTGGTTGTCGGGGAATTGTCAGACTCTCCCTGGAGGGCAATTTTTCTACGTCAAGAATTGGGTGCGAAACGATTTATCATCCTACTTGACAATGGAAATTGGCCGAAGCAATGGCCAAAACGCCTCCGTCTCATTGAACCTCAGATTTTGATGAAACTTGGCACAACTTTAGATTAATTTTTTCTAACCCCTTTGCGAGACTTTTAGCTTGCGCTTTGCAGAAATGGGAGAGATTTTTAGTCCGAAGTATGGTAAAAAATGAGATTTTTTTGCGATTTTTGGCATGAAAATTTTCTTGCCTATTTCTACCGTAGCGGATAATGCTTCCACAAAAAATTATTTTTTCCGCATGACACTGGCAATGTTATGGCCAAAAAGTGGGTTTTCTCTGACCGTACTCCGCATTTTGTGTACTCTCTCGGCCGTAAAGATTATTGAATATCTCCGCTGCCAGGGCAAGTTAGCCTTTATTTTTGAGTTTTTTTGCGTTGAAAAAATTGATTTTTTCGAAAAAATATCATTTGGTGACATTTTATACGAAAAAATTCCCGGACAGGTTTTATCGTATAAAATGACATTTATTTGAAATTTTGCAAAAAATCTTTGAATATCGACTTTATCCACCACTAGAAATTATTTATCACACTTAGAAAGTTTAGGCGACATTTTATACGACAAAAACTACTCCGGACATGTTTGATCGTATAAAATGACATTTCGATGCTATTTTGCAAAAATGCTTTGAAAAGCGACTATATCCACTACGGAATATTGTATTTCAAATTTAGCAAGTTTGGGCGACAGCTTATACGACGAAAACTACTACGGACATGTTTCATCGTATAAAATGACTTTTGGCATTGAAAAATATTACAAAGATGATGAAATGATATTTCTGAGTATTTCAACTCACATTTGGCGAAAAAGTAATCTAAAAACCTATATTTTTTACTACCTTATCAAGCGTAATTAACATTACTGCTTACTGATTTTTTATTCAAATTTTTTTTTCTTTGTTATTTTTTTGTTGTTGTCTACCGTACTTGTCCCAAAAAAATAATTTGGAATTCTTTTCAGCAGTGCGTTCGGGGCTCACGGTGTCTTCATGGGACTGGGCCGTATGCCCTTCCAGATCTCGAACAACATGAGGACGGTTCTGATATTTCTCAAATTTCTGGGCTTCTTCCCTGGTTTTGTCCGTGAACGCAAACGCAATGGAAAACGGTTTATGATTGTGAGTGTTGGTTGGTTTATGTTTGGGTGACATTTTATACGACAAAGGTTCATTGGACATGTTTCATCGTATAAAACGGGATTTTTTTAAAATTTGATGGGTAATCTGCATAACAAAATCCCCAAGGCGCTGAGAAAATTCCAGCGACTTATGACGACATTGTATACGATGTAACCACTCCAAACATGTTTCATCGTATAAAATAGCATCTCTTAAAAACTTGAAAAAAATAAATATTCATTCTTGTTTTCTACCATTTGAATTGTTCATCCTTTTGGCAGTTTTTTATTTAAGCGACATTTTATACGATTAAACATGTTCCATCGTATAAAATGGCACTCCTTCAAAATTTTGCAAAATTGCTTCACATGGGTGAATTGTCATTTTTTGACGTTTTTAGTATTACCAAATTATTATTTATTAGTCCAGGTGACATTTTATACGATCAAAACATGTTTCATCGTATAAAATGAAACTGATCTAAATTTTGCAAAAATGCATCACAATTATTTTTAGCTTCGTCTCACTGCCTGGGCTCTCACCATTTTTGGCATCTTCCTCAATCTATACTTCTTCAAGGCCAACGTCATGATGACGTTTCGGTATCACAAACACTTTGGTTTTCTTCATGCCACCACCGTTTCCACAATCATAACAGGAATAAAGCCGTTCATAAACGCAATGTTGCTGTTTTTAATGGTAATACGCCTCAAATCGCACGTGAAAATGCTGAGTATGATGGACAACGTGGATCAGAGTTTCAAGAAGTCTTTTGGGAAATCCCCGCCTATTCGGCGCTATAATAAGATTTTTGGCGGAGTCGCTTTATTTTTTGTTATATTACCCTTGACATATCGGATCTTTGAGAGCCTCTGGATGGACTATCATTCGAGACAAAAACGGTAAGACGTCATAAAAATAATAAATCAACTGATTAGAAAATTTCCGATAGGGTGACATTTTATACGATAAAAATTTTCTGAACAAGTTTCATCGTGTAAAATGGCATTTTTTAAAATCTTTACAAAAATATTCTTAGATTATTATTCAACTAAATTTAACAATGAAAAAACTGTATAATAATGATTAAGGTGACAATTTATACGATAAAAAAGTTCCGAACATGTTTTTTCGTATAAAATGACACTTTTTAAAATTTTTCCTACGTTGTTATTATATAGTAAGTAAATCAAATTTATCAACCAAAAATGCGAAATTTCTAGTAAAAGTGACATTTTATACGAAAATTTTTTCCGGACATGTTTCATCGTATAAAATGGCGCTTTCTCAAAATTTTCTAAAAAAATATTTTTGTATAGTAAGTAAATTGGATTCATATATAAAAAATTTTAAAATTATTAATAGGGCGACATCTTATACGATTAAAATGTTTCCGGCATGTTTCATTGTATAAAATGGCCTTTTCCGGAAATTTTCTAAAAATAAATTCGCTTGACTAAAAAACATGTTAACTGCGCTAAAACCGCATTTTCAGGTCGAATTCCGAATGGCTAACCGACGTTTCTTTCATTTTGGTCCCTCTTCTCACTGCCTGGAACATGATTCCCCTCTTCTACTACGTTTTCTGCAATCGGGTGGTCTGCTATTGGTGTAGGACGCTGAAAAAATGCATCCAAAGAGAGCATGTGAAGCGACAGTTCAGCTTGAAATTCTACTACGAGCAGTTTTTGAGGATCACTGCGGTTCAGGTAAAAAAAATTTTTTGAGATTTTTCAAACTAAAAATCGCAATTTAGAAGTCAATTGGGAGTGTTTTCAACCCGATAATATTCTTTTCGCTGGCATGGTCACTGTTGATGCTCAGTCTGACAATTTATTTTATTACTCAACCGGCTTCAAGGTAAGGATTTTTTTCGTATTTTAGCCGTGTATATATCGTTTTTGATCTCTAGAATTTACGACTTCCCCCTTAGAATTTACATTTTGCTTATGAAATTTACGTTTTGCACCTAAAAATTCACGTTTTTCTTCAAAAATACTTTCGGATACTTTTTGATCGTTTTTGACGTTTTTTAAAAATGTGATTTTTTAAAGAATTTTAAAGTTTTTTAATTATAATTCTAATATTTTCTGTCGGCTTTTAAGGGTTTTACTGGATTTTAAAGCGTTTCTGAGGTATTTTGATACTTTTTGATACTTTTAAAAAAAGCGTTAAGTTTTTGGTCTTTCTCAAAAAAATTCTATTTTTTGAGGTCTCCATGACCTTGCAACATTACTTTTATCCCTAAATTTAATATTTTTCTTGAAAAATTCCTTTTGGATACCTTTTGATCGTTTTTGAGGGTTTTTGAAAAATTGATTTTTTGAAGACTTTTTGAGCTTTTTTTATCATAATTCTTGTATTTTCTATCGGCTTTTGAGGGTTTTACTGGATTTTAAGGCATTTTGAGGTATTTTGATACTTTTTGATACTTTTAAAAAATTTAAAATTTTTTTTGAGAAATTTCATTTTTTCACCTTCACAAATTTACATACGTTTAATATCTCTGAAAAAGTGTCCGTTTTTCTTCAAAAATATCTTGGATACTTTTTGATCGTTTTTACGTTTTTTTGAATCTTGATCGAAGAACAAGGCAATCATTTTTTCAAAAACCGAGAAAAAAAAGACAAAAAATAACACAATTCTTTAAAAGGACTTCAAAAGTGATCAGAAAGTATCCAAAAGTTTCAAAAATCTTCAAAAAATTTTAAAAAATCAAAGAGATCCCGAATTTCTTATGCCCATCAAAGATATAAAAAAAGACTTCAAAAGTGATCAAAAAGTATCCAAAAGTCTCAGAAGTCTTCAAAAAGTATCCAAAAGTCTCACAAGTCTTAAAAAATTTCAAAAACCCCTGAAAAATTCCTCATTTTTTTTATCATAAAAAAATTAAAGAAGCCCAAAAGCTCTCAAAAAGTATCCAAAAGCCTCAGAAATGTTTAAAAAAATTCAAAAGACGTCGAGAAATTACCAAATTTTTTACAATCATCAAAAAATGTATTTCACCCCGAATCTCCGAATTCCAGACTCGCCGAGCCCATCACCGTGCAGCAGATCAGCAGCGAAAGGGCGCGCAAAGAGCTCACCGAACGCGTCTACATCAACCTGGGCTGGTCGGCAATTCAGATTACTGTCGCTATAATTCACATTATCTGCATTTGTGCCACGGGGCTGAAGACCAATGAGGAGACGAGGAAGATCATCAGCGCCGTTCTGGCAATCGTCCCGGATTCGAATGCGGATCTGGATCGGTTTCAGGTGAGATTTTTTTGGGGGTTTTGAGGAGGGTATTTGAGGTGTTTTGAGATTTTTTGTATTTCTTTGATGCTTATTAAAAATTAAGTAATTTTTAGTGGTTTTTTGAAGACTTTTGAGGCTTTTGGATACTTTTTGATATGTTTACATTTTTTTGGTAATGATGAAAAATTTAGGATTTTTTCAGTGTTTTTGAGATTTTTGGAGGTCTTTCGTGAATTTTGGATACTCTTTGATCACTTTTGAGGGCTTTTCATTTTTTGATGATTATAAAAAATTTGGCAATTTCTCGACGTCTTTTGAAATTTGTTGAAGATTCTTGAGACTTTTGGATACTTTCTGATTACCTTTGTGGAAACTTAAAAATTTTCTGGCAATCATATAAAGTATTGGGAACTTTTTGGGGTATTTTGAGGATTTTTGAAGACTTTTGAAACTTTTGGATACTTCTTGATCACTTTTGAGGTTTTTTCATTTTTTGATGATTATACAAAATTTGATAATTTCTCGACGTCCTTTGAATTTTTTTGAAGATTTGTGAGACTTTTGGATACTTTTTGAAGACTTGTGAGAATGTTGGATACATTTTGATCACTTTTGAAGTCTTCGGGAAAATTTGGTATTTTTCATCATAATTATGTTTTCTGTCGATTTTGATAATTTTCCTCGGTCTCGACTCCTTTTTGGAGGTAATTTGCCACTTTTGGATACTTTTTGATCACTTTTGAAGTTTTTTTATAACTTCGATGGGCATAAAAAATTCATGATCTTTTTGATTTTTTCAAATTTTTTGAAGATTTTTGAGACTTTTGGATCACTTTTGAAGTTTTTTAAATTGTATTATTTTTCGTCATAATTTTTATTTTTTCAGTTTTTGAGAGTTCTATAAATTTTATCAGGGTTTGATAATACTTTATGAGGTATTTTGATACCTTTTGAAACCTTTAAAAAGTATCCCTTTTTTGGGAGGGTTTTCATGATCTTGCAACATTTTCCCACTTCAATTTTTATTTTTAGATTTCCTGTTTCGTCCACAAAATGTCCACCCAATACATGTGGGGGATGACGGTGTGGCGCGCGTTTCCGCTCGAACGCACAACATTCTTCACGGTAGGCGGGGTTTATTGTGTAGTTTATTGCCGTGTTCATTCAATATTCACAACAAAAAGATGATTCGAAACAAGGACAAGTCCAAAAAAAAAGTTTTATCAATCTGTCGGGAAAATAATGTGGAATTTTCGCATCGAAAATCCACGTCGCTGAAGTTAAAAGCACAATGATTTTGCAGCGATTCTACTCATTTTCTGAAGCCATTTTCGATCCGACACATCCACATTATTTTCCCGACAGACTGATATTTATATTATAAAAAAATCTCAAAAATAATATGCAAATTTCCAGCTGGTCAGTGTGATGTTCACCTACTCCTTCCTGCTGCTCAAACTCAAAGACAACCCGGCCGTTTCTCCGATCATCCGTCAGATCATCCAAATCAATGGGACCAACGTCAAAGCCGTCCTCTGAAAGCTTCGTATCACCCGTATTGCGTGTACTGTACATACTCTCTGACCTTGTAAATTTCTTTGTTATTATAGCTGATAAATGCTTGTTATTTTTCGTCGCAAAATTTTGGGTTATCTCTCGACTTTCAAGCGCTTAAGAAAGGTCATTTTATACGATCAAACATGTTTGACTCTTTTTTGTATAAAATGTCGCCTAAACTAGGAAAATGTAAAATAAAATAGTGATGTAAAAAGTCCAATCCGTTTTTGCAAAATTTCATGTAAATACCATTTTATACGGTGAATCATGTCCGGAGTAGTTTTTGTCGTATAAAATGTCGCCCGAATCTGCTATATGTCAATCGAAATTTCTATTGGTGGATATGGTTGCTATTTAAAGCGTTTTCGAAAAATGTCATGTTAATGCCATTTTATACGATCAAAGATTTCTGAATTTTTTATCGTATAAAATGTCGCCCGAATCTGCTATACGTCAATTGAAATTTCTATTGGTGGATATGGTTGCTATTTAAAGCGTTTTCGAAAAATTGTGCCATTTTATACGATCAAAGATTTCTGAATTTTTAATCGTATAAAATGTCGCCAAAACCTGCTAAAGTGTGCAAATGCTATTAGAATTTTTAGTGTTGCACTAGGAACTCTCCCCTTGTAAAATAACACACTTGAACATACTATTTTTTCATAAACATGTGCACTTTATCGATGCCAGTAGCCCTCCCCGCGTTTGCACACAAAACCCCCGATTTCCGCAGTGATCTGACACAGATCTCGACGCAGCGAGATAACGCCGCTTCGGCGACGGGATCCGAGAACGACGATGATGAATGGAGCCAGCGAAATCAGGTCAACCGAAGCGACGAGAGGCCTTTTTTGTCGCGGCGAAGACCATTTTTCGATCGGGACGGATGACTTGTGCCCCTCTCCGATCCGATGTTTGTCATATGGGCTTTGGTTTTGAAGGGTTTCTGGATTCGTTCTTGTCATTTCTCTTGTCAAAAGGTCATATAATTCGAGGAACTTATAAATCTCAATATGTCCAGAAAATTCCAGAAAATGTGTCACGATGACACCACTTTAAATTGTGTCAATGATGTGATCAACGGCTCTATTGAGGTAGGAGTGCTCTCTACAGTACCCAGAAAGAAATTTACGTTCAAAGTTTTTGTAATGAGCGATTTGGATGACGGATTTTCTGGATTTTCCGTCGTGCGAGGCCAAAATTTTTTGACCTACTGTAAGTCGTACTCCTAGCCATATACAGCCGTTTTTTATACCACTGGTACATTTTAAAATGGTGTCATCGTGACATATTTACTGGACACACAAGGATTTATATACAAGTCCCTATTAATATATATATGTAGGTTCATTATAGCCTAAAATAGTGTACTGTGGTTTTCGCAATTGTTTGTTAGAGGCAGGTTTCGTTCAACAGGACTTTGTTGTACAAGGTGGGCCAAAAAGTCGGGATAAAAATCAATTCCACAGAGCTTCTTCCGTGCGCCCTGAGAATCATACCTTTTTGCATGTTCAGCAAAGGTTTCAGTCGGCGTTCTATGCAGCAACAGCAATGCCATGGTTAGGGCCTATGCTCAGCCTGCGCTGCAATGCTTGTATCAACGTGTCCCATAAGTCTTGCAAATTTTTGGGTCGTCGATTTGTCCGAATTCCTATGAACTTTGAAACGCGTTAAGGGATACGTTGTATATACGGTTTTGAACCTGAGCTATTGCGCTTCAAAACGGTGTATGGTAAGGCTCCATAAAATCCAGCTGCTACCCATACTGCCCTGATATTGTAGCAGAGATTAAAAAAGAATCTTTGGGTCAAAAGGCACAATGATTTATCCGTTTGTCGGGAAAATAATGTGGAGTTGTCGCTGAAAATATCTCTTCTGAACACCTTCCAAGGTGTTCACTTTGCTTAGATGTCTGAATTTTAGCACACGGTCCAATCTCCATCCTATAATGCGGTAGAAAACTATGGCTTTCACTTAAAAAAAAATATTTTTTTTTGTTTTCCCTCACCACCAACAACGATTCTCCGTCGATTACCTGTAATGACAGTGGTCGAACAACCCTTGCTTCAGTAATTATCCCCTTGTTTTGGTCATCTTCCAACTTGTTTTCTCCTCGCCGCACTTAGCTATAAAAACCCCCCTCTCTCCCCGCAAAGAACCATCGGTCGAATGCGCTTTGAAACTCCGTGGCGATATGATTTCGAATCCCTCGCTGACCAGGCGCTGATAAGGTTTCGAAAGCGTGACGGCAATGAGATCGCCGTATTTGTGATCAAACGTCTGAAACCAGTAAATCGCCGACGATGCGTCATCAAAACAGGGGGGATTTGTTGATCGCAAGGTGTATAAAAGTCGGCTTCGTGAAGGAGGCTCGATTATTTCTATGTGTTTACGTGAGTTTATGGTCAACAAAGTAGGTGTAGTAATTTTTTTGGTAGAGTTTTTGGTCGATTTAGTGAAAAAGATAAAAAAGATCTTTTTTAAATATCGGTAATTTAAAAAGTTGTGATTTTTTTGAACCCTGAGGGCAATTTCCAACGGCTCACGACGAAAAAATCGACCTTTCCAATATGCAAATTTTTCTAGGCTTGAATATAATATTTTCAGACATTTTATACGACGAAACGTGTCCAAAATATTTTCATCGTATAAAATGTCACCCTAATCAAAACCTTGTATTTATAAGGGAAATAAGTCAGGCATAGAATACATATCAATTCCTCGCGCTTTGCAGTGCCCGTCGAGATATGGAACACTCTTTGCTACCGAGAGAGTACGCAAAATGCGGAGAACGGTCAGAGAAAAATCACACTTTTTAGCCGTATCTTTGCCAGTTTCGCGGGGAAAAAATTGATTTTTTGTGGAATCATTGCTCTCTACAGTGGAAATCGACACGACATTTTTCGTGATGAAATTTGCCGAAAAAATTGTCGCATTTTTGCCGAATTTCTAGCTAAAAATCTCGGTTGTTTCTGCAAAGCGCGGGCTAAAAATCTCGCATATTTTTTTGAAAAAATTTTTCTAAATTTGTGCCAAGTTTTATCAAAATCTGAGGGTCGTTTTTGGGGTACTTCCTATTAATTTTTTCAATAAATTATTAGACAAAAAGCAAATTTCAAAATATATTTTTTTTTTGATTTGAGGTCCCTATCCATAATATTTTTTGATTTGAAGTCCCTATCTATCATATTCAGCCTTTTCCAGTTCCAAAACGTATATAATTTACTCTCCTCGCTCCCTCACCACCCGGCGCGTCGCGCTTCACTAGAAACCATCTTTTTTCCGGATTTTTTCACGGATTTACCACCGAAAAACTGCAGATTTGGAATGCATAAAACGTATAAAAGTCAGCCTCCTGTTTCCGTCGGTCATTCGTGGCTTTTCCCTCCGAAAAATATAAAAAAATTCGATTTTTTTTCAGAAACTTGGAGTGGAAACCATGGCTAGTTTTATTGTCCTCGCCGTGGCCCTTTTGGCAGTAAATGTGAACGCGCAATGTGACACAAGGTCCGCGATTGGAAGCTACTTGAACTGCTTGAAGGCCGAGCTGGACGCCAAATACGATCCGTTCGAGGACGAGCTGAAGTCGCATCGACGGTAGGTTGAGGAATACGGTTGAAAACAGAGTGTTTTGTATAAAAATCAAGCTTTTTCTGCATAAAACATCAAATTTTACAAGAAAAAATCAAGTTTTTCTTTTAGAAAATCTCATTTTCGAACAGAAGGTCAGGTATTTTCCAAAAAAAAATCTCATTTTTTTCGATAAAAACGACTTTTCTTCCCAAAAAATCCCACTTTCTAACAAGACATCAAGTTTTGGAAAAAGTTCCTTATTTTGGTCACAACAAAGGTACTCCGCGAACTGCGCCCAAGCTTGGGCACTAAAGTTAGAAAAAAACGCTTCGACCTAGCTGGCACTGAATTACTATAATAGCTCTATAGTTTTAAGGGTACCTACGAGGTGATGACGACTCATTTAGTTCTATACGGAGGCAATAAGTTTAGTTCCGGACATGTTTCATCGTATAAAGTGTAAAATCACAGGCTGCAGCCGTTTTTGAAGGGTAAGGTGGTACGTAAAAAAGAAGGTACCTCACTAACTAAATCCACTGTCCGGGCATTGACAACGATGAATTGAGCGTGCACGCTAAATTTGGGCTAATTCCGACCAGTTTCCGCAAAGTTATAAGTTGTGGCCCAAATAAAGAACTTTTACCCAAGTTTTTTCTCCATGCAAAAATTAAATTTTACAACGAAAAGTCATGTTTTCCTCTAAAAATCACCAAATCCAATCAAAAAATCAAGTTTTTCCCCAAAAAATCTCATTTTCGACTGCAAAAAGTTAAGTTTTCCCCGAGAAATCTTATTTTCCGACAAAAAATCAAGTCGAAAAATATCATTATCAGCCAAGAAATAACGTTTTTTCCCCACAAAATCTCATTTTCCAACTAAAAAGTCATCTGTTTCCCAAAAACCCTCCATTTCCAATAAAACCCCAGTATTTTTTTTTAGTTTTCCCCCGGAAAAATCCCATTTTCCGGTCACAAAATCTCATTTTCCGACTAAAAAGTCATATTTTCCCCAAAAAATCAAGTTTTACACACAAAAAATCTGATTTCCCACCAAAAAATCCCATTTTCTCGTCAAAAAATCATCCTTTCTCCCCCAAAAAATCCCATTTCAGCCAAGCCGCGGACACCTGCTTTGCCCACACCATCGCCGAAGCGAACGCTCAGGACCGCTGTGTGTTAGCAGCGGCCGACCTCGAGAGCAAGGCGTGGGATCGGAACGGGCCTCTGCGCGACTGTTCCATCTGCCGGACCTTTGCCTCCGGTGCAATTAAAGCCGTGCTGAACACACCGCCCGAGGACCAGAAGTGCATTCGGACGCAGATCAGCAAGGCCATCATCAAGGAGGCCGAGTTCTGCATGAAGAAGAAGATCAGCGGCTTCCAGGGCCTGCCCGATCTGCCGGATCTCGAGGAGGGATCGTATGCCGTGAAGGAGAAGGTGATTGACTCCATTTCGGACTACATTCTGATCCATTCGCGGCTGACTTTCTGCTCGGAGAGGAAGCCGGAACGCGCCGCTTCCACTCGTCAATGTTTGCAAGCGCCGTTCCCCGGGTACTTGAAACAACACTGTCAATGTAAGTTCAGAACTAAATAGATAGAAAATACAGTAAATAAAGGGCAAAAAATGTACAATTTTGCACCCGGGAAGCATCAAAAATGTGGCAAAATACCTCCCTTTCCAAGTGAAAAACTGTGGTTTGAAGACCGCGCTCTTTCCCTCACAAAACGATCTTTTGAAATTGGGATTTTTTTTCATTTTGAGATGGAAGTATTTTGCCACATTTTTGATACTTTTTGGATGCAAAATGACGTACTATGTGTCCGGAGAAAGCCACCATTAGGCCTGGCTGTCTACAGCGGCTGTCCTGATCTAATGACAAAAAATGTGCATTTTTGCACCCGGGAAGTATCAAAAATGTGGCAAAATACCTCCCTCTCCAAGTGAAAAACTGTGGTTTGAAGAGCGCGCCCTTTCCCTCATAAAGCGCGCTTTTGAAATTGGGTTTTTTTTTTCATTTTGGGAAGGAGGTATTTTGCCACATTTTTGATACTTTTCGGATGCAAAAATGTGGCAAAATACCTCCCTCTCCAACTAAATCTTTTTCGCCACAAATTTTCACTTAACTAACAGTGGTAAAAATGTGCATAATAATCTTTGTTTCGACCCTGTTCTTTCAGCTATTGGCCAATGCGACTCCCAAGCCATTGGAGCCGGCTGCCAGAACGAACTGAAGCAGCACAAGGCCGCCACTTGCTCCTGCATCGATGAGGCGCGCTCCGACTTGAAGAACCGGATCGCCGGCATCGCCGACGCCATCCAACAGGCGGTGGATGGAGGACGTGGAGCGCCACAGATCGGAGGAGGCAGCAAGGTCGATGCTTGCGTCAACAACATCAAACATCAGCTGTAAGTGTGGCTTCTAATCCCAAATTGAGTGATTTTTGCGACAAGCACTGTGCGAAAACTGTTGTTCTCTTTGCACTGTGCAAGAAACACAAATTGCTTTGCACAGTGCAAAAGGCTTTTTTAGGCTGTCGCTCGCACCCTGGCTTTTTCTGCAAAAGCCAAGCGGCAAAAATGACTTCAGTGACTGTGGGCTATCCGTCTGTCGGGAAAATAACGGCCTTGGAATCGCCCATCATCGCTCTGCGACTGAAAGCCGCATTTGGTGCGCGATAGTGGCAAGGCGAGACATTTTGCTACGACAATCCGCCGTTATTTTCCCGACAAACTGATAGTATTATAATACCCGGGTTAAAAATTCCTGATATCTTGCATTTTGCGGCGCCACGCTGCGAAAAACGCGAAAAAAGACCTTCGCACAGTGCAGAATACCCAAGACACTGTTTGCACCGTGCGTTTTGGAGTTTTTGAACATACGTCGCACGCGATGCCCATATTTTTCAGAGCGATGGCTCAGTGTGAAATTTTTTTCACACCGAGCGTTCCTATGCCGTTCACAAAGTCGCTGGAGGGATTTCGGCGACATGCACAGTGCGAAAACAAAAGTTCTCTTTGCACTGTGGTTTTTGCACCGTGCAATAGGCTTTTTTGGGCTGTTGCCCCTGAATTTTTTTTTGCACAGTGCAAAGGCCAGAAATCGCTCCAGCGACCTAGGACTACTACAATTGGCATAAAATGCGTAATTTTTTTTTTTCAAAAAGCACTGTGCATTCGCGACAAAAAACAAAAAAGTCTACGTACTTTGTAAAAATACTGAAAGTATCTCTTTTCTCATCCTTATCCTTTCAGCGTCACCCCCACCAACGACTGGGGAGCCGTCATCGACCAGGCCCTCAACTCCTGCATCAAGAACAAGCCCTCCGCGCAGTCGCTGGGCATCGACTCGCTTCTCAACGTGGGCTGCCGCAAAATCATCGCCGACAACACCGGCACCGCCACAGCGCAGCTGAAGACCGGCTTCGACTTTGTGAACAACCTCATCGACGCCATGGTCGACCGCTCGAAGCGCTTCTGCGGCGGGCCCCACTGCGGCAACTGAGCGCGCGTAATCATTGCCTGTTTATATCGAATAATTTATTCGCCTTTTATTAAATTGAGTCAAATAGTTGGTAAAATACGTCTTGGCTCTTATAGTAATCAAGATCTCCCCCGAAATGGATGAGGAGTACCTGGATATTAGGACCTGGTCTACGGGAGGTAGAGGGCCGCTAGGAGAATATAATGGGATATAAACCCAAGGAGAGAGAATAGGTGGCCGACAAGGGTATTCAATATACGTTTATCCAGCCAAAGAGTCCAATAGCACACAAATAACACACACGAAGATCACGGATAGTCTCGGGTAGTCGGAGGAGGACGAAAGGGGTCGACCGTCCACCGAGCCGGAGAGTCCAATTGCATGAATGAGATCCACCGATTGGCGCGAAGTCGAGCGGTCGGAACGGATTGTCACGTAGAGCGGTTGATCATGGGAAACTCGGGAAATCGATCGAGAATGGGCTTGGATTGACGGACCATCGGGGTGACGCTGGTCCTACTGGATAACATCATCCTAACCTTTGGAAATGAGCATCAGTCAACCCGAAGCACCTAGCTTCAGCTGCTTCACTGAATTGGCTGAAACATCGGGGCCTCTTGTCCAAAAGCCTCATAACCGGGGAAACAAACGCAGTATGCTTTAAAGTTGAAGGCTATTTCCTTCCGCGAGAGGTGAGCTTGGATAACGTGGATCACCGTAGCACATAAAAAAACAAAATTATAGCACATTCGTTTGGTAATAGTGGCAGAATTAAACTGACAAAATGCCGATGGTTCTAACATAGGCGTTGGATTTTTTCGCTGATCTTTTTTATATTAAATCTATAATTTTGTAATTGCTGAATCATTAACACATAATCTAGGGTTTAGGTGACTAAATTTACCATAACTTGACGTTAGTTTTCGGCTATGGGCAAATGTCGGCAGATTTTTAAAATAAACCCAGAATCACAGTAATCTTTTGGCACGACAAAAACACATTATTTTCCCGACATACTTTTCAAAAAAAACTTCTTTCAAAAAAATATTATGCAAATTTTCCAGATAGACTGGCCGTATCGATTTTATATACTTCAACATTGACTGTAAAATCTTTAATGACCAATAAACCAACTATTTGCTTCCTTCAGACATTGTTTTCCCCGTTATTTTCACCAATTTTCGCTCAATTGAACAAAGAACATTGACGCACATGTCACATGCTCCTTCAATTTCTGACTCACTTCGAACACCGTCAACGTCAAACCGCCTTCGAACCGAGGCGAATTGAAGATACAGCCCGCAGCGAGGAATATAATTCCCTTGATCGCGATTCGGGGCTAAGTGGTTTGGGTTCGTGATTTGCCTTTATTATGGAGATTAGCGCGAGAGGAGAAGGTCGCGGGGCTCGGCTTTCTGTTCTCCGAACATGTGAGCAACTTTAACGGGCTGGAGTTTGGGAATTTCTTTGGGATTATCAAAGTTCTGCGTTGGAATGAGGCTTAGATTTGGCAAGAATTGAGACAAATCTTGAAAAATTTTTTTAACAATGAAAGTACTTTTATGGGGGCTCCTACTTTTCGACGGGACATATCTCAAAAAATCAGAAAAAATGTATAAATCAAGGATATATAAATCTTAGCTGCCCATTTTGGGTTTTTAGGGGCGAAAGTGCCCAAAAACTGGCCTAATTTCCCTACAAAAGGCGCAGGCATTCGAAACGATAAAAAGCGCAGTCGGTCTCTTCCTTCGGAAGAGAGCGGTGTGGCCGAGTGGTTAGTGCCGTAGTCTGGGAATCAAGAGGGAGGACGCCGCACGGGTTCGATTTCCCTTTTGGGCTGAATTAACTTTTTTTGAAGTTGAAGGTCGGAAAAATAAATTTTTGTGCCAAGACTGATTTATTACGTCTTAGAAACACAATAAACATCATTTTAAGCCAATATAAAAAGTGTAAACCTGTGAAAAATTAAGCGAAAAGGGGTTTATATAGGACTTTAAATCAACTTGCGATGGATTTTTCACCGCTAAAAACCTAAAATGGGCAGCTAAGATTTATATTTCCTTGATCAGCACATTTTTTCTGATTTTTTGAGATATGTCCCGTTAAAAAGTAGGAGCCCCCATAAAAGTACTTTCCTTGTAAGAAATATGCAAGGTTCCTATTATCAGCTTGTCGGGAAAATAATGAGCAAAATGTCGCTGCTCCGATCGTGTCGTTGAATTGAAAAGAAATTTGATGTTGCCGCGACTCAATTCATTTTCTCGGCGACAATGACGTTTATAGGCATTATAGGCCTGGCACGTCAAGATTTTGCGCTCAAAGGGTTATCCATCAACACGAAAATTGGCATTCTGTTTTCCGCTAATGAAAGAGTCCACAAAATCCGTCTCAATGACGGTTCTAGGTCAGACGAAAGACGAAATATTGCGTAAAACGAAGAGATTTTCTCTCTCGAAACTGACTCATTTCATTTCTTTCGTTTTAGGCTCAAAAAATCCGCCTTGTTCCAGACTATGTTTCCATCAAACTTCAAGCAGGGACGAAGGAAACTCTTCGAGAAATCGGCAAAATCGCAACATTTTTTAGGCGTTGTGAGTTTAGGCTTCAAACAGGTAGAAGACGACCAATTTTGTATATGAAACATACATGATGAAGCTGAGCAGGAGCCCAGCTTCGAATCTGGGGTTGCAATAACCCCGCTCTGCCCCATTTCAATGTGTAATCCCCGTTCTGCCGCATTTCTATGTGATATCTTTGAGCTAAGACAGAATGCCAAGAATTTTGCATTACTTGAGCGCCTCTGTTCTAGTCTTTCCTGACATTGTGCTCGTTATTTTCCCGACAGACTGATAAAATGATTTAACGATCTGCCGGGAAAATAATGTGGATTTATCCAAGCAAAATGTCTTCAAACTTCCAGCCACAGCTAGCAAGCGATGATGGGCTTCCATGGCGCGACAAATCCATATTATTTTCCCGACAGATTTTAAAAATGATTTAACGATCTGTCGGGAAAATAATGTGCATTTATCCAAGCAAAATGTCTTCAAACTTCCAGCCACGGCTAGCAAGCGATGATGGGCTTCCATGGCGCGACAAGTCCATATTATTTTCCCGACAGACTGATATTTTGACCCCAAAAGTATCAAACCGTCTATATGATTCTGTATATTTTAGTTTTTCAACTGCCACTTTCTCCACGTAAGCATCAGCCGACACGTTGTCGATGTTTGTCTCGCCAACGCCGCTCGCTGAATTCAAATACCTCCTCTTTCTGCTGTGCGTGTTTCCCGAGAGTTCCCATTCATTTCCTTCCTTCCATTATTCCATAACTCTCTCTATTTGTTGTGTTGCGTAATCGCCGGGGGACCAAATGCTCAGTGTTTGAACTCTTCCCCCGGCTACCCTCTCTATTTGCCTTGATTTATAAAATTTGGACCTTTTTCTTTTGTATATCAAACCACAACATTTGAAAAGGAGGGGTTCTCGGTTCGAACTTTCTCAAAGTTTGAGTTGGGATTTTTCGAAATTTTTTTCAAAAAATCATGTATTTGACGTAAGGACGACGTAATTGGACGGAAGTTGGCTAAAATTTAGAGATTTTTTAAGAGATATCAGTCTGTCGGGAAAATAATGTGGGTTCTTTGATATCAGTTTGTCGGAAAAATATTGTGGGTTTTTCGATTTTAGGCAGTCGGGAAAATAATGTGGATTCGTCGATATCTCCATGTCGGGAACATAATGTGGGTTCTTTGATATCAGTCTGTCGGGAAAATAATGTGGATCCTTTGATATCAGTTTGTCGGAAAAATATTGTGGGTTTTTCAACTTTTGTCTGTCGTGAAAATAATGTGGGTTTGTCAATATCAGTCTGTCTGGAAAATATTGTGGGTTTGTCAATTTTAGCCAGTCGGGAAAAGAATGTGGATTCGTTAATGTTTCTCTGTCGGTAAAATAACGTGATTTTGATACCAGTCTGTCGGGAAAATAATGTGGGTTCTTTGATATCAGTTTGTTGGAAAAATATTGTGGGTTTTTCAGCTTTAGTCTGCCGGAAAAATATTGTGGGTAGGTAAATTTCAGTTTGTCGGAAAAATATTGTGGGGTTTTCAACTTTAGTCCGTCGGGAAAATAATGTGGGTTCGTCGATATCTCCATGCCAGGAAAATAATGTGTATTCATCGCGCCTTGGAATCGCCTATCGCTTTGCGACGGCTCTGGAGATTTGGCGACAAATCTTGCTCCGACAACTCCACAGTATTTTCCCGACAGACTGATGCCGACGAAGCCACATTATTTTCCCGACGGACAAAAATTGAAAACCCCACATTATTTTCCCGACAGACTGATAAATTATCGTATTAGTCTGTCGGGAAAATAATGAGGGCTCTATCGCTATGCCGATCATGTCGCTGAAGCGAAAAACAATGATTTTGCTGCGACACAATTCATTTTTTTCGGCTGGGGATAATCAAAGCTCTTTTCTTGACATGCTTCAAAAAATGCATCGTGATTTCTGATTTTGACGCTCGATTTGTCCGACTGAACTCCCGCTTTTCCTTCGCATACTACTCCACTAAAGCCATCAAAACAAATGGAAGAGGAGTAGGTGCAAGTGATCACTCACATGGAATTTTTGAAAGTGAACGAGAAAGGTCAATACTTTTTAAAATTGCTAATCTGCAATTTTGCAAAGTATTTTCCAACGATGACAATTCGGTTATCCTCAAAATAGTATAATAGACTCTATTGCTAGTCCGTTCTGAAAGTCGCTGGAGTGATTTTGGTGGCCAAATCACTCCAGCGACTTTACAAACGAACTATCAGCCTGTCGGGAAAGTTATGAGCACCCAAATTTTTTTCTTTATCGAAAATTTCATCGCCGCCGAGAAAATGTATTGTGTCGCCGTGCATCGACATTGTGCCCATTATTTTCGCGACAGACTGATAGCACCGAGAAGACATATCATGGCTATCAGTCTGTCTGAAAGTAATGTGGATTCGTCGTATCTTCGAGCCTCCCATCATCGCTTTGCGACGGCTTTCCGCGGCTGGAGACTTGGTGAGCGAGAGCGGCGAAATGAGACATTTTCCTGCGGCAAGTCCACATTATTTTCCCGACAGACTGATAGTGTTCTTGTAGAGAAATTTAATGGGCACTAAATTGTATTTAATTAGGCTCTAAATAGCGATTTTCCGGATGCGTGTTGCACATTCCGTTTGATTACGGCTTAATTTGTTTTTTAACGACTTGATCCCTGAGCCAGTTGATTTTTGAGACTTTTGGGGGTCAAAATATCAGTCTGTCGGGAAAATAATGTGGAGCTGTCGCAGCGAAATTTCTCGCCTCGTCGCGCGCCAAATCTCCATCAACAAATCCACATTATTTTGCCGACAGATTGATACGATGATTTATCAGTCTGTCGGGAAAATAATGTGGATTTATCCAAGTAAAATTTCTCGCCTTTTCACTGACCAAATCTCCAGCCGAAGATAGCGCTGTCGCAGAGCGGCGATGGGCGACTCCAAAGCGCGACAAATCCACATTATTTTCCAGACAAACTGATACGACGATTTATCAGTCTGTCGAAAAAATAATGTGGATTTATCGCACCATTGAATCGCTTGTTTCTCCAGCCGCTGGTAGTTGTCGGAGAGCGATTCAAAGGTGCGACAAATCCACATTATTTTCCCGACAGACTGACACATGCTCAAATTTTTCGATGCAAAAGGCAAATTTTAACGTAGTCTGAAAACAAAATCGATTTAGAAAAAGGTTTTCGATAAAGTACAGTTTTTATTACAGCCAGACATCTTCAACAACCCTGTTTTTCAACGTCCCCAGCGGTTTAATTTGATTAGTCACTTTTAACTGTTGTTTTTACGGACAAAAAGTTTTGCTCGATCGCTTGAATAATTGGGTATTTATTGCTTTGGCGAATTTTTTGCTCAAATGACCTCCAAAAGTTGTTACTGAAAGCTTATTTTTAACTTTGTAATCGTATCTTCCCCTCCGTTTCACAGCATTTTTGACCTCCAACAGGGACTATTTGGCTTTTTGGTGTTCTTTTTGAGTTGCGGGAGTGTTGAAAAGCTTTATAGAGCGTTTCTGTGAGATTTGGCGAAATACCATTTTATACGATGAAACATGTTTGGAGTATTTTTATCGTATAAAATGTCACTTTGAGCGAAGATGCCGGCTCTGGAAAGTGTCAAGGTGCCATGCCTTGTAAAGAGCTGCTTTGAGATTTAGCGAAATACCATTTTATACGATTAAACATGTCCGGAGCTTTTTCATCGTATAAAATGTCACCATGGACGCATATCTCTTTAAAATTGCCACTACGCGGCATGCTATGCTTTAAAAAGCGTTTCCTCAAAATTCTTTTCCAAATACCATTTTATACGATGAAACGTGTCCGAAGCAATTTTACTCGTATAAAATGTCACCCTGGCCGAATATTTCGTTGCAATGGCTACTACGCGTTTATAAAGCGCTTCTGTGTTAGATTTGACAAAATACCATTTTATACGATGAAACATGTTCGAAGCAGTTTCATCGTATAAAACGTCATGGCCGAATAGCATGTTAATTATGCATTTTCTGTCTGTTTGATGTCAGAAGCACTTTATTTAGTGTATTGATCACATTAAAATTTGTTTTCTGCAACAATTCCCGTGATTTTTGCTGCAACATTTTAATTTTTAATTTTTTTTTTATTATCCTTTATTTTCCAGTCAAATGTTAAAAGAATTATGGTTGCTGTTACTCATCGCAAGTGTTGCAAACTCCGCTGCGATCCACTACTCGGAGTTGGGTCCCCAGCGTTTGTTGGAGATCGTCCCATTGAGCTACGGGAGAAGGTTTTCGCAGCCCAAAAAATATCGGCAGGACTGCGCCGTTTGCCATGACTTGTACTTCAAACATCCCGAGCTTCTGAAAGGAATCGCTGAGGGAGACAACAAATCGTTGGAGGAATTGCCGGTGAGTGAGAGGTGAAAAAATATCAGTTTGTCGGGAAAATAATGAGCACTCTGTCGAGTCGAAAATTGCATTGTCGCTGCAGAAATGAATTGTAAAAAACACTTTTCTAGTTGGCCAAAAAAATTATCAGTCTATATCTAAATTTGCACACACAAGCGACATTTTATACGACAAAAACTACTCCGGACATGTTTCATCGTATAAAATGGTATTCAATTGAAAATTTGCAAAGACACATAGAATAGCCGCTACATCCACCCTCTAGAAATTGTATCTCACTTCTAGCAGATTTAGGCGACATTTTATACGACAAAACTACTCCGGACATGTTTCATCGTATAAAATGGAATTTTAAAAAAGTTTTTTGATTTTATAAGTAAGCAACATTTACTGGTAATAAAATTGCAAACTTTTGTTTAGGGTGACATTTTATACGATAAAAATGTTTCGGACATGTTTCGTCGTATAAAATGACGGGAAGTTAACTATGTGAATTTACTCAAACTTTCCTTCAATTCCAGGCCATTTGCGACGAGCTCCAACTCCACCCGAACGCCTGCAAAAGTCTGGCCAAGGTGGAGAGCATTAAACGCGCCATCCACTTCATCGATCACCAATCAAAGGACGCCGCCGACATGTTCTGTGTTTCCATCTCATTTTGTACGGGTTAACTGTTTTTTTTTTGATCGCATCATATTCGACATGTATTGTTATCATAGACGAGTGTTTATATCGAAACGAAATAAATTAAAATTATTTTGGGGTTTGGAATTTTTTGAATTTTTTTGTTTTTTTTTGGTTTTTTTATCGTATACAATGTCGACTCTAGAGAAAGACGCTTTTTCCATCAGAAAATGGGTTGGGAAATCATGAGGAATGTGAAATTCCAAGCTTTTGGCAAAAATGCGAATTTTTTTTGGGAAAAAAGTTTTCATCGTATAAAATGTCACCTTCCAAGAAATCTCTTTTTCGTTCAAAAAAACGTTAAAATGTATTGATAATCTACATGGTGAGAAATTCAAAACTCGTTCATTTTCATAGCAAAACCTTTCATAGTATAAAATGTCAACTTGAAATAAACTCAGATTTCGTAAAAAAAATCAGTCAAAAATCAGCAGTAATGACCGCAAAAATTCAAAAACAATTTTTTTGCGGAAAACCTTTCATCGTATAAAATGTCGCCTTCCAATAAAATTTTCTTTTCATTCAAAAAACCAGTAAAAAATTTCAACCGCATAAATTCAAAAAAACTCTTTTTTTGCGGAAAACACTTTTCATCATATAAAATGTCACTTTTTAATAAATTACTTTTATTTCGAGATTTTTTGGATTACTTTAAATTCTTCAAGGTATTTTTAATCAAATTTTCACTGTGGCAGCGCTGAATTGCGGCGTGACGAGGGCTCATCTTCATCATAATCATCTTCGGCTTCACTCGGAAGGCAAAAGGATTCGCGTTCGAAGCAGGTGGAGGAGCGCATATCCGACAAAGTGCTGAGTTTATGGCGATTTGCTTCGTCTTCCTGGAAGAGAAAAAGTTGATTTACTAGTCTTTCCCTTTGATATATGGCAGAGACTTCAAAATCTCTGTATGTCCAGAAAATGTGTCATGATGACACCCATTAACAATGTGACTGTGGTAAAAATAATGGTAGTATATGGCTGGGAGCACCCCCAGAGCACGCAAAAATTTTTTGGGAGGTCTCAGAGCCTCTCATCGCGGAAAAAATCAGAGAAAGTCCAAAAAATGTGTCATGATGACACTTAATTAAGATATGTCAGAGGTAAAAATAATGGTAGTAATGGCTGGGAGCATTCTCCAGAGCATGAAAAATTTTGTTTGGAAGATCTCAGAGCCTCTCATCGCGGAAAAAAATCAGAGAAAGTCCAAAAAATGTGTCATTATGACACTCATTTAAAATGTGTCAGTGGTAAAAATGGTGATGGTATATGGCTGGGAGCACTCTCCAGAGCACGAAAAAAAATTTTTGGGAGATCTCAAAGCTTCTCATCGCTCAAAAAAAAACAAAAATTTCCAAAAAATCCGTCATCTATGCTGCTCGTTGCCAAAGCTTTTAACCAAAACGCTTTTTTCTGGGTACTCTAAAAAGTACTCCAAGCGTTTTCACAGCGACAAAACTCTTTTTTCCAGAGTGCTCTATTCGATTAATTATCCGTTTAAATAACCCTCAGGACTTTTGCCCGAGTAGTTCTAAACTGCATGAGAAATAGATTCAACTTACATTAAAGCCCCCGCGAAACCGCAAACTCGCTCCGACCACGCGATTCCAGTTGGTCTCCAGGAACGGCGAACCTAAGCCACAGTCCAATATATGCTCCAACTCACTTTCAGTGGGCGTATGAGGCAGTTCGGGGTCTTCGATCTGAAAAAACCATATTTATTGGATCAAGGCTTGAAACTTTTAGCTTGCGCTTTACAGAAACAGCCGAGATATTGAACAATGTTTGCGTACAAGAGAGTACACTGAAGGCGGAGAGCGGTTAGAAGGAAAAGTACTTTTTGGCCATAGCTTTGTCAGTTTCGTGGGTAAAAAGTTGCTTTTTTACGTGTTATACGATGAAACTTTTCTTAAATTTTTTTTCAAGAAGGGAGGAGACATTTTATACGACAAGATTGTCAGAAATTGGAGAAAAATTTTCATCGTATAAGATGTCACCTTTAATTCCAAAAAACATTTCCGTCGTATAACATGTCACCTCAGGTTTATAAAATTAAATAAAATTCTATCGTATAAAATGCCGCCTTTCCCTTTAAAAATTTGAAAAAAGATTTCCATCGTATAAAATGTCACCTCATATTCTAAAAATTTGAAGAATTTTTTTATCGTATAAAATGTCACCCTTCATTTTCAAATCCGAAAAAACATTTCCTTCGTATAAAATGTCACCTCAGGTTTTTAAAATAAAATTCTATCGTATAAAATGTCAACCTTCATTTTCAAATCCGAAAAAACATTTCCTTCGTATAAAATGTCACCTCTCATTTCGAAAAATTCAAAAAGCGGCACTTTTCGGGAAACCCGGACTCTTCGCCTGCAATCCCATTTTACCTGTTCATTCGGGACGATCACCGTGACTGCCGGTAGCACCAGATCCGGCGCTCTTTCGTCGTAGTCGCTCTCGGTCTCCGAGTCCATCAAACTCTGACTGATCAGACGCGACAATCGCCGTACGGGGCCCACACTGTGCTGATCTTTCTGATGGTGATGCCGAAGCCGTTTGTTGATCGGATCCGTGTGCGAGCCGGTGCTCAGCTTGTGGATTCGCTGCTAAAATATTCAATTGTTGGGGAAATTTAATTAATTTTTCAATTGGATTCTTCAAGCACAGCAAACAGAGAGGTTAAAATTTCAAATTTTTTTTATTTTTGCTTTTTATATCACTTCAAACAGGACAATTGGAGTAAACAAGTCGGAAAATACATATGATACATGGGGATTCGCTTCGAGGAGGAATAAACTGTTGAGGATGAGAGCTAAAAAATTCTTTTAATTTGCTCGAATTTTGATGAAATTTGGAGTGAATGTAAGGTAAAAAAAGACTAACAAAGCCCTCCTATCAGTCTGTCGGGAAAATAATGTGCACAATGCCGACCGCTGAAGTGGAAAGCAATTTGATTTGGGCAGTGCGATTTTTGATGCGACTGGGTGCTCATTATTTTCCCGACAGATCGTATTTTCATAAAGTGCCACATTTTGCATTGCGCATTTCACCATTTTTTGGTAGCGACGCGGTCGTAAAAACTTATGTCGCGGCGGTTTTTTGGATGCACAGTGCAAAAACTAAAAGTGGGCGGTGCAAACTGGGGTTCGAAAATTTGCATAATGTTCGAAAATTTGCATGTTTAAAAAATTTTCATAATGTTAAACAATTTGCATAATTTTCAAAAATTCGCGTAATTTTCAAAAATTTGCATAATTTAAAAAATTGCATAATTTTCAAAAATTTGCACAATTTTCAAAAATTTGCATAATTTTCAACAATTCGCGTAATTTTCAAAGATTTGCATAATTCAAAAATTTGCATATATTTCAAAAATTTTCATAGTTTTCAAAAATTTGCTTAAATTTTAAAAATTCGCGTAATGTTCAAAAATTTGCATAATTTTCAAAAATTTCCCTAATGTTCAAAAATTTGCATTATTTTCAAAAATTTGCATAATTTTCAAAAATTTTCATAATTTTCAAAAATTTGCACAATTGTCAAAATTCCGTTAAAAAGCGGAAGACTGGCTTAATTTCTGCCACTTTTCATCAAAATCCGTCCGTTTTTCGTCAAAAAATCTCATTTTTTACTCGTAATTTGTCACCTGAATACATAATTCCATCCACAGCAAACTCACTCCTCCCCAACTCCCACACACGCAACAAGAAATTGTATAGTAAATAACTGCTAGTAACAATGGGACAACAAGAAGTTCGGAACCGGCCCGAAAACACACAGCAAGACAGGGGGAAGCCACACTTAAAGCCGTCGCGTGGAGGGCGGCGTAAGATAGCGTGCCTGGTACTGATGGGCGCGCGGGTTGCTCTGGAGCGGCGTGTTCGTCTCCTCGTCGTTGGAGGCCAGCCCCTCCTTGGACTGACTGAACGACTTGGAGCGTGAGATCTTGGGCTGCGCACAGCAGCAGGCCAGCCGCCGGAACTCGTTCATTCGGAAGTAGCAGAGCGGCTGGCACACCGAATGGATGCCGATTAGGATCTGGAAATGGGGAATTAAAGAAAAAAAACACTAAATCAAGCATCGTAGAGTAATTTTCAGACAACTTTATGGCATTTACTGCTGTATAAAAACGATTATATCCGATAAAATGACCGTAATTGAAAAACGTCCAAAAAATCGAGAAACCCTCGAAAAGAGTTGAAATTACGTTAAATAGAGGCTCAATCAAGAATTGCAAAGGATTTTCAACCCGACTCTATGGCATTTACTACCATATAAAATCGATTTAAGCCGTCAAAATTTTGGAAAACGGCCGAAACGGCCCAAAAAGTCGAGAAACCTTTAAAAACGGCTAATATAGAGTTCAAATGGATTTTTTTCAATGTTCAACCCTTCAATTAAGGTCAAAACTTTAAGTAAATTTAGAATCTGCTGTTCTAGCATATATACCAAAATTTCAGACCGCAGTTTGCACATACCATCGAGATTTTTCGGTCGAAATTTTTGAATTTTCCCCAATTTTTCGTCTAAAATCTTGGGATTTTTTGCAAAATTCGAGCTAAAAATCTCAAATATGTCATAGAAAAGGTAATTTTAAAGCTATGCCAAGCCTCATCAAAATCAGCAAAATTTAAAAAATTGAGATTTTTTAAAACTTTGTACCGAAAATCCCAAAACTCACTTGAAATCCGTAACGAATTAGACTCGATTTGGGCGAGAGATCCAATAATTTGTTGATCTGCAAGAAAGCGACCAGCTGAATGCCCGAATACGGGAATAAAAACAAGATGTCGACGAACAACACACTGCCGATCACGATCAAATACTTGTGGCGCGACATCAAGTGTGTGCGCCATTTGCGATGCGAGTTGCAGCGGCTGAAACTAAATGGGTTTTATGGGGGAAAATTTCAAAAAAATTTTTTTTAGAAAAAAATTTTTGCTCAGATTTTCTTCAAATCTTGCACACACAGCAGTCATAGGCCATTTATCAATCCCTAAAAATTTCAGCTCGCGTTTTGAAGGGAGACCTGAAATATTCAGCGATGTTTTCCGCCGAGAGAGTACGCGAAATTAGGAGAGCGGCAGAGAAAAGTCTATTTTTGGCTATTTGATTTTTTGTGGAGACATTTTTTACCACTAATTTCTGTTTTACTTGTAAAATTAAAAAATTTCGAAGGAAAGACCATTTTATACGACGAAAAGTGTCTGGAATATTTTTATCGTATAAAATGTCACCCTACACAAAATCTTGTATTTATACGGGAATTAAGTCATGCATAGGATACATATCAATTCCTCGTGCTTTGTTTGCAACGCCGAGATATGGAACACTCTTTGAGGGCGAGAGAGTACGCGAAATTAGGAGAGCGGTCAGAGAAAAAACCTCGCTTTTTGGCTATATCTTTGCCAGTTTCGCGCGGAAAAAATTGATTTTTTGTGGAGACATTACTCTCTACAGTACAAATAGCCGCTAAACATTTTGTGCCAAAAATCGCAAAAAACTGTCAATTTTTTTCCAACTTTCGACCCAAAAAATCTCGGTCTTTGCAAAGCGCAAGATAGAAATCTCCCACATGTCTTGACAAAAAATATCCTAATTTTTTTTCAAGTTGCATCGACATCTGAAAATTGCACTATTGGCACTCTGAAAGAGACATTTTATACGACTAAGACCACTCCTTCACATGTTTCAACGTATAAAATAGCAGTTATGATCTTAGATGAAACCTGTCAGAAATGTTGAGTAGGATGTTCTAAGACCCTCAAAACAATTTTTTCTCATTTATTTGTCCAAGAACCGACTTTTTCTCCGAAAAAACTTTTTATCGTATAAAATGTCAGCATATAGAATTTTGATGAAAATTGTTAAAAATGTTGAGTAGGATGTTCTAAGACCTTCAGGACAATTTTCCCTCTTTTATATACCACAGAACCGACTTTTCTGTAAAAAAACATTTTATCGTATAAAATGTCACCAGATAGGATTTTGATGAAAATTGTTAAAAATGTTGAGTAAGGTGTTCTAAGACCTTCAGGACAATTTTCCCCCTTTTATTTGTCCAAGAATAGCGCTTTTCTCTGACCGCTCTCCTCTTTTCCCGCACTCTCACGTCGACAAAGCCCGTTAAATACCTCGGCGCTTCTCAAATTCAAAATCTGAGAAAAATCCGAGCCTCACACGTTGCCCAGCTGCCAATTCTTTTTTCAAGTCTCTAACTTACGGCTGACTTGCAGTTGAAGTTTTGGCCGACGAATCATTCGGAACTTGGACACTATTTCCATTCGAAACCACAGTAGATCTCCCTTCTTTGTCGATTTCGATGCATTTCTGCGACGAGCATTGATGAGAGTGCATTGTGGAGCGATTAAACTTTTGACTCTCCTCGTTGTGGAACTTCCCCTTCGTATCGCCCGAATGGAACTGCCGGATGGTCCGGAGGATTGTTCCGTAACAGATCTGAAAATGGAAATTTGAGGGTAAAATACGGCACAAATTTTTGAAATTCTAATGTTTTCAGGACTTACCAAAACAATGACGAGACATAGATAACATAAAACAAAGATCATCAGCATGCAAATTACGTTTATTGAGACGCCATCCATCTCACGGCGAGTGAGCCCGGGGCCTCGGGAGTCTGAAAAAAAAACGTCTTTTGTCGAAGTTGATCAGTCTGATCAAATTTGCCAAGCTGTCCAAATTTGCCTAATATGGCCATATTTGCCCAAGGTGACAGGCCATATCAAGTTGGTATTGTTTAAAAAGGTCTTTTTTTGGCCAGTATTGACCGAATTAATTGATTCTGACCTAATCTAACATTATTTTCCCAACCTGCCAAAATTTGCCCAAGCTGCCCAAATTTGCCTGTCCTGGCCGGTCAAGTCATGTAAATCAAGTTTTTATAAAAAGTTTTTGGCCGGTATCGACCGGTTTTAATGGCTCTGACCTCATCTGAAAAATTTGCCCAACCTGACCGAATTTGCCCAATGTGACCGGTCAGGGTCAGGACTAGGTTTAAAAAGAGCTTTTTTCACCGACGTCGACTGATTTTCAGCGTTCTGACTTAATTATGCCCATTTTTTACAGTCTAACCAAAATTTGCCCAAGCTGCCCAAATTTGCCCAAATCTGACCGAATTTGCCCAATTTGACCGGAACGACCAGGTTGATCAAGTTTAAAAAATAATTTTTTGTACCGGACTTCAATTATTCTAATCATTCTGACCTAACCTGACTAATTTGCCCAACCTGGCCAAATTTGCCCTGTCTGACCGGTCAAATTTCAAAAGAAAAGATTATATTTTTTTGGACCGAAGTCAAATTTAAAAAATATTATATTTTTTGGACCGGTCTCGGCTATTTTCGGCTCTTTTTGACCAATCTGCCCAAATCTCCGGGCAATTTGGGCAAACTTGAAAAAAAGTTTTATGACAGGTCAAATCTTCTAGCAGCATGATCCTCGGCTCACTATAATTGGCTTAGGCCAAAAATTAAGTTGTACTTACATGCTTTCCCGCGCAAATACGCAGTTCCATTGTTCAGGACCAGCACGGAATGCGCGCTTGGGAAGAAGTTGGAGAAAACGCTGCCAACGCCGAACAAAACGGATATCAGCCAGCTGAAAATTAGAGGAAAAATATCTGACAAGATGTTACAAGATCTACCTGCATCCCAAAATAACTAGGACCGTTCTCCTGCGGAAGTATCGGCGATAATGCAGGGGGAATTTGATGACAATAAATTCATTGGTGGTAAAGACGAGTAAATTGAATATTGTGAGGAAATTACATGAGCGGAGGACAATCAGGGTGAATTGATTGATCTGAAAATAGTATTATAACATTTGAAAGGGCTGAAACAAGGCAAAATTTGAATAAAATTAGAAAAATTTGCTTATTTCCATAAAAAAATGCACAAATTTTACTTAATTACCCAAAAAATTTGCATAAAATCAACAATCTCTTACCTTCAGCAATAACAATCGATCCTGCACTGTGTTCAACCGATTTATCAGCAAATTTGGCATTCCCCACGCCACCAAACATGTGCCTCGGATCAAGTCGACGAACGCACAGTGCAAGACCAGCACGTAGAAAACATTGGCCAAAACCCTTCGCCGGTTGCGCAACAACGCGTATACCACAAATAGATTTAGGAAAATGCAGAGTAGACCCAATGTGTTGCAAATGTTCACCGAGATTAGCATGGGCTGAAAATTTTCGACGGTATATTCGATGCTATCCATGTGGGGCTAGGAATTTGACTTGAAATGGCGATAAGTCCGTCGGGAGAAGATTTTGGAGAATGGGTTGTATATCAAAACATAGCTAGTGAAGCCTGCTTTCGAATGGAATATTGGTGATTTTCTGATCTTTTGCCTTCAGGTCATTTTCGGCGGTTTTATTAGGGAGACCCGGAATTTCGAGGGACTTTAGAGCAAAGTCAAAAATTCGAGGAGAAAATTAATATACAGGATATAATTGATGTAGTAGATTACTCCTAGATGACATTACAGTATCCCAAAAATTGCGACAAGTCAATTTTTTGAGATTTTTAAACCGAAAAAACTATTTTTTTTACTTGACGGGGCCAAATCATCAAAATGTCAAAAAATCCCCTTAGGCAATTAATACGAAATTTCGTTATGGACCTATCTTACAGCCAGTTACCTAAGCTATGATTTCGTATATGCTCCATTCCCCGGCTCCATCAACCAGCAGACTTATGACTCTTTCAATAACAGCATCCCCTCTTCCTGCTACAATATAGCCCTAGGCGTTTGCTCAAATTAACCCTTCAAAATGTCCGATGTGCGATGCGTTACGACGAGAAACGGGGCATCGCGATGCATTTTGGATTGTTTTTCGAGTTGATATTTACGCGCTCGGACCTCAAGATGGCCGGATGAATATTTTTCGGCTTACGTAGTTGGGCGGTGACGTCGGGTAGTGCGAATAGTTAATGTTCCGAAAGTCTAACGATGTCATGTTCCGTGAGGCGAGGATGTCCTGAAAATGAGATGAGCTTTTTGCATAATAATACTGTAATTACAATAGTAAAAAGTTCGGAAATTTTGAAAAAATCTTTTAAAATTGAAAAAAATCTAAAAATTTCAAATTTCTCCCGAAAAATCGCTGAAAACAATGCCCAATACTTCAGAATATAGTCTGAAAATCATTCTGGGGCCTTTTCAAATTTTTTCGGTATGTAAACTCGAGTGGTAATTGCGGTTTATCACAAGATGAGAGCTATTTCAGCCCACATGTCCACTTTAATTGCAGGTTGAACCGTTTCGGGTTCTCATGTCGCCCTCGAATTGTAGTGTAGGAAACAAGGTAGGGTTTAGCTTTCGGTGGGGCTAGGATTGTATAAACAATAGGCCATTCAAAGGTAATTATCTCAAGATGTCGAAAATTTAAAAGATTTCAAGAAGCAAGTTCGCAAAGTGCAATATCATCCGATTTTCGATTCGACAGAGAGCATATTATTTTCCCGACAGACTAATATGATGATTTATCAGTCTGTCGGGAAAATAATGTGGGGGTTTTCAATTTTAGTCTGTCGGGAAAATAATGTGGAGTTGTCGGAGCAAAATTTGTCGCCAAATCTCCAGAGTCATCGCAAAGCGATAGGCGATTCCAAGGCGCGATGAATACACATTATTTTCCTGACATGGAGATATCGACGAACCCACATTACTTTCCCGACAGACTAAAGTTGAAAAACCCACAATATTTTTCCGACAAACTGAAATTGACGTACCCACATTATTTTCCAGACAGACTAAAATTGAAAAACCCACATTATTTTCCCGACAGACTTATATTGACAAACCCACATTATTTTCCCGACAAGACTAAAATTGAAAAACCCACAATATTTTTCCGACAAACTGAAATTGACGTACCCACATTATTTTCCCGGCAAAGTAATATTGACAAACCCACATTATTTTCCCGACAGACTGATATCGACAAACCCACATTATTTTCCCGACGGAGAGGCATCAACGAACCCACATTATTTTCCCGACAGACAGATATCAAACAAAGCTCAAACAAATAAAAATTTTTGGCATTCTGTTTCAGCTCGAGAATAAATTTTTTGCCCCAAAAATAACCCGATTACACCCGAAAGATGGAGTAGAATGGGATTACTGTACACATAGGTACGAAGCAGAACCCCTTCACCGTATTAATTCACATTTTCATAAAGTGCATGGACTGTTGTTCTCTTCCGCACAGTGCATTTTGAACCTTTTCCCACGCTTGTCGCCAATGCACAGTGCAATTTTTTGCTTTTTGCTTTTCGCACAGTGCAAACCGCAAAAAAGCCGTGTGCACTGTGCAAATTTCAAGTTGTCGCGGACGCACAGTGCACTTTCTCCGTTCGCACAGTGCAAACCTGAAAAAAGCCGTTTGCACTGTGCAAACTCTTCAGAAAATGCCGTAGCGACAAAGTTGAAAAAGTGACGTCGCCGCGATAAATATTTCCGATGCACGGTGCGAAAACCAAAACATGATGAAATGCACAGTGCGAAAATGGAAGTTCTTTGTGCACAGTGCGGCAAATTTTTGATTTAGTTTTCGCACCGTGCATTGAAATATCGCCGCGACGTAAGGTTTTTCCAATTGCGTCGCTGCGGTTTTGCTCAAAAATCTGCACAGTGCAAGCGGATTTTTCGAGGTTTGCACTGTGCGAAAAGAGGAAAATGGAAAATGCACAGTGCGTTGGCGACAAGCGTGGAAAAGGTTCAAAATGCACTGTGCGTTGGCGACAAGCGTAGGAAAAGGTTCAAAATGCACTGTGCGGAAGAGAACAAATGTCCATGCACTTTATGAAAACGTTTTCGATCAGAGAAAAAATGATTTTTGATCGTATATTTGCGATTTTTTTTGTGTAATTTATCAAACAACATACGAATATCTTGTCCAGAAAAATCGACCAAAAATTTGATTTTCCGACAATTTTCGACCAAAAAAACCCGACGATTTCTGCGCGACCTAACTTTTTCGCATATGTCTTGAAAAATCTCCATTTCAATCCATGACAAATTTCATGGTCATCTTTGATGATGACAGGACCAATATAACTCCATTATATTTGTGAGGACGTAAGTGCATCTTCTTTCAAATCACAAGGCTTTCTAATTAGCCAATCCGGACTTGGAAAATAATAGTAAGCATTGATCATTGGTCTGCTGCTTTTTTCAACGTACAAACGGGAGTTATTTTCGCGCACTGTGCGAAAAAAGTTCATTTTGAACTGTGCAATTTTCTGTTTTTTTCACCGTGCAGTAGGCTTTGAAAAAGATCAGAAGATATTTTTGATCTGTTTTGAGGGGAAGTCTAAAATTTTTCGCCGATTTTTTGGTCGAAATTTAAAAAAATCTCAAAGTTTTCAAAATTCAAATTTTGAAAAAAAATCAAAAAAATCATCATCTTTTGCCTTGAAAAAGTCTCCAGAAATATCTTGCATGCTATTTCCAACTCAATCATCGGCTTCTTTACCTATTTTTGGTCGAAATTTCAAAAAATCTCAAAATTTTTAAAATTCAAATTTTGAAAGAAAACCAAAAAATCATCATCTTAGCCTTGAAAAAGTGTCCAGAAGTATCTTATATGCTATTTCCAACTCAATCATCAGCTTATTTACCCAATTTTGTTCGAAATTTCAAAAAATTTGAAAACTTCCAAAATTAAAATTTCCAGTAAAAATTCAAAAATTTAACAATTCTGTTGTCGGACACTAATTTCTGAACCTTTAAAACCACTCTTACACATAATTTATATCATGTTTGTGGATCACTAATCCCCTGTCATCCGCAGAAAGCGGACTTGACCTCGGCTCGCACTCCCCCCTTTAAATATGTGAACCCCGCATCGACAAAACCGCTTATCCATAAATAAATACTCTCAAATCCGGGCATACGTGCCGCTCAACCGTGTTATTTGATTTAGATAAACATACTGGAGCTGAAAAGCGGCAAATCTGGTGTTCTTTAAAGCCTCCCTCTCTAATGGTCAAGTGTAATATAAAAGTTGATTTTTATAGACAAATTTGACTACAATAAGTTGAAAATTGAAATAGTATCGAAAATACAATCTATTTAGATCTTTGAAATGTAATTTTGGCAGCACTTCATTTTCAGTTGAGGGAGGAATACAAGTTTTAAGTCAAGGACCATGTACAATATAGTGCAAGGTAGAGAGATGCAGTTTTCTCGGAAAAAATAGAAAGCTCTGGCTATTTTTATAATTGCAGTAGGATTACACTGTAAATCGGTGCATCTGGTAAGAGTTTAATGACTTAATTTGCATAAATTTGTGTAAAAAATTATGATGACATCAAATTGCGGAAAATGGTAAAAAAAGGTAAAATACGGGAGGCGGTTCATAAAAAAATGCTTCTAAATTTCGAAAAGAGATATTTCATGCAAATATAAAACGTTTTTCCATAATTTTAGTTACAAAATTTGCATAAAATTTAAAATCAAAAAAAAAATAAAGGAGACCAAAAAATTCCTCAAAAAATCGGTCAAAATTTAAAAAAAATTCACACGCCCTAAAGGCAAGAAACGAGCAAATTCCAGAAAATTTCAAGACTACTTCCTGAGGGTTTCAACCCAATTTTGAGTAATATTTCCGAGACGCCGCCATGATTAATATTTGAGTATAAAGTGCTCTCAACGTCCTCGCGTTTACAAGTAGCATGTCCATAAAGTAGTAAAAAATCTGAAGAACGTTTTGAAGGCAGTTAAAGTCTCGGTTTTTTTTTATTTTACTACGTTTTTATGAGGGGAAAATGATATTTTTTATTGGCCAAAGGGTTGAAGAGGTCAATGATTGCCTACCGCTCTGTGCAAAAAGTCCTGCGAATTTGCAATTTGTGGTTTTAATCAGTCGATAAGGAAAAATCATTTTTTTCAGGGTGCCATAGAATTTAAGACTACAATAATTTCTAAAATTTAGTCTGTCGGGAAAATAATGTGCGGCATTTTATAAGATTTTATAAGAGAAAAAGTCGGATATGTTTGATCGTATAAAATGCCCTTCCTTAAGAACCTGAAAGTCTAGTGATCATCGTTGCCAGAGGTCATCAAAAATGTCCCAAAAGGCCTTCAAATGCCGTCAGCTACATTATAAAACTTTGTTTTATTGCATATCAGTCTGTCGGGAAAATAACGAGCACTGTGTCGCATTGAAAATCGCATCGCCGCCGGAAAAAATTAATTTTGTCGTGACAAAATCGAATCACTTTTCACTTCAGCGAAGGGTCTGTCGCAGCGACATTATGCTCATTATTTTCCCGACAGACCGATATCAGCTTGTCGGGAAAATAATGTGGATTTGTCGCCGTCGCAAAGCGATGATGGACAATTCTAAAGCGCAAAAAATCCACATTATTTTTCCGACAGGTTGGTACTATTAGTCTGCCGAGAAAATAATGTGGATTTGTCGCCCATTTGAATCCCTCATCACCGTTCTGCGACAGCGCTAGCTGCGGCTGGAGATTTGCTTTGAAACGAGACATTTTGCTGCGACAAATCCACATTATTTCCCCGACAGGCTGATAGTAGTGGCAGTGGCAACAAATTTTACCGTGAGAACACAAAGTCAGACCCGCAAAACGAAGGGAGACTGAATATGAACTGACTGAATATGAAAACCGGGTTTCTGTTACTGTTACTACCTAGGTTCCGATTAAGGACTCTTTTTGAAATTTTTTCGTTTTATTTATAACACCTTCAGACATTAATGGTGTTGTTTTGGTGCCTAGTACTGCTTGAAAAAACATTTTCAACATTTGGTGCTAAATAGTACTACCTGGTACTATTTAGTACGAGGAGAAAATTTGGCCGGTAATGGTGTTGGTTTGGTGCTTAGTACAGCCCGAAAGCACATTTTTAGCACTTGGTACTCTATAGTACCGATTGGTACTATTTAGTACGAGGTGAAAATTTAGGCGTAAGGCGGTAATGGTGTTGGTTTGGTGCTTAGTACAGCCCAAAAACACATTTATAGCACTTGGTACTATATAGTCCTAGAAATAGACCAAATTTGCCAAATTTCATATTCAGTCAGCTCATATATATTCAGTCAGGTACCCCCACAAAATCGTGATTTCTAATTTTGACACTTGATTTTTTTGCCTCAACTCCCACTCTTTCATCGCGTACTACTCCACTAAAGCCATCAAAACAAATGAAGCTTCAGCGGTACTGGGATCATTATTTTCCCGACAGACGGATATCACATCGTTTGAAACAGCAAAGCGCACGTAAATCGGGCCTTGAGACCAGGAAGAATCGCGAAAACCACCAAGGACTTGAACGTGAAGTTTTATAAAATTTGGACTCACTTTCTCTCGGAAAAAACAGAGTAATTGCTCCTTTCGCTCATACTGATGTTATAAAATTCATTTTTTTATTCCCCAAGGTGTCATTATGTAGATAATATAGTCTAAAGGTAAAAATAAGTGCACTCAAGCTATAAAGTACACAGAACTTCATAGGACGCTGTTTTTTTCTTACTTTAGCCGCGATTTTCCGGGTTTTATCAGTCTGTCGGGAAAATAATGTGGATTTATTGCTTTTGCAATCGCCCAAGCCCAGTGAACTTTGGAGTTTTGCCTCATGTCGCGGGCGACTCCCATTTTTCGAAGCTTCAAACTCATTTTTTTCGGAGAGCGACGGAATTTCTCCACATTATTTTTCAGACAGCCTTTTAGTACTATAAAGTACCTGTAATTTGCAAGTAATTTATCCTTCGTTTGCCGGCAATTTACTGCAATTTTCGACTACAATCGGAAGAGAGTGCTCTTCGGACAGGACAAAGAAGGCCTCTCGATGAGTAATGACTCGGGAATTAGGGCCGAACGATGAGTCTAACGTAATTAATGACTGTTAAGAACTCTTGGACATGTCCTTTTACAAGCTGCTTATTTTGGGATTTTTCGAAGTATCAAACATGTGGCTAAATACCTCCCCAATTTTCAAGAGTTTTTTCACTTGGAGAGGGAGGTATTTTGCCACATTTTTGATACTTTGCGGATCCAAAATGATACCTTTTTTGGAATTGGATCAAGTCCATCACTGCACTATGACAAAGACAAAAATTTTTTTATCAGTTTGTCGGGAAAATAATGTGGATTCGTCGATTTGGAATCGTCCATCATCGCTTTGCCACGGCTCAACGCTCGTGGAGATTTGATTCAACAAGACGAGAAATTTTGCTGCGACAAATCCACGTTATTTTCAAAAAAAAGACTGATAAACCAGGGAAATTGCGGCCAAAAAAAGGAAAAAAGCACCGCCCTATGAAGTGTCTTAAGTCTGCACCGAAGACTTAGGTGCTTAATTCAGCACCGCATTTCGGAATTCGGTGCTGAAAAAATTATGTCAACGCCAATTTTTCGATTTTTGGCACTTTTTTGTGCACCGAAAATCGCTATTTGGGAAAACAAAATTTTGAATTCTTATATGACCACCTTTATATGCGCCGTGTAATGAGCAGAAAAAGTCAGGGTGCGAGCGACATCCCAAAAAAGCCTCTACTAGATACAACCAGAGATTGCCACGGCTCCGGAGCCGGCTCTTGGCTCCGGCTCTGAGCGGCTCCGGCTCCGAGCCGGGAGCCAGAGCCGCAAATTTGGGCTCGGCTCCGGCTCTGGGAGCTGAGAGCCGGAGCCGAAGCCGAAATTTTGGCCGTGGCAATCTCTGGTCACAACCGCGGTAAGCCTTCGCAAAACGATGACTGGCGATTTTAAAAAAACGACGAATCCACATTATTTTCCCAACATACTGATATTTCGGGCTACTCCCGCAACTCGCAAGCAAAAATTTACTTGTTTATCAAAAAAGTAACATTCTCCCCACTCCATAACAATTATCCTCGAAAGCCTTTGTCGTCAACAAACCCTTCATAGTTTATGAATTGCACTCAGAAACGCGCACTCATTGTTTTTTGCGGGATTGCGAATGGGAAATTATTATACGAAAAACGCCGTAAAAGGAGGGGAGATAAAGACTTTAGTGGGAAAGTTTTTTTGGCGAACACGTGGTGGAGTAAAAACAATATTATACGATTGCCAGCGCCTCAAGAGCTCAATAGATGCCATCTATTGTACAGAGTCACTAAAAACACGACCGATTTTTTATTTTTGCACTGAAAGTAGAATAAAAACAGGTTCAGAAAAAGCGCAAAGATGGCCAATATAAGGTATTTTTTGACGTTAACTTTGCCTAAACCCCCATAAAGTCTTAAAATTTTAATATTTTGCAGGCATAAAAATTGTCTTCACGATGGACTCAAACATATTTTTTTGTTGAGCCCAAGAAAGTGCATTTTTTTGGCATTCAAAATCGAGATTTCGCTTTCTTCAGTTTCTCTACGATAGCGACCATCCTGGTGGCAAAATTTACGTGGTCTGAAAGGAAACTGATTACTCTATACATAGATTTGCTCTTTTTGGCGGTATGTCTTGTGGCTAGCCGTAGACGTATAAAAACAGTCGCCACTTCTAATTTTTTTCTTTTTTTAGTAGGACGAGTAAAAAAGATATTGCCGCTATTCGACGGGAAAGGAAAAAAGTGTGAAATGTCTAGGAAGATAAGATTTTCTAATTCGAAAAGTTATAGTGGGCGTAATAAAAATTGTAATACGGCTATTTATGAGAAACCCAAAAAAAGGCGATAGTAATAAATCAAGCGACAAAAAAAAGTATTTTTGGCGCAAAGAGGGTTGAATTAAAAATTTCGGCTAACTAGGGCTTTTCTGGCCCATCTCTTGCACTCTGACCTTTTCTGCACTGTGCAAACGTCAAAAAATCACTCCAGCGGCTTTGCGAACGGACTAGTAGTACCATGACAACGAAATTGCTCACAATCTGACCTTTTATGAAAATAACAGAGCATCTCTAAAACAATGAAAATCGCATGTTTTGTCTTGCCCAATGAGTCAATTCGCCTGGAGGAATTGAAATCTAACTGCTGGAAAACAAAAACATAGCCCATAAAAATTTAATTTTTATTCGATTTATTTTCCACCCGGCCCTTCCAAGGGCTTGCTCAAGTATTAATTGGAAAATTGCCTTATTTACGGGTAGATTGAAGAAAACATGACTAAACAAGGGAAGTACCGCAAGTGCGAGGCTCAGATTTTGATGAAACTTGGGACAAATTAAGAATAATTTTTTGTGAGATATGTGCGAGATTTTTACCTGGCGCTTTGCTGAAACAACCTTTTTAGATCGAAAGTTGGCAAAAAATGGGACATTTTTTTGTGAATTTTAACATGATCAGTTTAATTTTTATTTCTACCCTAGAGGGTAATATTTGCACAAAAAATCGATTTTTTCTGCTCAAAACTGGCAAAGCTATGACCAATGAGACATTTTATACGACGAAACCTGTCCAAACATGTTTCATCGTATAAAATGGTCTTATGTGAGATGTCTCAAAATTGCGGCTATTTCTATTGTAGAGGGTAATATCTCCACAAAAAATCAATTTTCTCCTCCCAAAATTGACAAAGATACGGCCAAGAAGAATTTTCTCTGACCGTTCTCCGCATTTCGCGTACTCTCTCGGCCGCAAAGATCGTTCAATATCTCAGCTGTGCCTGCAAAGTGCGGGCTAAAACTTTCAGGAATTGATACCTGGCTTATGTTTAGTACCTTTGCAAAGTTTTAAAAAAATCTGAGCAATTCAATTGGAAGATTTTCTTTGTAATACCCTCCAGAAAAAATCGATAAAAATATGTGTTGCCGGAGGGAAAACAATACCAAAAGTTGGACATACACTGCTAATAGACTGTATATTACAGTATATAAGCAACTTTTTGATCAACCCACCATGAATGCCAAAAAAATTCAAAAAATTCAAATCATTTTCTGCACCGTGTAGCAAATAAAAAATGTTTGTCCAACCCGATCTCATCTTTGCCCTTTGCGAAACCAATTCCGAACCCTCCCCTAAGGCAATGTTCGTCAGTTTGACCAAAAATAATCCCAACCCAACCGGGCTATACCCTCGAATTACGGTGTTAAAAATGGACACATTAATTACCGCGGTTACGTTCGCAGTATTCGAAAACATAATTGTTGTGGGGCAAAAGTCGTCGCAGGGAAATTACTAAGTACGTGAGAACCGGGAAAACAAAAAAATCTTTGGTATCTTCCGAGAGTTTGAATTTCGTAGGCGGATTGCACTGTGCGGTGGAAATAATTTTGCAAGTATTCGAACGGCCAGAGATTAGTCCTCAAAAAAAGGTCGGTGTGTTGTAATTTAGATGCTATTGAGATAGTGCATAATGTCTGTAAGCCCTTAGGGCAAGTTCGGCAAGGTAATTTAGGCAATTTATTAAATTCTGCACTGTGCAAAAAAAATCTTTTTAATTTTTTTGTGTTCCCAAATTTGATATTAAAAAATTTGATAGTGTACTGTAGCATATAGCCTATTAACAATGTAGGAAAAAAGTTTTGAACTTTTATCTCAAGAGTAAATCTGTTTTTACGCAACTTTTTTAATCTGCACTGTGCAAAACAACTTTGCCAAATTTGGTTAGTTTAAATGATAGATGTGGAAAAAACCGATGTCCTACTGTAATTTGGAACTCCTCAGTGTCATAATCACACAATTTTAGAGCTCTATTTTGCCTGTAAGTTAACTTTGGAGCATCTTTTTCTGATGCACTGTGCAAGAAAATTGTTTTTTGAAGTTATGTCAGATTTGTGAGGATATAACAAAAAACTAGTGTCATACTGTATCAAACAGATAGCCAGTAACACAATAGCATTTCTTGAATTGTTTGCCACATTTAGAAGCTTTTGTTTTTTCAACTTTTTCTGACCTTTGCACTGTGCGGCGGAAAATTTCCAATTGCACGGTGCAATAAAACTCGCAACAAGACGCACAGTGCAATAAAAAAAGCCCCAGCGCACAGTGCAAAGCAATAAAAAAGCGAGAAGAAAAAGTGGAATTGTCGCGTTTCGACCCGGAAGTTTGGGGAATTCGAAAAGGTTCACCGCACCGTGCGACGGGATTTCAAATTCTTTTGATAAGTGCACTGTAGGAAAAACAGCTTTGTAGTGCATAGGAAAATTACTGTTGAGACGGACTTTTAATTGAAATCTTCGCACGGTGCGGTGAATTTTCTTCGCACGGTGCGATGAAAATAAAGACTGTGAAAAAATTTGGTTGCCGGAGGGGAAAGAGATCGAAAATGGTGAATTTTGATTTTCAACCGTGTATATGTTACAGTATATAATAATTTTTTGAGTTTTCGAATAATACTTTTTCAACAAAATAGAAAAAATGTTTCTCTGCACGGTGCGATGAAACTAAAAACTGTGAAAAAATTTGGTTGCTGGGTGGAAAAGCTCAAAAAATGATGGATAGTATTTCCAGCCGGGTCTATGTTACAGTATATAATCATTTTTTAAGTTTTCGGATTATGCTTTTTCAAAAAAAATGAAAAAAAAATCTGCACTGTGCGAAGAAAATAAAAGTCGATAAAAATACATGTTGCCAGAGGGCAAATGATTCAAAAACTTGCACATACAATTCTAATAGCCTCTACATTACAGTATACTAACAACTTTTTGATTGGTTAACAATGAACGCCGGAAAAAAATTAAAAACTTTTTTCGCACAGTGCGATAAAAATAAAAGTCGATAAAAAATACATGTTGCCAGAGGAGAAATAATTCAAAAACTTGCACATGCAATACTAATAGGCTCTATATTACAGTATACTAACAACTTTTTGATTGGTTAACAATGAACCCCGGAAAAAAATAAAAAAGAGTTTCCGCACAGTGCGGAGAAAATATAAGTTGATAAAAATACATGTTGCCTTAGGGGAAATAATGCAAAGACTTGCACATGCAATACCAATAGCCTCTATATTACAGCATACCAATAACTTTTTGATTGGTTAATAATGAACACCTGAAAAAATTTAAAACCTTTTTCCGCACAGTGCGATAAAAATAAAAGTCGATAAAAATACATGTTGCCGGAGGGGATATAATTAAAAAACTTGCACATGCAGTGCAAATAGGCTCTATATTACAGTATACTAACAACTTTTTGATTGGTTAACAATAAACGCCAAAAAAATAAAAACTTTTTTTTCCGCACAGTGCAGTCGAAAAAAAATTTCGCTCAAAAAATCTCGTCTAAAAACGCCCAAAACTCACATGAAAAAAGTCGGCCGGGTTCTGTAGATTCCCCGTCTCCGCCGCATACAATATCTCCTCGGCGGCTTCGTGAGATGGCGCCAATGTTGTCAATAAATCACTGTCCTCGAGAAGGGAATCCAAATTATTTTCGTCCTCGGTTTCCACGGACTCCGACGACTTCATGACTTTCGGGAGATTATGCGCCTTCTGCGAGCGGATTCCGGCCGAGATTTTGAACCATTCAGCCATCTTGGGAATCTGAAAAAAAAATATTGAAAAATATTAAGAAATAAAATTAAAATTTAGTGTAAAATACGGCAGAAGTTGGTTCAAAAAAGGCCTTGGAAAAAATAAAATGAAGATTCAAAGGGAATCCCAACTTCCAAAGAACTTTTTTTTGTTATATTTGTATTTTCGGAAAGTGCATGGGCATTTGTTCTCTTCCGCACAGTGCATTCTGAACTTTGAACTTTTCCCACGCTTGATCGCACCGTATAATTTCCTATTTTCGCACAAACCACAAAAAGATAGCTGTTGCAATTTGAAAAAAAAATTCATCGTATAAGATGTCACATCTTGTTTTTCTCAATTTGAAAAAAAATTTCATCGTATAAGATGTCACATCTTATTTTTCTCAATTTGAAAAAATTTTTCATCGTATAAGATGTCACACCTTTTCTTTTCAATTTGAAAAAAGTTCCATCGTATAAGATGTCACACCTTATTCTTTTCGATTTGAAAATTTTTTTTCATCGTATAACATGTCACATCTTATTTTTCTCAATTTGAAAAAACTTTTCATCGTATAAGATGTCACACCTTATTCTTTTCAATTTAAAAAAAATTTCATCGTATAAGATGTCACATCTTATTTCTTCAATTTGAAAAAACTTTTCATCGTATAAGATGTCACACCTCATTTTTTCAATTTTCAAAATGAGGGGGAGTGTTCAAAAAGGGGATGGTTCATTCAAGGGGGAGTGTTCAAAAAGGGGGAGAGTTCTGAAGGGGGAAAGTTCAAAAAGGGGGAGAGTTGAAAAAGGGGGAGAGTTCAGAAAAGGGGTAGAGCTCTGCCGCAACGCAAATGCACAGTGCAAGAACAAAAAGAGATGAGTGCACGGTGCAAGAACTCCAAAAAAAGTTGAGTGCACGGTGAAAGTGGCGGGTTTTGTGCACGGTGCGTACCACGACAAATGTCCAAGCACCTTATAAAAATGCTAATATTAGTATTTTCATAAAGTGCGTGGACTTTTTCTGTCTTCTCTCGCCACCGCACAGTGGCATTTTTCGAGATTTCAAATGCACAGTGCAAACTAAAAAATGATGAAATGCACGGTGCAAAATGAGGGTTTTTGTGCACGACCGCGAAAAATGTCCAGGCGCTTTATGAAAACACTAATAAGGTTTACGGATGTTTATTTTGAGGGGGATTTCTCATGTTTTGAAGCTCAATTTTCTCAAAAGTCTCTCAAATTTTGGAGCTCAGTTTTCTCCTTTCATCAAAATCCGAGAGGGAGCCATTTTATACGACGAAAAGTTTAATATTTTTTTGATTTTTTTCTATTACCAAACTTTATCCTACGGTAATCTCAACTTTTTATCGCCCCAAAAAAACATTTTTTCGCCATGTCCCAGCACTACGCAACATCAGACGTCCTGTAATTTTTAATAAACAGCCGCGGAAATTAGCACCATTTAAAGCGGAAGGCTCGAGGGAAAAATTTTACAAAGCAGCGAAAAAATATAGCAAATTGGCGATAAAAAGTCTTCCGGTCCGTTTGCGTGCAGCGCATTAAGGGTGAAAAAGTTGAAAATGTCGAAAAAATTCGGAAATTAGAAAAAATTGCAAAATAAATGTTTTTTTTAATAAAAAAATAAAAAAGGTTTCAAAACGCAAGATAAAAATATTTTTCAACAAAAAAAGGATAAATTTGCAATGTTTTTAATAAGACATCCAATTGCACCGTGCAGAATTTTTTGATTTTCTGACTGCACTGTGCGGGAAAAGTTGAGAGAAAATCTGCACTGTGCAGTGAAAGAACAGGACAGATTATAGTCCCAGAGTTTTTTCGGAGTTCCCTAGATCACCTGGAGCAAAAAATTTTTTATTTCTTTACTTGCACAGTGCAAAAACCCGAAATTTTGGACTTGCACGGTGCAAAAAAAGAAGTCTCAAAATCTGCACTGTGCAGTCAAAGAATAGGATAGGTCTAACGTTCTAGCGTTTTTTCACAGTACCCTGAATCGCCTAGTATAAAAAAATTTATTTCTTTACTTGCACAGTGCAAAAAATCAAAATTTTGGACTTGCACAGTGCAAAAAGGAGAAGTCTCAAAATTTGCACTGTGCGACAGGGAAAAAAGTCGAGGACACTGGGCAATCTTAATTTATGGCCAAGTTGAACAGCCTTACACAAAAATATTTGCCGTTTCAATTTTTTAAACCGCAAATTCTCACAATTTTTCCTATTGCACAGTGCAAAATTTAAAGTTCCAAAATTTTGCACTGTGCAAAAATAACTGAATTTTCTTTGTTGCTACATCATTTTTCTTACCGTAAATTCTCTAATAGCAGCAAGACTTACAAATGTTTTCCACCTATACATCGCCAAATAAAAAAAAGTAAAGTCTGCCCGGTGCAATTAACGAATCTTTATTTCCACTGACGCACTGAGCAATGAACTTGGCGAAGGGCCCATAAAGAATTAGTTCCGGGCCAATTACTCCACTCAACACTTTTTTTTATGTTTTGAATGTTGCACTGTGCACTAAACTAATCAATTTTTTCCGCACAGTGCAGTTTAAAAAAGATCTTGCACAGTGCGATTTGAGGCCAGACATTTGAGCGCGCACAGTGCAAAAAATTCTTGGCGACAAATTTGTTTTCTGCACTGTGCAAAACACTCGATTTTTTGCTGCACTGTGCAAAAACATTTTTTCTTTGGAACTGCACAGTGCAAGAAATTCTTGGCGACAAATTTGTTTTCTGCACTGTGCAAAACACTCGATCTTTTCTCTGCACTGTGCAAAAAAATTTTAGCGACAAATTTGTTTTTTGCACTGTGCGAAACACTCTATTTTTTGCTGCACTGTGCAAAAAATTTTTTCTTTGGAACTGCACAGTGCAAAAAATTGTTGGCGACAAATTGTTTTGTGCACTGTGCAAAACATTCGATCTTTTCTCTGCACTGTGCAAAAAATTTTTTCTTTGAAACTGCACAGTGCAAGAAATTCTTGGCGACAAATTTGTTTTCTGCACTGTGCAAAACATTCGATCTTATCTCTGCACTGTGCAAAAAAAATTTTAGCGACAAATTTGTTTTCTGCACTGTGCAAAACATTCGATCTTTTCTCTGCACAGTGCAAACAATTGTTGGCGACAAATTGCTTTCTGCACTGTGCAAAACATTCGATCTTTTCTCTGCACAGTGCAAAAAATCGTTGGCGACAAATTGTTTTGTGCACTGTGCAAAACACTCGATTTTTTGCTGCACTGTGCAAAAAATTTTTTTCTTCGAAACTGCACAGTGCAAAAAATTCTTGGCGACAAATTGCTTTCTGCACTGTGCAAAAAAAATGTTAGCGACAAATTTGTTTTCTGCACTGTGCAAAAAAATTCTTAGCGACAAATTTGTTTTCTGCACAGTGCAAAACACTCTATTTTTTGTTGCACTGTGCAAAAAATTTTTTTCTTCGAAACTGCACAGTGCAAGAAATTCTTGGCGACAAATTTGTTTTCTGCACAGTGCAAAAAATTGATGGCGACAAATTGCTTTCTGCACTGTGCAAAACACTCGATCTTTTCACTGCACTGTGCAAATGAATTTTTTTGCGACAAATTGCTTTTTGCACTGTGCAAAACACTCGATCTTTTCACTGCACTGTGCAAATGAATTTTTTTGCGACAAATTGCTTTTTGCACTGTGCAAAACACTCGATCTTTTCTCTGCACTGTGCAAAAAACAATTTCTTTTCAAATCCGCACGTTTCAATCAAAATTAATTTTGGTAAATGTTGCACTGCGAATTATTCTTTTATTCTCCTATGTATACCCTCTAATTCAATAAAAAAATAGGCCTAAGAAAATCCCAAAAAAAATATATGAATACCAATTACGCACGGTGCGATGAGTTTTATTCGATTTTCGGGGATTTCTCCGAAAACAATGCACAGTGCAAGGATGCAATCTTTTCAGCATATCATATTGGCTTTGTATGACATTGGAAAATATCTTTATTCAATTAAAAAATTCAAAATTAGCCGAAGAACCGAAATTTCTACGTTTGGCAAGTCACGCACAGTGCGAAGAAAATGATTAATCGGCAAAAGTTTACAATTTAACTATTGTAATAAAAAGAAAATATTTTTTGTTAATTTATGGGCAATGTTCGTGGCCAATCTGGCCCCTAAAAAGTGAAAAAATCTCTGAAAATTGGGAAAAATAAGAGACAAAATTTTTCGCACGGTGCGGTCAAAAAAGGATAAATAATTTGGATGGATATTTAAGTCGATTTTTAGTAGCGAAAATTGTATTTTTCACTTTTGAAAACTCTTTTTTCAAAACAAAATTACAAAAAAAATTCAATTTTTGGAAGTTTTCGACTTAAAACTCTCGGTTGTTCCTGCATAACGCGGTCTGAAAAATTGGAAAAAACCTTTATGAAGTCCAAATTTTCACTCCATAAGACTAAATATGATTTTTTAGTTGAAAAACATCAAATTTTCATCAACCTTTGACCTAAAAATCTCAATTATTTCTACATAACGCGATCGAAAAATCTCGGATTTGACTTTAAAAATTTATATCCAATTTGCTTTTGACTTTGTGAAAACTCTTTTTTCAAAAGAAAATTACAAAAAAATACAATTTTTGGAATTTTTCGACCTAAAAATCTCGGTTGTTTCCGTATAACGCGGTCTAAAAACTTATAAAATGCCTTTATTCCCGTCTAAATTTCCACTTCATGGTAATGAAAATAATTTTTTTTTGATCGAAAAACATCAAATTTTCATCAACCTTTGACCTAAAAATCTCAATTATTTCTGCATAACGCGGTCAAAAAATATCAAATTTGACTTAAAAAATTGATATCCAACTTATTTTTTAGACCGCATGTGCTAAAAACCACTATATTTTTTGCAATTTTTGACGAAAAAATTTCGCTTATTTCTGCATAACGCGATCTAAAAATTCTTCCCCATCTTTCATTAAAATCCCTGCACTTTCCGTACCGGACAAACACATCGCTGCACTAAGCACACGTGTCGTCATAAAACCCCACCGTATCCCGCCACTCCGATGATTCGCATGTAATAATTTCGGGCCCCACCCCGCCGAAGAGAAGAGAGCCACCCACCTAAATAAACTGAAGGAGCGCGCGGGGAGGGCCGCGGATAATTGAATTGCGAATATGGCCTGAGGCGGCGCGCGGCCAAGGGAGTAAGTATTTTGTCTCCGCGAAATAAACTTTGATTTTCTAAGCAGATCCGACGGGTGCTGTGGCTGAAGGGCTAAAAACAAAAGGGATGACGAAGACGAAAAGGGGTTGGGAAATGGAGGGAAGAGGTGCGGGAAAAGAAGATAAAATAATCCTACGGCAAAAGGGGACCAATGGTGGATTGTTTATCCGGATGCCCATTATTTTCCCGACAGACTAATATGATGATTTATCATTCTGTCGGAAAAATAATGTGGGGTTTTTAATTTTCGTCTGTCGGGAAAATAATGTGCCTTCGTCGGCATCAGTTTGTCGGGAAAATAATGTGGACTTGTCGCATCGAAAATCCACGTTGCTGAAATGAAAAGCAATTTGATTTTTTGTGACACAATCCATCGTTTCGGTCCCAATTTTGATGCGACAGAGTGCTCATTATTTTCCCGACAGACTGAGAAAGACTTATTTTATGATCTATGAGTTTGAAATGCAATAAAAATCGTAAAAATATGACGTCATAAAAAAATGCAAATTACTAAAAAAATAAAATTTTATGCAAATTTATGCAAAGTTTGGATTCAAAATTCTAGATAAAAAGCATCAAAAATTAGTCCTATTAATTTTTCAGCTTATTGAAAATTATGCAAATTTTTGAAAATTTCGGAAATTTAAAAAATTTTTATGCAAATTAAACATATTTTTTGTTCAATATTTAACGTGAACATGATAAAAATCTACGAAAAATCAAAGCTATTAGTTTTTGAGCTTACTGAAAATTATGCAAATTTTAAGAAATTATGCAAATTTCACAAAATTTCATGCAAATTTATACATCGTCTTGACTCAAAATTTAACATAACCACATCAATAAAGAACATCAAAAACAAAGGCTCTTAATTTTTGAACTTACCGACAATTATGCAAATTTTTAATAATATGTAAATTTATGCTAATTTAATTCAAAATTGAAACTTTCCCTCAAACTAAGTTGTTGCCACGTTCTTGGCCAAACTATTTTTACAAAAAAATCCCCACAAAATTTGCGAACGTTTGTCCGCAAATTGGCCACGTGAAAGGGCCGAAAACCCCAGTCTTCGGCCTCTAACCCAATCTCCAACTGTCTAGTTATCCCCTCCAACTAACCCTATCAGCCTCGGAAACAAGGCGTTTCCGTGAAAAACAGTGGAATTTTGGGACGCGCAAAGAAGGACGAAGATCAAAAAAAGGTAAAAAATAAGGAAAAAAATAAAAATTTCAAAAAAAAAGTTCAAAAAAATTTAAATTAAAAAAATTAAAAATAGAAAGGATCAAAAACAAAATTCAAAAAAATTAAAATTAAAAAAGTTAAAAATAGAAAAGAGCAAAAAAAGAATAAAAAATTCCAAAAATTTCCTCAAAAAATCGCTCAAAAAACTCATTTATTTTTTTATTTTTCACTATGAACAGGTCGAATTTGATTATTTTTCTCCTTTTTCTCCCCAATTCCTTGGCGCAGGACGAGTTTTTGCCTGATGAAGAATGCGAATCGATGAATTCGGAGGCTCTCAGAGAAAAGATTCGAGAGGGACTTTGCAAACCCATCCAATTTGGAAGGGAAGAGGCTAGGTGAGGAAAAATAAAGCGAATCTTGGTTTTTTTGGCACTGCACTGTGCAGAATTTTTTGTTTTCTTTTTTGCACTGTGCAAAATTTTATTTTTTGTTTGTTTTTTTTTGCACAGTGCAAATTTTTTTAATATTTTTTTGGCACTGTGCAAAATTTTTTCTTTTTTTCACTGTGCGAAATTTTATTTTTTGTTTTTTTTTTTGCAGAGTGCAAAATTTTTTTATTTTTTTTTTGGCACTGCGCAAAAATTTTATTTCAGCTTTTTGCACAGTGCAAAATTTGATTTCATACTTTTTTGCACCGTGCAAAATTTTATTTTAGATTTTTGCACGGTGCAAATTTCATTTTACATTTTTTTGCACCGTGCAAAATGCATTTTTTATTTTCTTTTTTGCACTGTGCAAAATTTCACTTTATACTTTTTCCACTGCGCAGTCTAATTATTTTACTTATTTTTCACTTGCACGGTGCAAAATTTCATTTTTCATTTTTTTCACTGTGCAAATTTTTATTTCCGACGTTTGCACGGTGCGGTTTTTCAATTTTCTTTGGTTTATCGCACAGTGCACTCTAATTTTTCCGGTTTGACTCTGCACGGTGCAGATTTTTATTTTCATTTTTTTTGCACAGTGCAAGCAATCGATTTGTCGCTCCTTTTGCACAGTGCGCCAAAAAATTGTCTTTCTTTTGATCGATTGGCCGGCTGCACAGTGCAATAAAAAAAATTAAAAAATTTTTTTTTTGAATGCACGGTGCAGGAAAAAGATTATTTTTTTTTGCACGGTGCAAAAATTAAAAAAAGTAAATTTTGCTTTACTCTATGTGCTGTTTAAAAAAAAAAAAAACTTCAGCACTACTACGACTCAAAAACCCAAACGAAAATTGATTTCCGCCCACACTAAGCGCCGATTGATGAAGATTATTTATTTTGGAAATCAACGATATCTGAATGTGACGCTGAATACCAAAAAAAAGGAGAGCATACAATTGTTGGAAGTGGTGGAAGGAACCTTTTTGGAACTGAAATGCAACACAAATAATACACTGGCTAATGAAACAGTAAGCTTTTTTTTGGGATTTGAAATTTGTGGGAAATTTTTTGCACAGTGCAGGATTTGGGAAGGACCAAATTTTTTGCACAGTGCAAAAAATACATAAATTTTTGCACAGTGCGAAGAATAGGAAAAATTTGCACTGTGCAATGAAAGAAAATATCGCAGCATTTTTGTAGCGCAGTGCAAAAAAATTTGAAAATTAGCACGATGCGAAAAGCTCCCCCTTTTTCTGAATTTTCCCTCAATCTGAACTCTCCCCCTTCAGAACGCTCCCCCTTTTTGAACACTCCCCCTTGAATGAACCCTCCCCCTTTTCAAACACTCCCCCTCATTTTGAAAATTGAAAAAACGAGGTGTGACATCTTATACGATGAATTTGAAAATTCAATTTGAAAAAAAATTTCATCGTATAAGAAGTCACACCTCATTCTTTTCAATTTGAAAAATTTTTTCATCGTATAACATGTCACACCTCGTTTTTTCAATTTTCAAAATGGGGGAGTGTTCAAAAAGGGGGAGAGTTCAGATTTTTTGGCGAAAATCAAAAAAAAAAGGATTTTTTTTAATTTTTTTCAAAATTTTCAGATCTCCAATACTTCCTTTCCGACATGGTATCTGGACGGTGTAAAAATCAGAGAGCATTTGGGATGGCGAATTCAATTATACGATAACAACTCCAAGCTTGTCTTTTCTCCGACGATTCCAGAGCTCGACAGCGGTTTATATGAGTGTATCTTGAATGGAGAGACGGCTGGATGGATTAGAATTGAGGTTTATGCGTTGTGGGTGAGTTGGAGAATCGATTTTTTTTAATTTGAAAAAATGGCCAGAAAAATTTTTTTTCTGATTTTGCTGAAAATTGGCAAAAAATAAAACTAAAAAATGGATAAGGCATGCTACAAATTTTTAGCTTGCATTTTACAGAATTTACTGACAGGGGAAGTACTTCAAGTGCGACGCTCAGATTTTGATGAAACTTGGCACAAATTTAGAATAATTTTTTCTAAGATACATGCGAGAATCTTAGCTCGCACTTTGCGGAAGAAACCGAGATTTTTAGATCGAAAGTGGGCGAAATTTTAGGAATTTTTGCCGAATTTCGTCACGAAAAGTTTCATGCCTGTTTTACCGTAAAGGATAATGTGTCTACAAAAAATCAAATTTTTCCGCACGAAACTGCCAAAATTATGGCCAAAAAGGTGTTTTCTCTCTGACCGCTCTCCACGTTTAGCGTGCTCTCTCGACTGCAAAAATCGTTCGATATCTCGGCGGTGCCCGCAAAGCGCGAGCTAAAACTTTCAGGAATTGATATTTAGATCGTATCCGACGTGTGTGCAAAATTTAAAGAAAATCGAAGCGTCGCACTTGGAGTACTTCCCCTGTGAGATTTTTAGGTTTAAATTTATTGAACTTTTGACATTTTTATTTTTTTTCCTTTTTTTGAAGATGACTAACATCCGATCACTTGACTTCGTATTTTACAATGATTTTTTGACTATATTTCTTTAATTTCCAGTGATATTTTCACTTTTTAGGACTCAATTCTGGATGGATTTATCAATTACATAGTGGTGATTCTCGTTGGCTCCCCGATTTTTTTCATGATCTTGGCTTGTCAAACATTCGCCAAATACCGGAGCAGCATCCAAGAAGATCCGCTTTTCATTGGCGAAGATCCGGAGGCAGAAGAAAATTACGAAGAATTGATGATGCAACTCAAAGACGCGGAACTCTATCGATAGTTGATGAAGATGCAATTGAAATAATTTTTTTTGATGATAAATGTAATGTGTGTATACGGTATTTGGCATAAAATAAAATTTTTTTTTCTTTTTTTTTTTTAATTTTCTTGTTTTGCACTGTGCAATGGATGGAATTGATTTTTGTACTGTGCAGAGGAGGAAAATACATTTTGCACATTGCAAAATGAAACCGATAGTGAATGCACTGTGCGAAGAGCAAAAAAATAAATTTTTCTTTGTGCACAGTGCGATTGGAACGACAATTTCATTTTTTGCACTGTGCAACCTGTAAAAAGTTTGCCGCACAGTGCAGTCGACAAAAGCTAAATGTTTTCTTTGTGCACCGTGCAGAAAATTAATTTTGACATTGCACCGTGCATAAAAAATGGACGCTTAAAAACGGCACCGTGCAAAAAAAATAAAAAAATAAAAAATAATAAAAAATCAATCGAAAATACATAATTTTCAAGAATTTATGGCATTTTTATATTCGACCTGACATAATAACAAAATAAAATATTTTTAAAAAAATTAAAAGTAATGTAATTTACAATTCTAACAATAATTTTTTAAATAGAAATGACCCGTTTATTGTGCAGCCACCGGCAAATCGCTCTGTTTCTGATCGAACATCAGCCTCCACATGTAGCTGTCGCTCATGTTCAAAAAGTAGAGGTCTCTGTTCATATCAATCATAAACTTGACCAAGTTTTTTCGCTGTAAAATCAAACAAGTAAGTAGCATGATGCTCCCGGTCCCCAGGAATATCGAGCCAGTGATGATGAAGGGCGTTTCATCTTGCTGAAAAAAAATTGATTTGTTTTTTTGATTTTTTATGAATTAACACTGCAAAAAGTGTATAAAATTAGTTTCAAAGGCATCTTCAAAATGTTGAACTTGCGTTTTGCAAAAAAAAAAATTAAATTTTTTGTTAAAAAATCAAAAAATTTAGTAAAAGTTCCTTATTCTGGACACAACTTATAACTTTGCGGAAACTGGTCGGAATTAGCCCAAATTTAGCGTGCACGCTCAACTCATCGTTATCAATGCCCCAGTGGATCTAGTTAGCGAGGTACCTTCTTTTTTACGTACCACCTTACCCTCAAAAACGGCTGCACCCTGCGATTTTACCTTTTATACGATGAGACCTGTCCGGAACAAAACTTATCGCCTCCGTATAGAACCAGTTGAGTCTTCATGGCCTTCGTAGGTAGCCTTAAAGCTATAGATCTACTATAGTAATTCAGTGCCAACTAGGTCGAAGCCTTTCTTCCTAACTTTAGTTCCCAAGCTTGGGCGCAGTTCGCAGAGTTCCTTTGTTGTGGCCAGAATAAGGAACTTCTTCCAAAAATTTTTTATTTTTTTTGTGTTACCACTGTAAGCACAAAAAACTCTACAAAATAGTTTTCTAAGGCGTTTTAAAGATCTTTAGCCCTCGCTTTGCAAAAAAAATCGATTTTTCTGTCGAAAAATTTCAAAATTTTTTTTGATTTTTTTTTGTAAAAATTTTTGAAAATTCAATTTTTTTCAACAAAAAACTTACAAACAACACCACCAATAGCCCGCTCAAGATCATCAAAATTCCACAAACGAACAGCCCGGCCAATGATAACACAGTTGTCGGCGAACTAGGCCCTTTTCGTAAGCGCATTTCTGTCTGAAAAAGTAAACAGTTTTATTCTTTGCAATTCAATTATGGATAAAAAAGAAACACGAATTTTTTTTGTCGAGATGAATCATGGGCGTGAAACTGATTTTTTTTTTGATATTTGAAAAAAAAATTAAAGCTAAAAGTTTTTGCCTTGGAATTTTTTTTTCTTTTTTTGTATTTGCAAGATTTTTTGTGTCGTATTTTAAGATTTTTTGTTGAAAAAAGATTATTCCGTATCTCTTTCTATGTCTGTAAAAAATTTCACATCGCACTGTGCAGATCAAAAAAAATTATGCACGGTGCGGAAATTTTGAAAAAAACTTTGATAAAATGGCTAAAATAAGGTGAAATTTTTTAAAAATTGTTTGTAGTGAAATGATAGGACATTAGCATTACTTTAGACTCTTTTTTATGTTTTTCAAATTTTTATTTTTGAAATTACGCTAAAATCAAAAAAATTCGCCGCACTGTGCAAAAATCGGAAAAATCGCACGGTGCGAAGATTTAAAAAAAAAACTTTGATAAAATAGCTAACAAGGAAAGTACTTTTATGGGGGCTCCTACTTTTTGACGGGACATATCTCAAAAAATCAGAAAAAATGTGCTGATCAAGGATATGTAAATCTTAGCTGCCCATTTTAGGTTTTTAGGGGTGAAAACTCAATCGGAAGTTGACTTAAAGTCCTATATGAACCCCTTTTCGCTTAATTTTTCACAAGTTTACAATTTTTATTTTGGCTTAAAATGATGCTTATTGAGCTTCTAAGACGTAATAAATCAGTCTTGGCACAAAAATTTATTTTTCCGACCTTCATCTTCAAAAAAAGTTGATTCGGCCCAAAAGGGAAATCGAACCCGTGCGGAGTCCTCCTCCCGATTCCCAGACTACAGCACTAACCACTCGGCCACACCGCTCTCTTCCGAAGGAAGGGACCGACTGCGCTTTTTATCGTTTCGAATGCCTGCGCCTTTTGTAAGGAAATTAGGCCAGTTTTTGGACATTTTCACCCCTAAAAACCTAAAATGGGCAGCTAAGATTTATATATCCTTGATCAGCACATTTTTTCTGATTTTTTGAAATATGTCCCGTCAAGAAGTAGGAGCCCCCATAAAAGTACTTTCCTTGTAAAATAAGCTCAATTTTGAAAACATGTGTTCCTATGGAATTTGTAGGCTATTGGCTCTCAATAAAATCATTTTTTACTTTTTTGAAATTCTTATTTTTAAAGATACAAGGAAATCAAAAAAATTCACCGCACTGTGCAAAAATCGGAAAAATTGCACAGTGCAAAGTGAACTTTTGTTTTCGCACAGTGCATGTCGCCAAAATCACTCTTGCGACCGCACTGCGAGTTTCGTATTTTAGCATCAAAATCGAAAAAAATCAAAAATCATAAAAATTTATTTTTTCCCAAAAACGAAATTTCTCCCACAAACCCTTAGGGCGTCCAGCCCATTGTAATGCTGTACCCCCCGAGACAAACAATGTAATAAAGGAAAAGTGAGAAACGGGGGGAATATTCCATTCAATCGAATTTGAATGAAAAATCGGATATTTTTCGAACCGAACAATATTTTTTAATCGGATTGCGCTTCTTCTTGTTCTATGGAAGTTCTATGGAAGAGAAAATCATTTCTCTGGGAAATTTTGAAGTTTGTCGCGGATTGTGATGTAAAAGTTTATGATAAGTTTACGACAAAAAAAATTAAAAATATCAAAAAAGATATGGGAAATTTATTTTTAAGAAAATCAGAATTTGTCGCAAGTCATAGTGTAATTTTGCACTATGGTCAGCGACAAAATTTTTTTTTCTTCAAAAAAATCTCAAAATTCGATAAAAATCAATTTTTTAAGATTTTTAAAATTTGTCGCGATTCATAGTGTAATTTTGCACTATGGTCAGCGACAAAATTTTTTTTTTCCAAAAAAATCTCAAAATTCGATAAAAAACAGTTTTCAAAAATTTTAAAATTTTGTCGCGATTCATAGTATAATTTTGCACTATGGTCAGCGACAAAAATTTTTTTTTTCCAAAAAAATCTCAAAATTCGATAAAAATCAATTTTTTAAGATTTTTAAAATTTGTCGCCAAGCATAGTGTAAATTTGCACTATGGTCAGCGACAAATCCAAGAAAAAGTTTAACTTTATAGACTTCCATTAAACAAATCCGCCGCTTACCTGCGAAAAAGTGGGCATTTCCATCTGCTCCAATGAGTCCTGCCTACTAATCGAGTATCGTCTTTTTGGGACAGTAATATTGACCTTCATCGAAGGGGAGTGGCTCTGAAATTTGAGAAAAGTAAATATTCCGACCTATTTCGTATTTTACCCTGCGTTTGTTGTTCTTTTATCGGTCTGTCGGGAAAAAAACGGCGGATTGTCGCGCCTCGGAATCGCCCATCATCGCTTTGCGACTGCAAGCCGCGGATTGGGATTTGGTGCGCGACAGCGGCGAGGCGAGACATTTTGATGCGACGATCCGCCGTTATTTTTCCGACAGACTGATAGCCCGTCCAGAAAGTCGCTAGAGTGATTTCACCGACATGCACTGTGCAGAAAAATTCAGGGTGCGAGCGACAGCCCAGAAGAACCAATTGCACGGTGCAAAAAGCAAGAAATCGCACAGTGCAAGAGGAACTTTTCTTTTCGCACAGTGCATGTCGCCCAGGTCACTTCGAAGTGATTTTTGGCGCTTGCACTGTGCAGAAAACTTCAAGGTGCGAGCGACATCCCAAAAAAGCCTATTGCACAGTGCAAAGTGAACCTTTGTTCTCGCACAGTGCATGTCGCCGAAATCAGTCCAAATTGATTTCTTGCACAGTGCAAAAAAAATCCAGGGTGCAAGCGACAACCGAAAAAAATCCAACCCCTTTGCACGGTGCAAAAAGCAAGAAATTGCACAGTGCAAAGTCATCTTTTGCTTTCGCACAGTGCATGTCGCAAAACTCACTCCAGCGACTTGCGAATGGACAATCGGTCTGTCGGGAAAAAAATGAGCAAAATCTCGTGAAAAATTTTGACAAATTGTCTGCAAGGTAATTGAGATTTTTTGATAGAAAGTCGTCGAAAATCAGACTTTTTTTTGTTTTTTTTTTTTTTTTTTTTTTTTTTAAGATTTTCAAATTTAAACTTTTTTTTTAAATTGGCATTCTGTTCGAAGTGTGGATTCAAAATTTTTGACCAAAAAAGTCTCTTTTTTCAAGCAAAATCCACAAAGATCCGGCTAAAAAGTTTTTTCTCTGATTGTCTCTCCTCATTTTCGATAGTCTCTCGCCCACAGAAAAATCGTTGAATATCACCGCTGCGACTGAAAAGCCAACGCTGAAGTTTTTAAAAATTGATTCTTGGCATGCTCAAAGACACTTGGAGATATCAGTTTGGACCGTATTACTTTTTCAAACAATAATATATAACACCAAGTCATCAAAAACAAAACGGACAAAACCTACAACTTTGGTGGCCTGTGAGGCCGAGGAATGGGTGCGTTCGAGTCCGTCGCTGTCCAGAACCAGAACCGCGAGTTTTGAAGAGTCGACCGGCGAGACCACTCCAGGCGACGGTCGATCCAACCGCGTCTCTTTGAGGTCGTGGAAACCCCTCGGTTCTTTCCGCATTTTCTCTGGAAATCAGGGGTTAATTGGGAAAATTATTACGATTTCAATGCTCACAGCGGCATGTAAGATCATATTATTGCTATTTTGATGGTTGCTTATTGTCAAAACTTTATATTTTTTGAGTTTTTTGGAAAAGTGGGGTCCAAATGCCTAGTGTAATATAAAAAGGGCTAAAGAGTTGAAATGAGGATTAAACAGTGCGTATTTTACAAAGAAAGCGGCTTGTTCAGCCATAAAGTTGTGGATTTTAACAGCTTCAGATCACCTAGTTTATTTACTTTTTCAATTTTTTAAAAAGATGACATCAGATAATCAAGTACAATATAACCCAAAATTTTTGGTTGTTGAGTAAAAAATATATGCCAAAATAACGGCTAGAAGCTTTTCTTCAAATTTTAGAACCAAAAATTACTGTATCATAAAATTTGTATAACATTTTACATCAATCTTCCCTATCTGATCATCTAATAGTATTAGTATAATATAAAAAGGGCCAAAGATTTTATATGCAACGTTAAATTCTTCGTGTTTTAAAAAGAAACAGGCTTGTTAGGCTATACATTTTTGGATTTTAACAGCTTCAGACCACCTACTTTATCTACTTTTTCAATTTTTCAAAAAGATGACATCAGATAACCATGTACAATATAACCCAGAATTTTTGGTTGTAGAGTAAACAATGGCTTTAACAAGAATTGCAAGGACATTTTCTTCAAAATTTAAACACAGAAATTACTGTATTCCACTATTTAAATAACGTTTTACATCAATCTTTATATCTGCTCATCTAGTGTAATATAAAAAAGTCCAGAGAATTGAAATGCAGAATAAAATTTTACGTATTTTACAAAGAAAAAGGCTTGTTCAGCCATAAAGTTGTGGATTTTAACAGCATCAGATCATCTAGTTTATTTACTTTTTCAATTTTTCAAAAATATGACATCAGATAATCTAGTACAATATGACCCAAAATTTTGGGTTATAGAGTAAAAAATAGATGCCAAAATAACGGCTGGGACATATTCTTCAAAGTTTAGCTTTAAAAATTACTGTGTCATAAAATTTGTATAGCATTTTACATCAATCTTCCCTATCTGATCATCTAGTATAATATAAGCCAAAATTATGGGTTTCTCCTCAAATTTTTTTGCTCAAACTACTCGATATAACCTAGTTAAGATATATTAAATAAATAAACCCCCATATTCTCATTATAAACTCGTATTTTCCTCGCATTTCCTACGGTATCCAAGTATAATATTCGTCGAAAATTCGGGGAAAATTCATAACAAAACTGTTTGAATCTTCCCTCCACACAAAGAAAAGCATAAAGACAAAAGTCCCACTCGTCCTCACCGTTATCATTCATCAAGGGAAGCGACGAAAAAGGCAGAATGAATAATATTGAAGGAGCTGTCGCAAAAAAACTATCCTCAAACTATTAAAATTCGGAGAGCGTTCGACACTACAGCTCTTTTTGGGCTCCTAATCATCTAAGCTTTTCAAAATTAACTTTTTTTTCTCACTTGAGTTCGTATTTTAGGATGAAAAACTAATTTTTCACGGATTTGATCACCAATTTTGTCTAAAATAAGGAAAAAAAGTGTTGGAAATCCAAAAAGGCAATAAAATTTGGGGCTGAAAAGTTGTAAACAGGTTGGTTATTTCCGGAAACGCCAAATTCTGGCCGTTTTATGGCCGGGAAAGCATGAAAATTGAGATTTTTGGGGGTAATCAGCCGAAAAATTTGAAATTTTCGAAAAATTTTTTTAAAATACGAAAATTTTTTTTTCGTATTTTATAAAACAAGGTCTAAAAAGTTTTTTAAACTAAAATACGATGTAAAAAATTTATCTAACTTTTATAAAATACGATTTTCCCAAAAAATTTGAAAAATTTCCAAAATTAAGAGCAATATCCCATTTTTCTCGTCGTATTTTCCAAAATTTTAACGTTTCAAATCCCCCACAGCCCTGTATAGCCATTACTCATCCACTATAAATCCCCGCACACCTGTGGGCCAAACAAAAAAAAACGAAAAAAAAAAATCGAAAAATGGAGAAGAACGCCCGGCCCGGCGGGTATTGTTTGTTCTATCTGCTCGAATTTCAAACTCAAACACAATTCGCGGAGAATAATAAAGGGGTTTATTGTTAACATTAAAGAGGGGGAGAGATCGTTCAACGGCCATGGCGATAATTGCCCGTACTGATGGTTTTGTTCCAGCCGCCACGGCCCGCATCGTAGTCTTTGCGGAATTCATCGCGAACCTGAAATGGAATGAGGGCTTATAAGCGATTTACAACACAAAAAATGAAGTAATATATCTTTTAGATCAAATTTTGATATTATCCATGACAAAAGTGCAAATTTATGATAAAAATCAAGTGTTCGTAAAAGGTTTTGCTCTACAAATCATTCATAAACCCTACACTACCTCATCGAGTCATTTACTACAGCCTTGCATTTACTTTTACTCATAAAAATTACATTATCCATGACCCATGACATACCTAGAAAAATTTCAATGCAATTCAAAAACCTTTCGCATTTAGAACACAAAATTAAATACAAAGCAGAGTTACATCTCTGAGCACGTCTTCGCAAAATTTCATGCTGAACAAAGCAGCATAAAGAAATTTATACCCAAAACTTCTCCATCAGGTCTCATGGATAACATACTTTCTCAAAAGCACCTAAAAAATGAACAAAAAAAGTAAAATCTCACCTGACCACCATGTTTTCCTCGACCATATTGCCTCCCTTCAATAAATCCGGCATCCCAGTCCGTTCTAATCACTCGATCATCCAATCTTGTACCATTTATATATCTAATCGCATTTTCAGCGTCATCTCGAGTGTAATACCTAAAAATCAAGCTGAATAATTCGGAAACCAACTTACTCGACAAAGCAGAACCCGCATGGCGTCTTATCATAACGATGAATACCCATAATTACTCGCCGAACATCTCCGGCTCTCATAAACAACTCATAAACCTGCTCTTCTGTTGTGTAGTAGCTGAGATTTCCGACGTACAACGTTGTTGATTGAGATAGAAGGCCTTCTTGTTCACGGAGAGAACCCTGAAAGAAAAAGAAATTTAGAAACTTCAAAAATATTATCCATGCAGAAAAATAGGTTGGGCCAAATAAAATTGAAAAAATAAAGCTGGAAACGTGGTCGCATCATAGAATTTTTACTACTCACAGCAACAGCAATCTTTTCTGCTGCTAATACAACAAAGATTTCTTCTTATTCAGGTCAAAACTCAACCGAAACAATTCAATCTCTTTTGGGTACCTACTACAATATAAAATCTCCAATATCCAGTGAAAACCAACCAAAATTTATCAAACTAACGTATTTCAAAGCATCCATGTACCCCTTTTCAGCTTTTTCTCAACCAAAAGAAACTTAATGCACCTTCAAAAGCCGGAAGATCAATCGCCCTAAACTTCAACAACAAGTACAATATAAACCTCACCTGGAAACGTTGATCTCGATATGCTGATAGTCTAGGAGCATTATCCTTGGCTTTTGGGTCCATTTTATTTACAATTCTTCTGCTTCAACAAAACTCAAGAAGAAACGAGCGAGAATATTTCTGTGACATTCCGCCACAAGACGAAGTGTCAACTATTGATTTTTGCGAAAAATACGCGGGAAAATTGGTAAAATACGGTTTCTCAACGTCATGTAGTCATTTTGCAGACCAGTAAATTTAATTAAAACAAGTAGCCTACATAAAATTTATTTTGAAACATCCATCTGATATTATACATGACAAAATTTCGTTTTTTAGATGGAGAAATCAGAGTGTTTGAGTGCGTGCTCATTTCTTCTTGCCCTTTTTGCTAGCCTTGCTCTTCGAGTCGCCCTTTTTGCTAGCCTTGCTCTTCGAATCGCCCTTCTTGTCGCTGGTTTTGCTCTTTTTGTCCGTCTTGGTGGTGGTCTTGCTGGTTTTCGCGGCGTCGCGCGTCTTCTTGTTTTCCTTCATTTTCGTCTTGTCCACCTCGACCTTGGCCGTCTTGCGGTAGAGGTGGCGCAAGTAGGCGCGGTAGACGACCATGTACAAAGTGCAGCAGAGCAGCATCAGACACGAATAGCCCAGGCTGCCCAGCAGGATGTAGAAGAAGATGCTGAAATCATATCAGATCTTGATGAAACTTTTCATACATTCAGAAGAATCTTTTCTAAGGTATACGCTAGAATTCCAGCTCGTGTTATGCAGAAACAACCAAGATATTAGCTTTTTATCCGAAAAAACGTTTTATCGTATAAAATGTCACCCATTTAGAAACATGGGGAATATAAAGATTCCAGCCTTCTAGGACCTCTCGAATATTTCTTTTGTTATTTTTGACCACATAACCGATTTTTTATCCGAAAAAACGTTTTATCGTATAAAATGTCGCCACCTAGGATTTCGATGCAACTTGTCAGAAATGTCGATGCAACTTGTCAGAAATGTCGAGTAGGATGTTCTACGCCCTTCAGGACAATTTTTTCTAAGGCATATGCAAGAATTCTAGCTCGCGTTATGCAGAAACAACCAAGATATTATTGTCGGCAGAACTTCTAAAACTTACTCGCTGGTCGTGTCACATGCCATCTTGTCCCGTCTTCCGCGGCTTTTTTACTCGACCAAATCAGACGCAATCGCACCGTGCTGAACTCAACCGACTGATCGAACCACCGGGCTCCAAAAGTTGAATACGAATTCATTTTTTTAATCGAACGGAGATTTGGAATAGTAAAAGTCACAAAAAATGAGAATCATTTTCGGAATCAACACCGCACGTCAATCCAGCGCATTTAATGAACCGTTTTGAAATTTCGTATCGTTTTCATTGATTTAAAAGAGAGACGAAATGTCGTGAAATTATCGACACTTTTTCTCATCCGAAATAATTGTTTTTTTTCTCGAAAAGGAAGAAGAAAGATAAGAAAATGCGTTTTATCGGATAGTGGCATTTCGTTTTGAACGAATCACCAAAAAGGGGCGAGAAATTGTTTCTTCTATTTTGGATTGACGCGCACCGTCGATTACATCTTTTTTCAGCACAATTTGACTACAAAACAGGCAAAACTTGCGGTGTTAAAATCTCATTCCGTGACCTTTCTAATGGTAGGGGTCTTGTCCATTCACTCCGACATCTCTAATTCACTTTTTTTTAAATTGCTGCCTAGTGTAATATCAGAGTGTTTGGCCTGGTACGGGCGCAATTTGGCTCCAAAACAGGCGAAACTTTCTGTGTTAAAATCTCATTTTGTGCCCTTTCGAATGGTATAGGTTTCGTCAATTCACTCCGACATCTCTGATTCACTTTTTTTTAAATTGGTGCATATCAAAGTGTTCGGCCTGGTACGGGCGCAATTTAACTCCAAAACAGGCCAAACTTTCTGTGTTAAAATCTCATTTATTGAGCTTTCGAATGGTATAGGTCTTGTCAATTCACTCCGACATCTCTAATTCACTTTTTTTTTAATTGTGGTCCAGTGTAATATCAGAGTGTTTGGCCTAGTACGGGCGCAATCTAACTCCGACACAGGCGAAACTTGCGGTGTTAAATTCTCATTTTGTGACCTTTCGAATGGTATAGGTCTTGACTATTCACTCCGACATCTCTAATTAACTTTTTTTAAATTGGTGCCTAGTATAATATCAAAGTGTTCGGCCTGGTACGGGCGCAATTTAACTCCAAAACAGGCGAAACTTGCGGTGTTAAAACCTCATTTCGTGAAGCGTTGATGTTAGATTGTATTGATGTATTTATTTTCTGTTTATTCCCGTGTTCCTGCCGGGAGTAAGAGTTGACCCAAATCTTCAGGGAAACACTTGACTCGACCAAATTTTTCCACTTTTATGTGTCCAATTGGATGTAGTTGATGAAAAAATTTACTGACCTTTCAAACGAAACAAAAACAAAGAAAGTTGCTCATACAAAATCAAAATCATGATCTTACACCTTGATATTACAGCTCGACTACTTTGGAGATTCGATCGCGAACGTCTCGCTTTGAGCCACATCCTCGCCATTGACTCGCTTCTCCTGCGTGACCTTCGTTATGTGAAAGTAGGCGCCGGGCTCGGAGCCGGCCGGCCGCACCACCAGGTCGGCGGTGGAGCGCGCCTCGCCCGCCACGTTTTCGGCGACGCAGGTGAATTGGCCGCCGTCCGCTTGTTCCACGGCCGGAATGAAGAGGGAATGCACGCCGGGACCCTCCTGGAACGGGATTATTTGACTTTTTCGAGGAAAAATTGGGGGGTTAGAGGAATTGAAAAATTCCAAAAATATCTCATCATGACAAATTTTTTCGTCTATATTTGACAAAAGAAATTATGACGTGATCATTAAAAATTTGTACTCAAAACGGGATTTTTTGATTTTTTTGTTGAAAAATTGAGGGTTTTGGAGGAATTTAAACAAAAAATTTGTCATCATGACAAATTTTTAGGTCTATATTTGGCAAAAGAAAATATGACGTCATCATTAAAAATTTGAACTCAAAACGGGATTTTTTGTTGAAAAATTGGGGGTTTTGGAGGAATTTAAACAAAAATTTGTTATCATGACAAATTTTTAGGTCTATATTTGACAAAAAATATGACGTCATCATTAAAAATTTGTGCTCAAAACGGGATTTTTTGATTTTTTTGAGGGAAAATTGGGGTTTTTAAAAAAAATCAAAAAAATATGTCATCATGACGCATTTTTTGGTCCATTTTTGACAAAAAAAATTATGACGTCATCATTAAAAATGAGATTTTTTAGCCATACAAAATTTCAAAAAGATCAAAAAACTTGTCGTGATGACCAAATTAGTACCTAAACTGGCAAAAATTTGGAATTTTGTCGCATCTCAAAACGCAATTTTTCATTTTCAAGCAAAAAAAAAAATTAATTTTTTTTCAGAAAAAAATTTTTTTGAACTCCCGATTTTTTGATTTTTTTTCTTACCGTGATCAACTGGACTTCTGGACAGTTCGGAATTGGTTCTCCGTTCCTCAACCAGACCACATGTGGCTCAGGGTCGCCAGTTGTTTTTACAGTCCATCGAAGTGGCTGGCCTTCGGCAACTTCCTCGCTAATCAGCCGTTGAATAAAGTCTGGTGCGACAGTATTGGCTGAAAATCGAGTTATAAACATTTTCACAACAATTTCTTTGAGTTTTGGGATTTTATATGGAATTTTTTCTACTGCACTGTGCGTTCCAGAATTTTTAGGGTTTTTGCACAGTGCAGATGACTTTGAAAATTTTACTGTGGTATGCCCATAAAAAGAAAGACCGTAAGATCCCTAGGAAAAATTATTTTACCATTTTGCTATTTACTGCACTGTGCAATTGACATTTTTTGAAATTTTGCACAGTGCAGTCAAAATAAATGGTTTTTTGCACCGTGCAGGGTTAATAAAAACTATTGACAATGTGAAAAATGTAAAATCAAGAGCTCAATTTATCATAGGAAATATATTTTCCATCCATATATCAATTTTATACCTATGAAAGAGCGATTTTTTAAATTTCGCACTGTGCAATTGACATTTTTCGAAATTCTGCACTGTGCGGTCAAAAAAGATTGGTCTCTTGCACGGTGCAGGATATTCAAAGTCTATTGGTAATGTAAAAAATGTCAAATCAAGAGCTCGATTAATCATATGAAGTGGATTTTTATTTCATCTGACAGCTTCATCTTTATAAAAAAGAAATTTTTTGAAATTTCGCACAGTGCAGAAATTTTTTCAATTTTTTGCACAGTGCAGCAAAATTTTTTTTTTTACTATTATAACAAAACTTTTCAGTGATTTGAAGAGTTCTAATCTTATTTCACCAATAAAAAAGATCAGAGATTACTGTAACTTATAGTAACTCACGTCTCACGACAAATTGCGCGCTACTTGTAGCGACTCCAAGGACATTCCGAACCGAGCACATGTACTTCCCGCAATCCTCAGGCTGAGCGTTATTCACAATCAACGCGATGTGCTCTCCTTGTTGGACGAATTGCAGATGAGGCGAGACTTTTTGGTCGATCAAATGCCCATCTTTTGTCCAGACAATTTCGGGCTCGGGATTGGCGGTGACAATTGCGTCGAACTGAACATTCTCCCCAATACTGGCGACATACGATTGTAGGGTTTGGATGAAATGCGGGGGTTGGGCGTCCGAGGAACGCCGAGCAAGGTCTAACTCGTCTTGCTCGTAGCTTTGCTGGTATTCTTGGTATTCTTGTTGAGAGTAGTTGGGCTCTTCGAATTTCGCGAATTCCTGTGGATAACTTGGCGAGAACACTTGATCATACGATTGGTTGGACACGATACGATCTTGAGAGTATCTCTGACTTCCTGGAGGAACGAATTGGCCTTCAGTTTGAACTCCATGACCAATATATTCACCATGACCATCTTGCTGAACATGATGAATATTTTGATGTCCTAGCGCTCGAATTCCCCCTTGGACAGGATAATTTGCAACGTTCTGGCCTTGCGAAAACCTCTGTGTTGCAGGCGAGCCAAAACGACCTTCAGACCCGGCTCTATGAGCAGTATATTCATCATGACCACTTTGATGAACATGATGTATATTTTGATGCCCTGGCACTCCAATATAGCCTCCGCCGACTCTCTGTGGCCCTGGACTAGACTGAGGATACCTTTGACTATCAACGATTTGTTGCGGATACCCCTGAGAGGATGGCGAATATACGATTTCTTCGTTTTGGTATCTCTCCTCGGTAGTGTAATATTGGGGGCTTTGTGACTGTGCGAATCGCTCGTACGGGCCATGATCCCGAGGCTGATAGGCAGACTGACTCATAATGCGACGAGCTGGCGACGAGGTAGAACCACGATCGGAATAATACGTCGGACTTGGAGCGTAGTCGGTGGCTCCGAAATCTTTTTGAATAAATCGTTGAGGAGTCTGAAATAGACACAATTAGGGCTTAATTTGATAGTAAAATACGACAATAAGCACTAAACGCATTAAAAAACAATATTACAAACGTTAGATTTGGCCGCACAGTGCAGTAATCCTCCTTGATATTCTGCACTGTGCGGTGAAAAAAGTTTTGCTTCTTGCACAGTGCGGGATATATTGAGAAAATACAAAACCTGTTAGTACAACGTATCTAGCCATATGTCATCGATCTAAAACATTTTTGCTCATTTTTCACTATTCCGCACTGTGAAATCGAGATTTCTTGAAAATACGCACTGTGCAGTCAAAAAAGTTTTTCTTCTTGCACTGTGCTGAATACATTGGGAAATTTCAAAAAATGTCAGAATAATGTGTTTGGCCACAAATTCTCGATCTAAAAGATTTTTACTAGTTCTGCACTGTTCCGCACTGTGCAATTGAAATTTGTTAAAAATACGCACAGTGCGGTCGAAACTGATTTTTTCACTGCACTGTGCGGACAAGTTTAGAAATAAAAAAATAAAAAAGAAGATGATTTAGACGACAAGAAAGCCACAAAAAATTTTCTCAAGATTTTGAAATCTACCGCACGGTGCAAAAAAATTTTTTTTTTTAATTTGCACTGTGCATTAAAAAAATTTTTTTTTACCTTTCTAGATGGCGGTGGGATCATAGATTTGGGTCGAATATGGATCAGCGTAGTCGATTCGGTCCTTCCTCGCACATTTTCGGCGACAATTCGGTAGTAGCCGGCGTTTTCCAGCTTGGCCGGGGCAAACGAAATGTAATAGGTGTCGCCAATGTTGGGGAACTGAAAATGGGGTGGAAAAATAAACATAGATGATGTTTTTGATTCAAGATTTTTTGTTTTTGAAAAAAAATCAAAAAAAATTTTTTTCTTCAAAAAATTTTCTCATTTGCAAACTTTTTCAAAATTTTTCATTTTCAAAAATTTCAAAAAATTTCAAAATTTTCCTCTCAAAAAATCTCAAAATTTTTCATAACCCCCATCTCACCTCCGCAAATTGCCAATTTGACTTGATCGGGCGATCGTTGAAGAACCACTGGACTTTGGGCCTTGGATTTCCCACCATCAAGCAGTCCAGTTGGATCTTCTCCCCCTCATTTACCGTATACTCCTCCTGGAATGGTCGAATGAACTGCGGCGCGTTCGCCAGCGAGCTGAACCCGAAATCGGTGCAGTCCTCCGGCTGCGGGAAGCGGTTCTCGTACGCGGACTGGGTCTTGTGCAACGAGGTGGGCGTTGCGCGCTCCGTGCTGCTGTAGTTGCTGTGGTAGTCCTGGTGGACCTTTTGCAACTGCTGGATGAGGATCTGTTTCTCTTGGTTGTAGTGTTCGGTGCGTGGGGAGGAGCTGCGGCGCGTGATGGACTGCTGGCTTTGTTGATGATGGACCTGACTTGGTCTGGGCTGCGGGATCAAGTTTAGGGTGGCGGCGGTCCGCGCCTCGCCCGAATTGTTGATTGCGCGAACAGCGTAGAGGCCGGTGTTGTCGTGTTGGACACTGGAATTGCAAAAAAGTCGATGAAAAAGGAAAAAATAAAAAAAAAAACAAGTTTTAGCGACATTTTTGTCCGCAATGCGCAAAAAATGGTAAAAATCTCATTTTAGTCATCAAGAAACATCATCAAAAGGTTGTTTTACAAATCCAAGACATTTTTATTAGTTGTGATAGCCATTAGCAGCAGAGTTATAGCCAAATCAGCGAGCTAGGATATCAAAACCTTCTCCATGATGACTAAAGTGAACATGGTGAATATACTGCCATTACAGCTGCTCCGCAGTTTCAGTTCTGCTTCTTCACAATCTACAAGAACTCGTGAAGACATTTTGGTATCAAGTAGGCCGAAAACTTTGACATTAAATTAATAGAACGCCAAAATATTCACCATGATCATCATAGTGGTCATGGTGAATATATTGGTACTTAACTGGGGTAACAAGTGAACCGGAAGTTCAGGCTCCTCAGAAATAACGCTGAGGTCATTCTGTATCCTAAAAATCAACTCAAGTCACCATCAGAATGACCAAAATTAAAGATATTCACCATGTTCATCAAAGTGGTCATGGTGAATATCTGGAACTTAGAAGCTGTAAAGAAAACTAATCAAGACTTCGGAATTCTCTGAGAAGCTCAAGGGATCATATCGTAGCTGCCGACTCAATATAAGCAAGATTTTTAGTCGCCAGACATGAAAAATATTCACCATGTCCATCAAAGTGGCCATGGTGAATATCTTGATTCGTAGGCTTACTAGACAAAAGTAATAGCTTTTTAATTACTCCTGCGGACATTCAAGGCCTTACTGTATACTCCGGATCAAGTTTTGTTTAAATTTAAGCAACCAAAAAATCAAAATATTCACCATGATCATCAAAATTATCATGGTGAATATCTTGATTCATAGGTCTGCCAGACGAAAATAATAGCCTTTAAATTATTCTTATGGGCATTCAAGACCCTAATGCATATACGGACAACGCAATGGCTGTCCCCAAATTTATACCATTCTGTCCCCAAATTTCCCCATTCTGTCCCCAACGACCTGTCCCCAAATAGGAGTTCGGAATCTGTCCCCAAAATATTCCGAATATGTCCCCAAACACAAAAATTAGTGTAGGGTCCATGTTTCGGGGTAGTAATAACACTTCGGGCTAAAAAATTTGAAAATTCAAATTGGTGATTACGTAATAAGCAAAAGTTCAAAACTTTTGGGTAAAAATCGGATATAGGGGTAATCGAGGATGCTGATTTTGAAAATGATATTCATTTTACATGATTTTAACTTTTTTCTTAAGTAGTAGTGTAAAGTAGTAACTTTTGAAAATTTTAGACGAGATGTCGATTTATAGGTAATCGACACCGCGGATTTCGAAAACAATACCAGTTTTTTATGATTGTAACTTTTTTCTTAAGTAGTAGTGTAAAGTAGTAATTTTTGAAAATTTTAGATGAGATGTCGAGTTATAGGTAATCGAGGATGCTGATTTTGAAAATGATATTCATTCTTCATGATTTTGACTTTTTTCTTAAGTAGTAGTGTAAAGTAGTCACTTTTGAAAATTTTAGACGAGATGTCGATTTATAGGTAATCGACACCGCGGATTTCAAAAACAGTACCAGTTTTTTTTATGATTGTAACTTTTTCCTTAAATAGTACTGTAAAGTATTAATTTTTGAGATTTTTTGAATTGGTAGGGTTTATGGGTGCTGATTCCAGAATAAGATTCCTGATGAGTTGTGCATTAAAGTTGTGATTTCTTTGTTTTTATTTTATTTTTTTGATGAATCGTTAGCTAAGTACAAGGTATGTGTTATTGTTGATTCAAAAACTGTGTTCATCTTCTGTAGTTTTTATTCACTTCCAATCTGTTGGCAGAAGAATTTTTGCTCAGAATTTTCTGTCAAACCTGGCATAGCGGCAGGCTATCCCAAGCCAAACAATTTTATAGCAGAAAAATTTCTGTCAAACCCCGCCCATTTTGGCGCGCTCGATGAAGAGCAGAAGCAATACCGTTGATGACTCGAAGTAATAATCGCATGAAAAACAATCCTGTTGGATAATAACACGATGTTGCTCAAAGAACTTAAATTAGCAAAAAAACTTTTTGAAATTTAAAAATACTTCTCTTTAGACAACATAGTTATATTTTAAAAATTTTTTGTCATAAAAAGAAAAAAAAACAACCGTACTATTTTGTGACGTTGTCCGTACAAGAATAGGTTAAATTTACACAAGTTATTTGCTGTTTCAACGTTTTCTCTACCGATTTATTGCAATTAGGCAGATATTGTTTTAGGTGATATCACACGGACCTGAAGGAGTTGAAAATATTTGTAAAATATTTTAAATTTTTATTGTGTTTTTTTTTTTTTTTTTTTAATGCTAAACTATTATCATTATCCAAAAGGATTGTTTTTCATGCGATTATTACTTCGAGTCATCAACGGTATTGCTTCTGCTCTTCATCGAGCGCGCCAAAATGGGCGGGGTTTGACAGAAATTTTTCTGCTATAAAATTGTTTGGCTTGGGATAGCCTGCCGCTATGCCAGGTTTGACAGAAAATTCTGAGCAAAAATTCTTCTGCCAACAGATTGGAAGTGAATAAAAACTACAGAAGATGAACACAGTTTTTGAATCAACAATAACACAAACCTTGTACTTAGCTAACGATTCATCAAAAAAATAAAATAAAAACAAAGAAATCACAACTTTAATGCACAACTCATCAGGAATCTTATTCTGGAATCAGCACCCATAAACCCTACCAATTCAAAAAATCTCAAAAATTAATACTTTACAGTACTATTTAAGGAAAAAGATACAATCATAAAAAAAACTGGTACTGTTTTTGAAATCCGCGGTGTCGATTACCTATAAATCGACATCTCGTCTAAAATTTTCAAAAGTGACTACTTTACACTACTACTTAAGAAAAAAGTTACAATCATAAAAAACTGGTATTGTTTTCGAAATCCGCGGTGTCGATTACCTATAAATCGACATCTCGTCTAAAATTTTCAAAAGTTACTACTTTACACTACTACTTAAGAAAAAAGTTAAAATCATGTAAAATGAATATCATTTTCAAAATCAGCATCCTCGATTACCCCTATATCCGATTTTTACCCAAAAGTTTTGAACTTTTGCTTATTACGTAATCACCAATTTGAATTTTCAAATTTTTTAGCCCGAAGTGTTATTACTACCCCGAAACATGGACCCTACACTAATTTTTGTGTCTGGGGACATATTCGGAATATTTTGGGGACAGATTCCGAACTCCTATTTGGGGACAGGTCGTTGGGGACAGAATGGGGAAATTTGGGGACAGAATGGTATAAATTTGGGGACAGCTTAACAATTATCCTGCATATACTAGATCAAATTATGTTAAAAGTTAAACAACCAAAAGTCAAAATATTCACCATGATCATCAAACTGGTCATGGTAAATATACTGCTCATTAGCTTTTCCAACACTCAAATATCGCTAAAAAATCACTCTAGTAAACTCCCAGCCCCTTTCAGCAGCAGCGCAAACAAATTTTTTAAATTACAAACACGTCTTACCTAGTAATTTTGACCCTACTCCATCCATCGGGTTCATTCCCAACTTTCACATTGCCATCTTCCTGGATTTGGTTATTATTCAAGGTCCACTCGACTTTTGGAATCGGTTCACCAAAAGCTTTGACCTCCAGCGTGGCCGGCTCCCCCTCAACGACCACTTGGTTGGTCAAGGGCGGATCAAAATGCGGGGGTAGACCGGATTGCGCGGTTGGCTGAGGACTTTGAACTTGTAAGCGGCAGAAATTGATCGATTCTCCATGAATGTTCTTGGCTATCACCTGAAAATTTGATTATAGAAAGATGTAGAAACAAGCTGGCGGAAAAAGATGTCATTTTCCGATTTTTGCCGGAATTTGGGGACATTTTATACGCAACAAGATTTCTGGGAAAATTTTTTTTCGTATCAAATGTCACTTGAATTTGTAAAAAAAATATATTTTTTACAGCTGAGGCCGTATTTTACCTCTCATAATACGATTTTGCACCAAGTTTGAAAAAAATTTGGCCAGTTCATTTTTGGTGACATTTTATCCGCAAATTTTTCTTTCGTATAAAATGTCGTTTGACCTGATGTGTTTATACGTCTCCAACGATAAAACAATCGTATTTTACTCCTCGTGATATTATTTAGCATCAAATTTGCCGAAAATCCGAACACTTTTGTGGAGACATTTTATACGCAAAATATTTCTTTCGTATAAAATGTCGCTTGAAGTCGTAAAAAATGTGTTTATGCGTGGCTAGTTATAGGTTTTGCCACTCGTAACATGATTCTGCACCAAGTTTGCTGAAAATCTGGCCGGTCAAATTTTGGAGAAATTTTATACGCAAACCTTTTCTTTCGTATAAAATGTCGCCTGACTTCGAAAAATGTATTTGTACTCGGCTGGTTGTAGGTTTTACCACTCGTAACATGATTTTGCACCAAGTTTGATGGAAATCTGGCCAATCAGTTTTTTGGAGACATTTTATACGCCAAATTTTTCTTTCGTATAAAATGTCGCCTGACTCTGCAAAAATGTATTTTTACAAAATTAACCACTATTTCAGAGCTCGTATTTTACCTTATAAAGTCCGGCATCTCCTGAATTTGCTCCCAAGATCCGCAGAACGCATTTATCGCCGGTGTAGTCAATTCGAATCCGGTCGGATTCTCGAATAACCGACTCCTCCTTGCACCACGTCACCTGAGGCTCGGGCTTCGCGACACAGACGCACTCCAGGACCGCGGTGGTGCCCTCTCTGACGTCGACATTTTGGAGTTGGCGGACAAATCGAGGCTTGTCTTCCAGGGGGGTGGGGTTCTTGGAACGGGCTGAAAAGATACTGTAATTAAAAGAAGAGGTGATGAAAATGGACAAAACCTGACATTAATGAATCTTGGCAAAATATCCGATAATTTTCTTCAGTTTTTTTTGCACAGTGTCACCGAAATCACTCCAGTGACTTTGCGAACCGACTAGTGATAAAAGCGCAACCCCCCGACTTACATCTCACCGTCAACTGTGCCACACTCTGTGCGGTGCCGTGCAAGTTTTCAGCAACAAACGTGTAATTGGCCGAGTCCTCCAGGAAGGTTTCGTCGATTCGCAGGGTTGCCACCTCGCCGTCGAAATGCTGGCGATAATCCGGCGAGCTCTTAAAAATCGAGGGCTCTCAGTGCTTGCCAACAGAGGCTGTTTTCGCTGTGGGACATGCTGGATTTTATTTTGCATTTTTCTGTATAACGCGAGTGAAAAATTCTGGATAATGCGGATTGGAAATGTGTAAATTTTGATAAAATTTTGATTGGAATAATTTTTTGTCGATTTTTTGATAATTCTCTATAATGCGATTTAGAAATTCTGTACAACGCGGTCTGAAATTCTGTATAACGCAATTCGAAAAAATCAGAGAATTCTTAATTTATAGAAGATTTAATGCGGCTTTTCAAAATTTTCAATTGTTTCTGCATAACGCGATTTTCAAAAATTCTGCATAACGCGATTTTGAAATATTCTGCATATGGCGAGGAAACAATTAAAAAAATCATAAATATTCTTTGATTAATGATCACTAATCGTATGTCGCCAGAAAAGTAAAAAAAAGCTTTCTCCGGGTCCCACAACGAAAAACTCTTTATCCGTCTGTCGTGAAAATAATGAGCACAATCGTAAAAGCAATTTGATTTCACCGAGACACAACTAATTTTCCCCCAGCGCCGATGCAATTTTCGTCGCGACAGAGTGCTCATTATTTTCCCGACAGACCGAGATTTTACTATGCTATTTCGTACTTTGATGACCCTTCCATCTTTCAGCCACTGCACCTTTGACGGCGGCTCCGAGTCAATTTTGACGCAAAATTCGACGGGCTGGCCCTCCGTCACCTCCAGATTCTCCAGGCCCGCGATCAAGTTGGGCGCGTGGCCCCGAGGAATCTGATGTTGATGTTGCACAACCTCGGAGGTCGGGAATCTGGTGATTACAGTGGTCTGCTCTTCAGTGACAGTCTCACTCGTCAGATGTGACAGTTCTTGCTCCAGGTCGGAGAGGCGGCGCTTCAGCAATTGCTGATCTCTGTGCAGATAATCGAGTTTTTGCCCCAATTCGGCGTCTGAAAGAGTGCACAGTGCGAAATTAGGAGTGCCAACTGAGAAGTGAAGGTGGAAAGCAAAATAAATTTTGTTCGGACATTTTATACGATGAAAATTTTTTCGCAGAAAAATCGGTTCTTGGACTAATAAAAGAAAAAAAAATTGTCCTGAAGGTCTTAGAACATCCTACTCAACATTTCTGACAAGTTTCATTAAAATCCTGGGTGGTGACATTTTATACGATAAAACGTTTTTTCGGATAAAAAATCGGTTCTATGATCAAAAATAAAAGGTAAAATTGCTCTAATTGTCTTAAAACGTCCTACTCAAAATTTATGACAAGTTTCATCAAAGTCCTATTTGGCGACATTTTATATGACGAAAAGCTTTTTAGCAGAAAAACTCGGGAAGACATCAAAAAAATGCCCCACTTCTCATCGAAGGTTCGAATCTCGATTATTGAATTGAGATTTCCCTCATAAATCAAAAGTGGTGTCATTTTATACGAGCAAACCTGTTTTTTCGACGAAAAATCGGTTTTTGGACAAATAAATGAGGAAAAATTGTCCTGAAGGTCTTAGAACATTCTACTCAACATTTCTGACAAGTTGCATCAAAATCCTGGGTGGTGACATCTCATACGACAAAAACTTTTTTCGCAGAAAACATCGATTCTGTGGTCAAAAAATACTAGAAAATTTATCCGATAAGTTTTAAAAGACTGTAATATTTGTTTCCTCATGTTTCAAAAAGAAGTGACATTTTATACGATGAAACGTTTTTTCGCAAAAAAATCGTTTCTTGGGCAAATCAATGAGAAAAAATTGTCATGAAGGTCGTAGAACATCCTACTCAACATTTCTGATAAGTTTCATCAAAATTCTAGATGGCGACATTTTATACGATAAAAAAATTTTTCGCAGAAAAAATCGTAAAATTCTAAAAATCTCACCTTGACTTTGCTCAACATGCTGCTGAACTTGTCCAATTTTCTCCTGCTGCTCTTTCAACGGGATTTTCCCAATCTTTTCCTCAATCTCCTTCTTCACCTTGCCTTCATCTCCCGCTTTCACTTCCTTGAACTTGGTCTCCAAATTCCCGATCAACTCGGTTGTTTCCACTTGCCAAATCTGCACTTCTTCCACCGTTTTTGACGCCGCTTTTCTCGCGTCTCGCTTCAATTGCCAATTTCTGAGCTCCTCTTGTAACTCTTCGAAGATCTTTTGATGCTCGTTGAGGATTATGGACAAAGATTCTTCCACTTTTTGGCTGCGCAGGTTTAAATCAGTGTTTTGAGCGGATTTTGAGAGCGCCGAGAATTTTTCAACTAAAAAAAATTTCGAAAAAAATTATTATTTTCAAAAAAAATTTTTTTTTTACCTTGATGCTTCTCCTGAGCCAATGATTCTTGAACATTGTGCAACAAATTGGTCAAGTCGTTGAAAGCCAGCTCGTTTTTGTAGAGATCAGAGTCATTCAACGAGTCGGCCAGGGTTTGCAGTGACTTGTCAAGATCGCCATTCAATTTGAAAATCTGAAAAAATCAACATTTCTGACAATTTTCATCAAAATCCTAGGTGGCGACATTTTATACGATAAGAGGTTTTTTCGCAGAAAAATCGGTTCTTGGATAAATAAAGGAGAAAAATAGCTCTGACGGTCGTAGAACATCCTACTCAACAATTCTGACAAGTTTCATCAAAACCCTATCTAGTGACATTTTATACGAAAAAAAAATTTTCGCAGAAAAATCTGTTCTTGGACAAATAGATGAGAAAAAATAGTCCTGAAGGTCTTACAACATCCCACTCAACAATTCTGACAAGTTGCATCAAAATCCTATATGGGGACATTTTATACGATAAAACGTTTTTTCGCAGAAAAAATTGGTTCTGCGGTCAAAAACATGCAAGAAATATTCGATAGGTCTTAGGAAGCTCGAATTTTTATTTTCCTCATGTTTCAATAAGAAGTGACATTTTATACGATGAAACGTTTTTTCGCAAAAAAATTGGTTCTTGGATAAATAAATGAGAAAAAATTGTCCCGAAGGTCTTACAACATCCTACTCAACATTTCTGACAATTTTCATCAAAATCCTAGGTGGTGACATTTTATACGATGAAATGTTTTTTTGCAGAAAAAATCGGCTCTTGGGCAAATAAACGAGAATAAATTGTCTTGAAGATCTTAGAATATCATAGTCAACATTTTTGACAATTTTCATCAAAATCCTAGGCGGTGACATTTTATACGATAAAATGTTTTTTTGCAGAAAAATCGGTTCTTGGATAAATAAATGAGAAAAAAATTGTCCTGAAGGTCTTGCAAGATCCTACTCAACATTTCTAACAAGTTTCAACAAAATCCTAGGTGGAGACATTTTATACGATGAAATGTTTTTTTTTTGCAAAAAAATAGGGAAAACAGCGAAAATTACACCCAACGCTTTTAGAAGACTCCAAAATAATATTTTCTTGTCGAAAAATCATCTAATTACTTTAAAAATCCCAGATTTACCTTCTGCAGAACAGTTCCCATCTCGATTCGCCTCTCCAAATTCCCTTTCAGCACTTCGTATCGTTGCCGAAACTCCTTGATCTGCTGCTGTCCCTCTTCATTCAGCTCAAAACACTGTTGAATCACCGAATTCACCTCCTGCTCCTTGTTGAACAGCTGCGTTTCGAACTGTTTGTGGGCGTTGAGGAATTCGGCGGCGCTTTGGCCGCTCCCCCCAACGTGGCCGTTGTCGGCGAGGAAGGGCTCGGCCGTCGTTTTGAGCCACTCGTTCAGCTCGATCAACTTCTCCGACAGCCTTCGATTCACGCTGACTCGGTGCGCCGCCAACTCCTCCACTTGCCGCAGGCGATTATGCAAGCTCTCAAGGACTTCTCGGACTTTTAAGTTGTCCTCTTGACGAAGGATTTGCGAGCCCTCGTCGATGACTTTTTTCGTTTTTTGCTTCGCCAAAGGCGCCAGTTCCGCCGCTAACGCCGCCGACGCAACTTTGAGGTCTCTTTCCATTTGATCCAGTTGGTTTAGGACCTGAAATATTTTTTGTCGTGAAAAATTTTTATTGATAGCATTTTCATAAAGTGCATGGACATTTTTTCCCACTTTTGCAGAGTGCACAGTGCAAAATTTTCGAAAAGAACGCACCGTGCAAAAAAATGCAAAATGCACTGTGCAAAAACCAAAAAAAGGTGAAATGTACGGTGCAAAATATGGGTTTTTGTGCACCGTTCAAGGTGGGACAAATGTCCATGCACTGTATGAAAATGCTGTCACGAATTGTCTTAACGTATTTTACAAATTTTACCATGGATATTGATTTTGATTTCGGAAAGCCCCCAAATTTTTTTTTGAAATTCCATAAAGTTTCTAGGGGTGACATTTTATACGATGAAAGTTTTCTTTTTTTTAAATTTGATTTATGGATAAGAAACTAATTTTAAACAAATCCTAAACGGTTGAGAAAAAACGATAAATTGCTTTCCTCTGTTTTTTAAAGTGGCATTTTATACGATCAAAATTGGAGTCTTCGATAAAAAATTTAGTACAAAAAAAGTGGGCGTATTTTAAAAATCCGTTAAAATAATTAAAAAAATTTTTTTTTGAGGAAAATTTTTTCCGGACTTACGATATTAGCGTTTTGCAAGAAGATCTCGACTTGGTTTTTGGACCTTCCTTCATTTTGAAGTTCATCCAAAAATTTGTTGATGGACACCTTCAGCGATTCCACTTTGGTCGCCAATGGAGACTGTGGAATGTTCTTTTGAACAATTTCCTCGATTCGGAGCAAGTTCTCTCGTTGTGTCTGGAAATATTTTAACTTGTATATTACAATTAAATTTTTTTTTGAATATTCTAAATTTTAGTGCACTCCGCGAAATCAATTTTTTTTGCACTGTGCAATATTTTGGAACAATTTTTTTACTTGCACTGTGCAGATTTTCTGGGTGAAATTCAATTGCACTGTACGGTCAAAAAAATTTATTTTTGGCTTGCACTGTGCGGTCAAAAAAATTTATCGCGACTGCGCACTGTGCAAAATTCTCGGAAAAGATTTGTTTGCACAGTGCGGCCCAATTTTTTTCTAGTTGCACTGTGCAATGAAAAAAGTTTATTTTTGGCTTGCACTGTGCAATAAAAAAAATTTGTTTTTGGCTTGCACTGTGCAATGAAAAAAGTTTATTTTTGGCTTGCACTGTGCAAGATTTCCCGGATAAAATTTCGTTGCACTGTGCAGTCCAATATTCTAAAAAATTGTTGAATTGCACTGTGCAAGATTCCCGGAAGAAATTTCGTTGCACTGTGCGGTCCGAAAAAAAATTCTCAACTGCTCTGTGCAATGAAAAAAAAGTTTTGTTGGGTTGCACTGTGCAATCTACATTCTTTTCTGTTGCACAGTGCATAAAATAAATAAAAACTAAAAAAATGAAAACAAAAAAAAAAAATAAAAAAAATTTTTTTTGCAAAGTGCGCCAATTTTTTTTGCACTACAAAAATTAAAAAAAAAATTCATTTTTTTTATTCTTCAACAATTAAAAAAAAGTTCTTCCAGTTTTAAAGTTCAAATCGACTTACCTTTCCCTCCGCCACCACTTGTTGAATATACTTCGGGTCTTTTTTCAATTTTTTCTTCGAATTATTGAGCCAAGTTTCAATTCCGTTCAATTGAGCGCCCAATTTGCCGTGATCCACCTTTTTCGGGGCTTCTTCCGGCTTTTTCTTTTTCAACGTGCCTTCCTGTGGTTCTACGTCGATTTCAAGCCGTTGTTTTTCCTCGGACCAAACGGTTTCCACGTATTCCCAGTCATTGGACATTCTGAAAATTGGGATTCAATTTTCCTGCTAGTTTTCATAAAGTGCGTAGACTTTTTTTAAAAACTAATTTTTCGAATTTTGCCATGAAAAGTTCGTTTCGTACCTATTTCTACCGTAGAGGGCAATGTTTCAACAAAAAATCAGTTTTTTCCGCGCGAAACTAGCAAAGATATGGTCAAAACTGTTTCTTTTCTCTCACCGCTCTCCGCATTTTGCGTGCTCTCTCGGCGGCAAAGATTGTTCCATTTCTCGACGGGCATTGCAAAGCACAAGGAATTGATATGTATCCTATGCATGACTTAATTCCCGCATAAATACAAGATTTTGATTAGGTGACATTTTATACGACAAAAACATTCCGGACACGTTTCGTCGTATAAAATGGTTTTTCCTTCGAAATTTTTAACATTATAAGTAAAACAAATTTACTGGTAAAAAATTGCAAATTTATTCTTATTTGACGTTTAATACGATGAAAATATTCCGGACACGTTCGTCGTATAAAATGGCAACATTTTCTGGAACGACTATATCTTTTTTTTTATTTTTTTGTCACCAAAAAAACTATATAATTTTTTCGCTTTCCACTTACTTCAACATGACCTTTTCGATGATCAAGCAGCTCTCCACAATCTCGTTGAGCCTCTCATCGTTGTCAGCGAGCGCTCCCAGCACTCGGATCTGAGTTATGATCTCCGAGCCCAAGCCGATCGCTTCCACGGTGGTCTGGATGATATCTGCAGCGATAAATGTAAAATAAAATGGCTTTACCCACCTTCGACAGTATTTCTGACAGTATTTATCGTCTTCTCGTCGTCCCCATCTTCGAAGAGCTTCTTCAAATAGTGATGGACTTTGGCAACGAGCTGAAAAATGGGGGGGAATGATTAGAAATTTCAAAAAAACATGGATATATTTTTTAGTTTTTTTATGCCGAAAACAATTTTTTTGATGGAAAATGATTGATTGCTCTGCATGATTCGAAAAAGGGAGTTAAGCAAAAAGTAGAGCAAAGGCGATCAAGCAATGAAAAATTATTGGCATTCCGTTTCAGCTGCAGGAGAATTGAAGATTAAGGCAAAAATTCAGAAGAAATGGATACAATTTTCGAAATCAGCACCATCGAAAACCCCCGTCACGACTTCGCGTGCGAATTTGCATATTCCTACGGAATGACCGACAAATTGGTATAAAAGGAAGAGAAATCGCCAATTACAGGGTCTTACAAAAAACGTGAAGGAAAGTGGAAGGCTATAACTTCCGGCGGAGGTGGCGCAGAGACTTCGTATTTGAAATATGTATTTTTAAAAGACATAAGTTTTTGTCTACGAAATAACACGCTTTTAAAGTGCAAACTGAGGTCGCTACGACTTTCTGAAGTAAAGGCATCTCTACCCCGAAAACCAGGTTTTTCGGTTGAAAATGATCGTGAAATTTCGGACTTTTTCGGTTGAAAATCACCAGGAAATGTCGGATTTTTTGGGGGGTTTTGATACGGGTGATGTTGAAAAAGAGGAGGAAAGTGCCAACACGTGCAATTTGTTCGACGTTTTCTTAAAGACTATATCAAGAAACCCCCAAAAAATCCGACATTTCCTGGTGATTTTCAACCGACAATGTCCGAAATTTCTCGATCATTTTCAACCGAAAAACCTGGTTTTAGGGGTAGAGATGCCTTTACTTCAGAAGGTCGTAGCGACCTCAGTCTGCACTTTAAAAGCTTGTTATTTCGTAGACAAAAAATAATGTCTTTTAAAAATACATATTTCAAATACGAAGTCTCTGCGCCGCCTCCGCCGGAAGTTATGGCCTTCCACTTTCCTTCACGTTTTTTGTAAGACCCTGTAAACCGTTGTATTTTCTACTGTAGTCTATTGTTGTCGTGTGGTCCTCACATCGTCTGGAGTCAACATCGTGAGTTCACAGTTTTATTGCCAGAGTCCTCTAGTCTGTGTCTCCGGGTTATCAGAGGGTAGTGAATACTAGTAGTAGCGGGCAAGTTAAGGGCCATCTTACACCACGACTCATAGCTAAGTGGTGACACCCCTAAATCCATTACTCAAAAAAATTTTTTAAAATTACTAATTAACACTACTGCAAAACTGTAAAATTCAGAAAAAATGGATTCTATTTTCGAAATCAGCACCATCGAAAACCCGAAACCTGTCCGGAACTGCCCAAAGTTTGATTATACCACATCCCCCAGTGAGCTTTACCAGGGGCTACTGCAGCAATACATGTAAAATACGTTTAAACTTGACGATCTTTTCAACTAATCATCCCTATAATTTCAATTAACTCAGCCATCTGCAAGCCTCTTGTAACGACAAATCGGGGAAACTCAAAGTGTCGCAGCGCCCTATTTTTTGACAATTTCTGCGACAGACTCTCGCATTTCTCACCTTTTCATGCTGTTTCGCCAGCTCATGGAACCGCAACACGTCCTCCAAAATGTAGCCTCTCAACTCCAGCTGTTTGTTCAGCTCCTTCCACGCCAACGTCAGGCTGTCCGCCATGGATTCGTAGACGTAAATGTTGTAATCCTCCTCTTGTTCATGAGCCAATTCATTGGCTCTGGTCAGCAGCTCTTCCACTTGACTTTCTTTTGTCTGAAAGAAATTTTTTGATGAGTATGTTTGAGCTGGCAGTGCTTCAAGTGAGATGCTCGGATTTTCTTGAAATTTTGCAGACTTTTTGGGGATAGGCTATGTATCGATTCCTCAAAATTTTAGCTTGCGATCTGCAGGGAGAGCCGAGATATTCAACAATCTTTGTGGGCCGAGACAGCACGTGAAATGGGGAGAGCGGTCAGGGAGAAGAACACTTTTTGATCATATCTTTGCCAGTTTCTTGCGGAAAAAATTGATTGTTTTGTGAAAATATTACTATATTTTCTCTATGGTAGAAATAAGCATGAAAGTTTATATGAGAAAAATCACAAAAAGGTTCCTCATTTTCGTCAACTTTCGATGTAAAAATCTCGGTCGCTTCGGCCGCATTTTTCTACCGAAAATATTTTCAAAATATTTGTGCCAAGGTTTTATCAATCTGTCGCGAGAATAATGGCTGGAATCGCCCATAATCGCTTTGCGACGGCCAGCCGCAGCTGGAAATTTGGTGCGCCCTTTATTCGACGAGGCGAAACATTTTTCTGCGACAGACCCACATTATTTTCCCGACAGACTGATATGAAAAACTGGGCGTCGCAGTTGGATCGGTCAAGATAAACTCACCGCCAATCTCGCCGCCAAATCCGTGTGGGAGTCGAACAAAGTCTCGGCCTCCTCCATGGTCTCGCCGATCTCCAGAAGTCGAGGGCTCATCTCGTCGATCCGCAAATGGATGTCTCCTTGGCTCTGAAAAAATAAGATACAGTGGCGGACCTGGTCCAGTGGCAAAAAATGTGCCATTTTGCTTCCGAGAAGTATCAAAAATGTGGCAAAATACCTCCCTCTCCAAGTGAAAAAAACTCCGGTTTCCAAAAAAAGGGGCCGTTATTTTTGGAGCGCCCTTCAAAACAGAGTTTTCTTAGTCAAAAAAATGAGGTATTTTGCTACTTTTTTGATACTTCCCGAACACAAAATGGTACGTTTTTTGCCACTGAATCAGGTTCGTCACTGTGCGTTCCTTCAAAACGCCGCTTACATTGAGCATTGCGATGACGATGGTGGTGTGAGGCTCGGCCCTGACGGCAATGGTGGAGATGGTGGTGGTCCCGGGCTTCCCGCCCACACTGGCCGGCGGTTTCTGGTCTTCGGCCGGGATCAGCGGCGGCATGGTCTGGAATGCAGTGAGAATTCAGTAAGTCAAACTGCAACACAACGAAAAAACTTTATAACGAGCAACGGCAGGGCTTGCAAAGATCAAAATAAGCCTTTGTAAAACGATTTTTTGGACATGAAAAATGTTGTATATGTGACGCTCAGATTTTCTTAAAATTCAGCACGTGTGTATGTTCTAGTCCATATATCAATTGCTGAAAATCTTAGCTCACGCTTTGCTGGGAGAGCCGAGATATTCAACGATCATTCCAGACGAGAGAGTACGCCGAATGCGGAGAGCGGCAAAGAAAAGCGCGCGCTTTTTGCAATATTAAGCAATTTCGCACGAAAAAAGTCGATTTTTTTGCAGAATTATGCAATTCCACAGTAAAAATAAGCCTGTAATCTTCGACATTTACTTTCATAAATAAATTTTCATATTTTCTCCAACTTTTGAGCTAAAAATTTCGGTCGTTTCTGCCGATCAAAAGCTAGAAAACACTGCTATCTTTTGCATATCTGAAGCAATCAAAATATTCGTTTCAAAATGCGGAAAGCTCCCATTCCCGAGCTCAAAATTCAAATCACTTCCAGCTGGCCGGAGTCACAGCTTGAGAAGAGCAAACTTTATTATAGTTTTATGGCCTTTATTGCCTTAAACTCGTCAAATTTCGCACTCTATCTGTCACTAATTGTAAAATGGGAAATCGCTGGGAAAAGAGTTGGTTCTCATTATTTTCCCGACGGGCTGAAAATCTTTTCCTAGGAATTATCTTTTTATTAAAAACTTTATGCCATAAGAATTTTCTGATTTTTTAAACCGCGTTATACGAAATCTCCGGCCGAGTTATGCAGAATTTTTTAATCGCACTATAGAGAACTATCTGAAAATCAACAAAAAATAATTCCAACCATAATTTCATCCAAATGTACACATTTCCGATCCGCGTTATTTGGAATTTCTTGGAAAAATTCGCGTTATCTAGAATTCCTTGGAAAAATTCGCGTTATCTAGAATTTCTTTGGAAAAATCCGCGTTATCTAGAATTTCTTGGAAAAATCGGCGTTATCTAGAATTTCTTGGAAAAATCCGCGTTATCTAGAATTTTTTGGAAAAATCCGCGTTATCTAGAATCTCCTGAAAAAATCCGCGTTATCTAGAATTTCTTCGGAAAAATCCGCGTTATCTGGAATCTCTAGGAAAAATCCGCGTTATCTAGAATTTCTTTGGAAAAATGTCGCAGCGACACTTCAAATGCACAGGGAAAAACAAAAAAAGGTGAAGGCACGGTGCAAAAAATCGAGGGTTTTTGTGCACGGTGTGTCCACGAACTTTATGAAAAATTGGCCAAAGTCTTGACAGTAAATGCCCATGCACTTAATAGGTCGAGATTTCCTGAAATAGTACCGCTTGAATTGCCAATTCCGCGGCTTGAGAGACAAAATGACAAAAAAAATTTTTGCTCTATTGGCCTATAAATACCTTAAAAATTACACTGGCTTCTGATACATAATAAAAAACCGGCCAACCCATCGCGTTTCCCACAAAAAACGTGTTGATTCGGCGGCGAAACGCCGGGCCTCTGATGTTTTGTTTTCCTTTCCGGGATGAGCCATTCATTGTTTCCAGCACCCTTGGAAAACCCCCGAAAACACCCATCTACAAACCTCAAACAGCGAGGACGGAGAAGGTGAATTCCGGCGCCCCGTTTCCCTGGGCCCGATCCCACGAATTTATGGGGCGTTGGGGGCGGCCGAAAGCCGGAGAGAGCGGCGGCGGCCGATCGGGCCCGCTTTTTCTCGCTTTTTTTACACACAAATGCCGATCGAACGCCCTACAGCGGGAAGGCCGAAGACTGGCGAAAAGAGCGGGGCCATCTGCGAAATGTCGCAGTTTAAAGTTTTTTTGGGGCCGGGGAGAATTTTAATGGCGGAGAAAATTAGGGAAATATTAATGCAGGGAAAGGGCAGCGCTTGTCATTAAATCATTTTTTGCTGAAATTTTTGGGTGAAAAATTAAAAGCGATTTTTTCGATCGATCTGTCGGGAAAATAATGTGGATGAAAAATGTTATGCCTCGTCGAAGAAGCGCACCAAATCTCCAGCCGTCACAAGGCAATAATTAGCAATTCCAAGTCCCGAAAAATCCACCATATTTTCCGGCAGACAATAGTTAGAACAGAATGCTAATTTTTCATTTTGAAAATAGAAAAAATGCAGTTTTTTTGACAACTTTCAATCAAAAAATCTGGATGAGCGAGCTGAAATTGTGTTGAATTTTTTTGGGACGTTGTGCTCATTATTTTCCCGACAGACCGACAGTACTTTTGCAAAGTTACTGGAGTGATTTTTGCGACTTGCACAGTGCGAAAATAAAAGTTCAATTTGCACTGTGCAATTTCTTGCTTTTTGCACCGTGCAATAGGCTTTCTTTCGGCTGTCGAGCTTACTCTTCATTTTGAATTGTAAAATGACGTATCCGTGCTGCTTTTGTTGAGCCCATCAAAATCTTCAACTGGGCTTTCGACAAAAGCCCTATTGCTACCGATGACCGCCAACCCAAAATGGACTTTATGTAAAATTTAAAAAAACCGATGTGTAGTAATGTGTACTACATATAATGACATCAGCCACATTTGTTCAAGCAGTTTAAAAGCTGATAAAAATTTTGCGAAGTGCGATGCAAAACATGACTCGCCGTTATTTTTCCGATATGCTGATAATCCATTTGCAGAAGTTACAGTGGGGGACCTGATCCAGTGGCAAAAAACGTACCATTTTGCATCCGGGAAGTATGAAAAACGTAGCAAAATGCCTCTCTTTCCAAGTGAAAAAACTCCAATTTCAAAAGCGCATCCGCTCTTTTTGTGAGGAAAAAGGGCGCGCCCTTCAAAACGAAGTTTTTTCACTTGGAGAGGGAGGCATTTTGCCACATTTGTGATGCTTCCCGGATGCAAAATGATACGTTTTTTGCCACTGGATCAGGTCCCTCACTGTAATATAGAGGCTTGTTTTGGGCTGCCGCTCGAACCTTGGCTTCTTTGCGCTGTACGGACACCGAAAATTATTACTCCAGCGACTTTACGAACGGACTAGTGCTATAATTGATGTCACGGACTTTTTTTCAAAAATTTTTTTGACACATTTGCCATCACGATTGATCATCATTGAAGAAGATGACGTCCAGACCACAAACGATGACTCCACAATCTTATTTACATAATATAAATCCAAAAAAACAATGGTAACAAACTTTATTCGAGACATAATTACACACAGTTGATATTGGAACAAAAAAAGAATAAAATAATAGAAGTTTGAAAACGAAAAAGAAACCGGGGCTGGCTTGACAAGTAGAGGGAGCCGTAACAATGATAAAATGGGTGTCGCTGGTAAAAGTCGGGCGTATGAAAGATGATCTGATTGGCTAGTCGAAAAATGTTTCACCAGTTTATGGCCAAAAACGTTACGAAAAAACGGATGAAGGTAGTTGAGGAGGCTTGGGAATTATGTACAAAGACCTATGCTACAATAATCGTGAAAAAACATTCGTTGCAAAATGTGATTTTTGGGAGAAAAATTGAGATTTTTCGAGAAAAAACGGCTTTTTTTGCGAAAAAATCCAATTTTTTGATGATTTTTTGATGAAAAATCCGATTTTTCGCAAAATTTAAGGGTGATCGTATTTCCCATCATCTCAAATATTGCCTCAAAATTTCTCCCAAGTGCTATAAGACCGCTAGCATGTCGCTAGCAAGCTGCGAAAATCGCTAGCGCACAGTTTATGGCATGATTGTGGCGGAGTGTTGGAGGTTCTGCTGAAGATGCAGCTGTTCCAACGGATTGCCACTCGAGCTCGCCGCCTGCGAGTTGGGCAGTTGCAGCACGTTGCCCAACGGGTTCTGGGCTTGCGTGACGGCCATTGCGGCGGCCGCCGCCGCGTTCAGACCGAGCTGCGTCATCGCGGCGCTGACTTGGTCGGGCGCGTTGAACGCGTTCTGCGCGGCCATTAATCTGAAAATAGAAGAATAAGAATTGTAAAATACGGGTCGATTTTTTATTTTTCAGGGAAAATTTAATGTAAAAATGAGTAGAATTTTTTGAATTTTGCAAAAAATCTCAAATTTTGCCTTAGGCAATTATTTGCCGTAGGGAAAATAGAATGTCATAAAAATGGCCAAAAATTTACACCATAATTTTTCAAGATATATTCAAGATTTCTAGCCCCCACTATCCATAAAAATCAAGATTTTTTGATCAAAAAATCTCAAAAAATTTCAAAATTTTTTCAATTTTTCGCCTAAAAATTTCAACGTCAATTACTACTGGCATGTATATCCTTCCCACCAAAAATCAAATTTTTCCCTGCTGAAACAAAAAAGTTATGGGCAAAAACTGTTTTTTCGTCTGACTCTCCTCATTTCGCATGGTCTCTCGCAAGACTGTTGAATATCTCGGCTGTTGTTGGAAAGAGCCGGCTAAAACTTTCAGGGATTGGTGTGTAGATAGCTTAGAAGCTATGTGAAAAATTTTGAGAAAATATGACGTCATTTGAAAGAGATTATAAACAAAATTTTTTGAATTTTTCCAAATTTTTTTTTATTTTTTTTTTTGGCATAAATTAATAAAAAATCAAATAAAAATGCCAATAAAAGATGTGTCTGCTCCTACTCTCCCAATTTCATCAAAAAAATCGCAAATCCCCTACCTCAACAATTGCTGTTGTTGCTGCTGCTGCGGTGACATTAAACCCATCGGTCCCGAAGTGGTCGGGCTCTCCTGCGGCCTGCTCATCTCCTCCTGCTGCTGCTGTAGACGTTGTTGTTGGAGTCGCGCCACCTCCAGCGCCAAATTGAACTGATTCCCGCCGTTCATGGCCGAGTTGTGGGCCAGGATGTTCTGCTGCTGCTGGTTCTGCTGCTTCTGCTGGAACTGTTGCTGCGCCTCGGCTTCGGCGCGCGCCTTCATCGCGTGCGACTTCATGTGAGCGTTGAGTGACTGGAAATGCAAAATAAAATGCGAATTTGTGGTTAATAGTGGGTTTTTTGAAGGTTTGAACGGAATGCCAAAAATTCAGGGTTTCGTTGTGAGAACCAAATCTCAAAGATTTTCTTCAAACAATAGTTTTTATATGGTATTGTCAACCTAGCAAAAAATTTTTTCACAAAAAATTTGATTTTTTCTCGGAAAAAATCAAATTTTATAAAAATTGAATTTTCTCCAAAAAAGTAAAAAATTCCATGAAAAAAAGAAAAACATAATTATTCAAAGACGTTTCTAACACTAAAAATAATATTTGACTATCACTTTTCCTCAAAAATTTTTATGTTTTCTCAGAAAAAAATTGGAAGTTTCCTTTTTTCCCCAAAAAAACCCTTTTTGGTCCCGCAACGAAAATTTCATTTTTCAAAAAATGTGTCATAAAGGCCCACATAGCTTTATTTCATCAATAATTTTGATTTTTTCTTGGTAAAAATTAAAATTTTTCCCTTTTCTCTCAAAGAAATTCAAAAATTTTCGGTCCCGCAACGAAAACTTCATTTTTCAAAAAACTCAGTAATAGTGTCATAAATTGATGAAAAATAGCATTTTTCATCAATAATTTCAATTTTTGCTTGGAAAAAATCGGAAATTTCCCCTTTTCTCTCAAAGAAACTAAATTTTTGGTCCCGCAACGAAAACTTCATTTTTTGAAAAACTCAGTAATAGTGCACAAAGTCCAAGAAGCTTTTTTTCATAAATATTTTTGATTTTTTCTTGAAAAAATTTTGAAATTTTTGCTTTTTTCCCTCAAAAGCTTGTCCCGCAACGAAAACTTCACATTCATTTATTTTACCATGTAATTCCCTTCAAACGCCTACCTTGACCTTTTCGAAGCGTTTATCACACAGTCTGCAATGGAAGAAGCCGTCGGCCGAGGGCTGCGCGCCTTTCTTGGTTGTTGCGGGCCGCGGTTTGTGATGCAGCGTTGGTGGCATGGGCGGCAACGAATCGCCGCCATTGAAGAGGTCGATATTGCTGACACTCGGGGGCTGGGAGTAGTTGCCGTTGCTGCTGCTGGCGGGCGACGGGAACATCTCGTCGTGGAGCCATGGGTAGGCGGTCTGGGAGAACTGGGCCTCCGGCTTCGACAGCACGGGCATTGCCTCGGGGTTTGGGACGGCGGGGAAGTCGGGGATGGGTTTTTCGCGCTCCGCCGGACTCTGCAAGCGCGGGAATTTCTCGGGCGGCGAGCGACGCGATATACTGGACAGGCCGGTCATGTCGCTCTCGGCTTCGGAGATCTCGTCCTCCGAGGACTCGCGCTGATTCTCCGACTGCGTGCGTTGGCGGTTGTCGAAGGAGGTGACGTCCAGTTGTTGCTCCAGAAGCATCCTCTTCCTTCGCAAGTTCCTCAACTTTCTGTAGTCGTCCGGACACGCCTTCTTCCACGTATAATAAAACGCGACACACTGTTTGACAGTCCGATTCGTAAACTCCATGGCGACTTGATGAAAATCCTTTTCGGACTTGTAGATGGCGTCCTGGAAGGCCGCAATCTCCTCGGGCAGCCAGCGATCCGTGTCCGTGTAGTTGTTGTTGTAGATGATGGGGTACTGCTCCCAGTCGAGCGTGTCCGAGCGCAGCAGGTCCATCACCGCCGACTGGATGTTGCCCTGGTTCTCCATGAGGATGTGCAGCGCCAGCTCCTTGTTGCGGCCGGGCCGCGGGATCGCGTGACTGCACGCCAGCGCCTCGTACGCCGCCACTGAAAAATCGGAGGTGATTTTAGGAGAAAAATGATTTTTTTTGTTACTTGTGTAACAACCACTTGACTAACAAAAAATTCATAGTACTCATAAGACTATATGACAAAAATCTACTGTAGTAAAAACGTAATAAAACGAAAATTTTTTAAAATTTTCCCAAAAATCACAAAAAATCAAAAAATTCTTCCAAAAATCTCGTTTTTAGCCCTTCAAAATTTTCGAAACCATTACCACAACTTACCAGCTTTGTCAGGCAGGTGTTCAATGACTTTCGAGTCGAATACCATCTCGTCTCGGTCGGGAATTGCGGCCAATTCGGCTTCCGTCACCTCTCGGGAGGCCCACTTCTTGACTCGGGCTTGGAAATTCTTGCCGAAATTGATGTGTCTGAAAAAAATTTTGAATGTAAAATACGCCTTGCACTATCAGTCTTGAATTGTAATCATATTAAAACCAAAATTAATCAAAAAAATTTGAATTTCGATTTTCCCGCCAAATTTTGGCATTCTGTTTTAGGTGTCAAAAACCGTTTAAAACTGGAAAGCATTCAGTTTCAAAAGCCCCTGAGGCCAAGTTAGATCAAAATCCATCCAAATTTGTCAAAAATTTTTGAATTTTGATTTTCCCGCCAAAGTTTGGCATTCTGTTTTAGGTGTCAAAACCTGGAGAAAATTGAAGGGCATTCAATTTTAAAAGCTCCTGAGGGCAACTTCGACCAAAATCAATCAAAATTCCATAAAAAATTTGAATTTCCAATTTTCCCGCCAAACTTTGGCATTCCGTTTTAACCGTCAAAAATGATCAGAAACCCCCGAAAATGATCTCATACATACTCGTGAGGTAATAAAATATATTTTATGCCAAAAAAATCCCAAAACTTACGGCGTTACGTCGCTTTCCGGTGCCAAATACTCGTAATAATCCGAGCTGCTCGACGTTTTCCTTGTCGGCTCGTCCACACTGAACAGCTCTTCACTTTGTACTATCGAAGGTATTGAGGGCTTTTGGTTGGTCATTATCGACATTTTCCTTGAGGATGGAGTCGAATTCAGCGAACTTCCCGACTCCTTTCTTAGGGCCTCCAAATCGGCAACGAATTGGCTCTGAAAAGAAATTTTTTTTGTTACAGTAGTAATACAGATGTGTTTTTATCTTTTACAATTCTTTTTTATGTAATGTAAGGAGGATTTGACGTATCAGTACTATGATTAACCTTGTGTAAGGCAAAATTTTTGCAAGTCATTTATCTGATGTCTAAAATAAGGTCGGAACTTGGCGGAAAATTGTAAATGAACCATGCTATTGGTATTTCTAGATAGCGTGTGGTCTATCGATTACCGAAATGTCGCTTTCTTTGTTGTAAATTCCGAAATGAACCGAAAAAAAACCAAATTTAAGAATCTGCAGACCTGATGTCTAAAATAAGGTTGTAACATGACCAAATGGGCCAAATCAAATGTAAAACTCATAATGGTAGATAGTAAATGAGTTTTTGTTTACAATCGAACAAAATATTTTGTACTAACACTATTTTTTAAAACTGTTATGCCCAAAATATCAGTTTAGACCTATCTGATGTCTAAAATAAGGTCGGAACTTGAGCAAATGGGTCAAACCAGACGTGAAGCTTGTAATGGTAGATAGCCAAACAACTCTTATTCACTCTACAGCAAAATATTTTGTACTAACACAATTTTTTTAATTGTTATGCCCAAAATATCAGTTTAGACCAATCTGATGTCTAAAATAAGGTCGGAACTTGAACAAATGGGTCAAACCAGACGTGAAGTTTGTAACGGTAGATAGCCAAACAACTCTTATTTATTTTCCATCAAAATCTTTTGTATTACCCCTATTTTTTAAAACTGTTATGACCAAAACTTCAGTTTAGACCTGTCTGATGTCTAAAATAAGGTCGTAACTTGATCGTAGATCAAAAATTTTCCTCAAACTCATTTCCATTATCACCATCATGCTCTACACTTTCATTCCACTGTATTTTCCTCCATCATAGTCTCTACTTTTACATGTTTTTTGCTTTTTTTGCATCTGCACCATCAATAAAAACCTATCGTAATGTTTTGTTATTCTCCAGATGTTAAAGCAATAATTTCGTTGCAGCGGCGGGACGTCTGATAAGAGTCTGTTGGGTCCGCATAAACAAGAGAAAAAAAGTCATGTGCTGTCTGTGCAGACGAATATAAAACAGCGCCTTTTATTACACAAGGTGAAGAAATCAGGGCCCTAAATTTAGCGCAAATTGCGTGTTTTAGAACGAAAACTGTGGTGTATGGGCGTTGAATCAAAGTTTTGAGCATTCAAAAACTATTCAAAAAAAATTTTAATTGATTTTTTTGGCAAAAAATTTGAATAATTTTTTTTTTGAAAGTCGTATTTTAGGTGTCGAAAACCCCAAAAAAAATATTTTTAAACAAAATCTAAGCCCTATTTATCGCGTATAAACCCCATTTCCATCACAAGAAACGTCAAAAAAATTTGAATTTCAAATTTCCCGCAAAATTTTGGCATTCCGTTTCAAGTCCCAAAATTGATAAAAAATGACGTAAACATGAATAATAAGCTCTGTAAAGGTCTCTAGAAGAATATTTCAAACAAAAATCGCCGTATTTTACCCTATTTTTCCCATAGTTTTCCCCAAACTCACTTCTTTTCCCCGTTTTGCGATCCCACTCAAAAACAGGCCATTCTTGCGTTGTGGGGCGTTGGCGCGGTTGTCCATAGGTGGTCGGGTGAAGGGTTTTCGGCCGGTCAGCGAGCATCGCGCCTTCTCAATGTCCAGCGGGTAGTTGCAATCCAAGAGGTCGAGGGGATCCGAATCCGAGGTTTTGTGTGAGGTGGGCTCTTCGTGGCACGACTTTTTGCGCTCTGAAAATGTTAAAAATGCTCTTTATTGTATAAAAAATTATTCAAAAAATAACGAGTGCCCTTATCACCTCGTATTTTACAATATTTTATCACTTTTTCCAAAAATTTCAAAAGTTTCAAAAAAATTTCCCTACGGCTATAATTAAAAATTTTTTGCAGAATATCCCCAATAAAGCCAAAAACATCATAATGCCGTGACAATTCAAAATTGGTTACCATTTTTTAGCCGGAAAATCGGCAAACCTTTAATTTAGCCCACACTTCCAAAGGCCACATTAAAATTCTAATTTCGCCTCAAACTCGAGTAAATACTATTGTCAAAATGTATTCTTAGAGAGACTAAAGAACATTTATTTCGTTTTTGACATCTCGGAATAAATTGCAATTACTTTTTGCGGAAACTTGGGCACTTCTTTTGGAGGCCATCTGATGTCTAAAATAAGGTCGGAATTCGGGTTGGCATCAAAGAAATTTTGCAAAAGCTGTCAGTTTGGAATGCTTAAGAGTGATTAATCATAGTTAGAGAGGCAATGATTTTTTTGCTAATAGTATACGAAGACACTGGCCAGTTTCAAAAAAAATTCCGAAAATACCACCTGATGTCTAAAATAAGGTCGTAACTCACTCAAATCAATATAATACCCATTGAAAATAGTGTTGCTAGGAAGGTTATTATCTGTAATACTCCATAAAGCTTCAAATCGTAAATCTACACCATGAAAAAGCTCAGTATTCTTTAAATTATCTAAAGCTCCCGTCTGATGTCTAACATAAGGTCGTACCTGACTCAAATCAATATAATACCCTTTGAAATTAGTATTGCTAAAAAGATTATGATCTGTAGTATCCCATAAAGTATTAGAGCCTCATCCGATATCATGACAAAAATTGGTATCCTTTAAATCCTCCAAAAATCCCATCTGATGACTAAAACAATATCCAAACCCCCATAAATCCAATAATCTCACCCAAAAAGCTCTCCAACTTACCCTTGAGGTCATTTAGATCGTTGCTGATATCGTTGTGTTGGAGGGCGGCCGAGGTGCCGGGCGTGGCGGCGTGCGGAAGGTCGGTTTCCGTGCCGTTGGCGTCGTTGGCGAAGGTGTTCATGTCGCAGCCCATGCGACGTTTCGTCGTCTCGAGGGCGGATTGTTTGCGTTCGGCCAACACCAGGGTCGACAGTTTTCGGTCAGCTGCAAGTTGGGGGAAGTTAGAAAAATATTGAAAATTTGAATATTCAAATTTTTCAAAAAAATAAAAATCTCGGAATATGCAAATTTTTAGGGTCAAAAATTTTTTTTGATAAGTAAATATGTGGTTAAAACCATTTTTTTATTTTGAAAATTTGCATATTCAAATTTTCAAAAAAATAAAAAAAATTTTAATATGCAAATTTCTTGGGAAATTTTTTTTGATAATTAAATATGCATTTCAGAAAATTTTTTTAATTTTGAAAATTTGCATATTTTAATTTTCAAAAAATAAAAATTTTTTGAATATACAAATTTTTGGCCATAGACATTAAAAAATTTGGCAAATAAAAAATGGCAATAATACACGTCAAATTTTTCATATACGATATCATTTTAATGCGTCCGAAGGCATCTTAACCACATTACACATTGAACTTTTTGGGCACACGAGACCAACAACTCCCGTTTCGAAACGAATCTCAATTAATTTACAGGACCACTCTTTCGTTCGCCATATAAGACCGCTCTCCAGTTCGCCGTATAAGGGCATGGCGGGTGGGATAATTGGGAGTCATGCCGACGGAGGAAGTCCGGAGAAGACAGAGGCTTCTCAGTAGTTTATTATTGGAGATTTACAGTAGAAAGAAAGAATAGACTGCTCAGTAGACACTATACTATTTGTTATACCCCAAAAATCGCTAAATAAATAAAGATTTTACCGATTTTTTCAAATTCTTTGAACAAATGGGAAAGTATTTTCAAAGTGTCATAACTCTACGGCCAAGGATGAAGTTTCCCTCAAATTTCGGTGAAAAAATCACTATGAGTTAGAAATCAAGTGTGGAAAATTTTAGCTCGAGCTTTGCAAGTGATGCGGAGATATTCAGCGATTAAAAAAAATTGAATTTTAGGATTTTTCGACCAAAAAAATCTCGATAGCTGCTGTAAAACACGAAATAAAAATATTACACATGTCTTGGCAAATTTTAGATTCAATTTTTATTAAATTTCATCAAAACCCAGCAGTTGAATTGAAAAAAATCTTTTCCAAAAAGTCTGCACCGTGCAGCGGAAGAAATAGAGCAAATATGCGACCGCACCGTGCAAATTTTCAAATCAAAATTCTGCACTGTGCAAATCTTCCAAAACGAAAAATTGCACCGTGCAGTGCAAAAAATAGACCAAAAATGCGACTGCACCGTGCAAATTTTCAAATCAAAATTCTGCACAGTGCAAATTTTCAAGAACAAAAAATTGCACCGTGCAAACTTTCAAATCAAAATTATGCGCAGTGCAAATTTAGAAAAACAAAAAATTGCACAGTGCAGTGCAAAAAATAGACCAAAAATGCGACTGCACCGTGCAATTTTCCAAAACGAAAAATTGCACCGTGCAAATTTTCAAATCGAAAATTCTGCACAGTGCAATTTTCAAGAACAAAAAATTGCACAGTGCAGTGCAAAAAATAGACCAAAAATGCGACTGCACCGTGCAATTTTTTAAAAACAAAAAATCTGCACCGTGCAGCGAATAAAAATAAAATTTCCGAATCCCGAAACGCCTCAGGCATCTCCTGCAGATGGAAAAAATAGAAATAAATCCGTGAAAAGGGCGAGAAGGAGTGCGTATATGTACGTTGAATTCCCGAACCCTTCAATTCCATTTCCTCGAACACTGCCCTTTTCCAAAACTGCCGGGACCTTAAAAAATGGACTAATCGACTTTCAGTCGGCGGAAAAAAATCTTTCGGGACACAGTGTTCTCAGAAACAATGAGAAAAAACAAAAATATTTCGGAGAATTTTTGGAAAAATACTAATCAGTATTGTGTAAGCCAAAAAAATATATTTTTAATGTATTTGGATTAGAAAAAAAAAAACTTTTAATAAAAAATTTTCAATTTTTAAATTATTTTTTTTTAATTTTGAAAAAAAAATTTTTTGAAATTTTAAAAAATTCAAAAAAAAATATTTCTGATTTTAAAGGAATTATTATATACGTCTTATTAACAAGAAAAAATCAGCATTTTTTTTTATTTTTTGAAATTTCGATTTTTTTTGCGCAAAATGAAAAAAAATTTTAATAAAAAATTCTCAATTAAAAAAAAATATTTCTGATTTTAAAGGAATTATTATATACGCCTTATTAATCAGAAAAAACCAGCATTTTTTTTTTATTTTTTGAAATTTCAGACTTTTTTGCAAAAAAAAATCAAAAAAAATTAATTAAAAAATCAAATTTTTTTTTCGAAATTTCTGTTAATTTCTTTTTTTTTTATTTTTTACGCCCAATTAATCATAAAAAATCAGCAAAGGTTTTTGCAATTTCATTTTTCTTAATTAAAAAGTTGATTAAACCAAAAAATTCTTTAACCTGCGAAAACACTTTTCGAACAAAACAACTCCGATTTAAAAGTGCAGAGCGTTTGTTTTGAGAAAAAAAAATTTTGCTGACAAGAAAAAAAAGAGATTTTTTGGGGGGAAACTATAATAAAAAGAGTGGGTAAAAGGGCATGCAGAGAGTTGAGCCATTACTTTTTTTTGATAAGGTCACGACAGATTCGGGGGGAAAGAAAAAAAAAGAAAATGGGTCACAAGTCTCCTGAGGGGTTTGGGGGAAAAGTTTTTTTTTTGAAAAACAAAAAAAATGCTTTTGGAGAGAAATTTTGCGGTTTTTGAGGAGGAGAGGACACAAATTTTGAAGCAGGGTTTAGAGAGTTCGAAATGCGGAAAGGGTAATTTGAGAGCTTCAGAAGGGCGGAAAATGGAGGAGTGGCTTGTGGGAAATGTTGAAAAATAAAGTGAAAAAAATATTATAGATGATTTCGGACCTAAAAATTGTAAAATACGAATTTTTTTTCTTAATTAAAATTGATGAAATTTGGTGAAAATTTAGATTGAGACTTTCTAAGGGATTTTTCAAATTTTTGGCTTGCGTTATGCAGAAATTTCCGAGATTTTTAAGCGAAAAAAATTATAAAATGCGAAAATTTTTTTTTAATTAAAATTAATGAAATTTGGCGAAAATCAAGATTAGGACTTCCTAAGGGATTTTTCAAATTCTTAGCTCGCGTTATGCAGAAATTTCCGAGATTTTTAAGCTAAAAAATTGTAAAATAGGAAAAATTTTTCTTGATAAAAATTGATGAAATTTGGCGAAAATTAAGATTGAGACTTTCTAAGGGATTTTTCAAAATTTTAGCTCGCGTTATGCAGAAATTTCCCAGATTTTTAAGCCAAAAATTTTTAAAATACGAAAAATTTTTCTTATTTAAAATTGATGAAATTTAACAAAGATTAAGATTGAGACTTTCTAAGAGGATTTTTCAAATTTCTAGCTTGCGTTATGCAGAAATTTCCGAGATTTTTAAGCTAAAAAATTGTAAAATACGAAAATTTTTTCTACTAAAATTATTGAGATTTATTAAAAATCAAGTTTTCTAAGGGGATTTTTCAAATTTTTAACTCGCGTTAAGCAGAAATTTCCAAGATTTTTAAGCAAAAAAAATGTCGATTTTCAAAAAAAAAAAAAAAAAATTTTCCAAAAAAAAATTTTTTTAATTGACCTAAAATTCGCTAAAAACCCATAAAATATCACACAAAATTCGACTAACCCACCCACCTAGAAACTCTCCTCCTTATAACCCAAACTCGGCGAGTCCATAAACCATAAAGTGAATCATCTGGTTTCCGGTCGAAAACACGGTCGCATTACCCCAAATGACCCACGACGATGTTTTGAAAGCCCACAAAAAGATAAACAGAAGATAAGATCGAGAAAATAAAGTTCGAAAATAGCCGTAGCGCATGATAAAACCTATAAACATCGGGCCGTAAGACTTCAAAAACAAAACGTCTGCTATTCCACCGTCAATAATGTTGTCGTCACAAGCTACAACAGAGCAAAGAAAAGAGGACTTAAGCTTCAAAATAAGGTGTGCTATTGGAGTTTTCGTCCACAGACAGCTGGGATATTACACATGAAAGTTTAAAAGGGCAAGTCGAGAAAATGGTTAAAAATCTTTAAAAAAAATTTTAAATAAAATCCAAAATATATATGGATAGTATTTAGAGGCTACTAGCAGTTCTATAACAACATTTACAGCACAATTTTTAGTCAAAAAACATCTGAAATCGTCAAAATATTATACTTGATATATTAGACTTGAGCTGGATGGAAAAATTGCAAAAAATCTCAAAAAATCACTAGCTCATAGACTGAAATGTCTTTAAAAATCCTTTCAAATACATCTAGCAATATTTCAAGACACATTTCAATAAAAAATTTTAGCTAATAAATGTTGAAAATCATCAAAATATTATTCATGACACCTCATGTATGCACTTTTGGAAGAATCATTAAAACGTGGCAATTAAATTGAAAATTGTAAATTAAAAGCTGTCTACTATGTTCTACAGAGTCTAATTTATCAAATAAATTCAATTTCAGCCAGAGATCGGTATGAAAATCAAGCTGTTTGATCAAAATATTGTTTATTACATCATCTGCTTCCCAAAATTGATGATTTCTCCAATTTCACCTCGACTTTTCGTCGCCAACCCCCTCCAAATCGACGCAAAACATTGGCAACAGGGTAATCTTTAGTCCGGCCTGCTGGATCCCCTACATCAGGACCTTCAAGTTTCGCAAAAAGCGCCCGCATTTCACCGTGCCCCCCACTTTTCTGCAGGGGTCCAAACAATTCGAAAACATAAGCTGTTGGTGTGTGCTAAACTCGGCCGGCCCGTCCCGTGGGGGTCAAAACGGTGCAGGCGGCCGGCCAGCAGCAAAAAACCCCCCGCCGCCGCTCTCCGCTCTCCCGTCTTTTGCATTTGTAGAGAGAGAGGAAGGAGCGTAAAACAAACGGCCGACAAATGCCTCCACACGGGAGAGGAGGGCCCGTCGGGGGGCCGGCCCCACGCCGCTTCGCCCCGACTCCAACCCCAAAAAATTGCGAAATAAACAAAAACAGAGGCGGCAGCAAAACAGCGCCGCTTTTAATTACAACGTGATTTGCGAAAACGCGACGCCTCGGGAAAATGTTATTCGTCTCGCGGAAGGTCCCGGGGAAAAGGTCGAGAAACTGGACAAAGACCGCATTCAGCCCGCTTGAATTGCATATGTTGTGATGGATAAAAGTACAGTGAAGATGGTGGAGTAGCATTTGAGAAATTTCGATGCTCCCCTAAGGGGTTTTACAAAGGAATTTTCGAAATTACGCCACTTTTTCGGCGGAAAATTGACATTTCGCGGAAGAGTGCATATACCATAATTGATAGCAGTAACAGACAGATCTTTTGTAGGGAAAACAGCCTTAGGGCATGAGTTTCAAATCGTAATATACCGTTTCCCCACCAAGCCCCGCTTAACATAGCAGTCGGTCTATCTTATCCATGAGGTCTTGATAGAGATACTCTGGAAAAAAGAGCAAATAAACATAGTAGTACTGATAACACGGTTACAATTTTTATGATAGTTACAAATCAGGTCCTGCGGCTTATTTCTAATCAGTTTTGGTGTCCTTATCACTAACAGCTTTTGCACAGTGCAATTTTTTTGAAATAATGGAATTCTTTGACCAAGCCTTGAAAAACCAGCAATAAGTGGTAGTTAAATTGTAAGTAACAACCAGATTGTTTTCTACTATAATTTTAGACGTCATAGCAAAAATACATTCCAAATTTCATATCATTACAACTACTACTTTACGAGTTACAGTACTCTCAAGACTGCGGCAATTTCGGGCCCAAACCAATCACCAAATTCGGTCAAATGATCGTTAAAGCAATGGCCTAATGTGGCTGAATCACCACTTGTTTCCCGCCGGTTACAGCACAATCGACAACGCCGAAAAGTGCACATTACAAAAACGGGAGCAAAAGTAATTTTGGAGCCGAGAAAAAAAAATTGTTTTTGATGGGAGAAAGGGTAATGTCTGAAGAGTGCAACCCATATACAAACGATCGGAATGTTGCGCAGCGTTATCAGGAGACCGTCTAGCCAACGTTGAACTGTTGGAATAACAGTTCAACGGGACCGGAGTGCGTTTTTCGTCAGCTGTTTTTGAACTTTTTTGGGGAAAACTGGAAAAAATTGAGGGAAAATGGCATTTTTATGGGGAAAATAGCTAAAACAAGGTAAAATACGGAGAAGGCAGGATATATAGTAATATCAGAGATCATTTAATGTTATTTACAAGACTAAAATCGAAGGTTAAGTCAACGAATTTGACCGCTTTCGACAAAAAAAAACTTGTTTTTGGACGAAAAAATAGTAAAAAATCCAAAATAAATGTAAAATGCAACAATTACAGCCATCATATCCTATTCTAAGTGCCTCACAAATCTCTAATCTTCCACTGCCAGCCAGCTGCTACCTTATTTTACCCATGAAATTTCGAAAAAACTCAAAAATTTCTTTATATTATACCAGACGTCTCCGAACCAAAATGGTGGATGAAAGCACAAGGGCCACCGCATCCGCTGGAGAACTTGTTGCATCGCGTGGGGAACAAAGACGGATCGATTTTTATCTCCGCAATTCGCTCCCCGACGCCGTTTATCAGCCCCGGCGATGATAAATAGCGAAATGGATGGGTGATCGGGAAAAAATATTTTTCGCCTCTTTTTAGGTCATACCGTAGCGAAAAGCGGGCTGCGTCGGGACGCGGAAGTCTTCATGAACAACAAACCGATGACAAAGTCGACAAAAATCTCTCGTTTAATCAATCCAATTGTAATGTTTTCGGTAGAACTTGATCACGAACAGCTATCGACAAAATGAGAGCGGAAGGGGATTCAGAGTCGAAGAGATCAGTGGATTAGCCCCCGATGGATGGATATACTTTTCGCCGGCGGGAAAAAGTGGGATGCAATGAACTTTTAGGGAGAAAAATGTGGTATATGACAAATTGCGTGCGGTTTTTATTACTTCGGACAAACAAAAGCGCTACGTATACGGTCACAAATTGAGAGAAATTTTGGGGAAACCGGAAATTTTCGAAATCGCATTGTGCGAAATCGACCGGTCGAAAAGTCTTAGGAATGGGCTTAAATTGAAGATAAAGCCCTCAGGAGTTCTGATAAGCTACCACAATAATCATAACTAGTCCCGCATTACTGTAATATTGAATTATTTCCAACGAGTTTTTACAAAACGTAAAAATTTCAAATCTGCACTGTACAAAATCGACCAGTCGAAAAATCTCAAAAATGGACTTCGATCAAAGCTAAAGCCCTCAGGCTGTCTGGTAAATAACTAGGCTGCTCATAACCACTCACGCCTTACTGTAACATTGAATTATTTCCAACCAGTTTTTACAAAACACGAAAATTTCAAATCTTCACTGTGCAAAGTCGACCAGTCCAAAAATCTCAAAAATTGGTTTAAACCAAAGCTAAAGCCCTTAGCTGTCTATTTAGGAAATGAATATTCTACTTATTACTTCTCACGTCTTACTGTAACATTTTCTTTGCAACCAGTTTTTACAAAACTCAAAAATTTCAAATCTGCACTGTGCAAATAATAAGCCTTCAATATAAGCGATCATATTTGCAAATCAACGGATGGGGCGTCAACCATACGGTCCATAAAAAATTTTTGGTTCCACACCCCCAGTTATTCGGCTATGACGTCATTTTTTATTGGAGGAAATTCCGATCTCGCCCATTTTTAAACACCGCACTGTGCGAAAATCACAAGACATACAAACTTGGTTATAGCCTCAAATTGAAGCATATGATGTCTACTATACTGCTTACATTACATATGCAACATGTCCCCTCAGGCTATTTTGAAATTAAACATTTTTGTTGAGACCAAAATTTTGAAGCTTTCGTATAAAATGTCGCTTTTTTGAGTCAACAAAGAATTGTGGCGGGGTAACACTCACACCGTGGAAAACTTTGCAGCCACATCTTCGTACGTGACCTACGGTAAATTCATTTTGCACTCAAAATTCGGGCCGAAGAACGGCTTCGAATAAACACCCCAAATCTCATTCTTTCGCTCAATTCTCCTCGCCGGAACCTTCAAAAACACTTGTTGCAGCGCGCGTCTAACAAGCTTCGGAGTGTGCGAGGTGACAGAAGAGTCAACAGATTCGACCAAAAAACTGACCTGAATGATCTCGCCGCTGGCGTTCTTTTTGTTTGCACGAGGCTTTTTCCCCCCATTTTTTGACAAAAAAATGTTTGCTAACCTGCTTTGCGGGCCCGGGAACTGGAGAGAGCCGGATTTTTGGGCCGAAATTAACATATTGCAGAGTGCGCGGACTATTTTTGCGGCAAAAACCAGAGCAGGCACGGCTTTGTGGGGGGAAATTCGAAAGAATTAGGGGAGAAACCCAATTTTCGGGGAGAAAGACTGCAAAATTTCCCGTTTATTGCCTCCAATATTCTTCTACAGCAGCAGGGAAACAATTTTCAAAACATTTTTTTTTCAAAAAAATCGCAAAAATTAGAGAAAAATCAAAAAATTTCCGTCATCAAAAATCATCTAAAGTAATACCCAGATGGTTCGCTGGAATCTCAGAGTGCTCTGGATTACATTTTAAATCGCATGTTATCCCAACAGAAGCCCTACATCAGGCTATGACAGCTTTTCCAACACTTGCAACGCCATATATGACCATCACAGATATACGTCATTAACTCTATTTTTCGACTTTTTCAAAAAAAATTTTTTTTGCAAAATTGCCTCAGGCCTTCTTGAAGCCTCCTCAACAATTTTTGAAAAAAAAATCAGCAAAAATTCGGGTCAAAAACGAGATTTTTTGAGAAACTCTCGAAATTCTGGCCAAATTTAAAAAATCCGCTATACAAAGTTTTCCCTGCACTATAACGTCCCCAAATGTATTCAACACCCTCCCTGTCGCATGCATTTTTCATTCCTCTCCCCAATTTTCTCCACCTTTCCCTTTTTTCTCCCCAAAAAATTGTTTTCCGCACCGAATCTCTGGTTTTCCCCCGCCCCCTCCGAATTCCCCACACTCTCTCGCGTTTGCACTCTTATTTCACGAGAAGAGCGGGCGACAAAAGCGTCGCTGTTTAGCCTTGCAGATCTTCGAGACCGAATTCCGAAAAAAATTGGTGCACAAAAACGTCGGGTTTCGAGGCCGGCGCGGAGTCGCAAAAAGTTGATAAAAATTCAAATTTCGCAATGAAAAAAATTGCAAGCGGAGAGTGTTTTGAAGCGAAAGGACAGAGGGCTTAGCATAATTCCCAACGACTTGCTATCCCACACACGGCTTCGCAAAGCAGCCGCTTTCTAAGCGGATTTTGCGCAAAAATCCGCTTCCACGGCCTGGAATTTGGAGAAACGGGGGGCGAAAATTGTGGGATTAAACGGTGAGGAAACGCTTGTTATGTGCAGTAAACATCGTACATGTTCGTATGAGGCAATGAGAGTGGTTGAAAATACAATATACTGCATGGAATTCGATTTTTTTCAAGAAAATCTTAAGTTTAAGGCAAAAAATGCCGTTTTTTGACAAAAACTCGCCTATAACAGACAAATTTCTTAACAAAAATAAAAGATAACACTATAGGAGTTCATATTCTACCTTGATTTAACTTTTTGGACGTCTTAATTTTTTGTTGTCAACGGAAAAGTTAGGAAAAATTCAAGATTTTTGAAAAAAAACTAGGGAAATTTTGAAAATTGATCGTATAACATGTCTCCCCTTTCAAAATTAGAAAACACTTGACATCAGGAACTCATATTTTACTACATTACACCTTTGACTCATCATATTTACCATGTTTAACCCACAAATCTCAAGAAATTTGAGATTTTCCCCGGAAAACATGGGTAAATCGCAAATTTTTCGTATAAAATGTCGCCTCAGCCCCTAAATTATCCAATTCCTTCAATTTCACACAATACCACATGTCTGTACACCCGACACGATACGGGAAATAGTAATTTCAAAGGCTTTCCGAAGCAAAATTCTGCAAAAAAGGGGATGACTGAAGAAACCACCCTCCTTTGTTTATCGTAATCTTCATGTATACGATGCGGCGTGCAATAAAACCCAGACGGGTTGGAATATCAGAAAAAAAAAACATAAAAGGTTCGGGCAGACATCAACAGGTCAGAGATTGGGGAGGAGGGAAACTGCAGGAAATGGGAGGCAAAAACAAGATTTTGCAGCCATCTTGGGGCCGTGTTAAGGGGGTTTGTGGTATTTAGAATAGAGTATAGATCTCTAGCTTTGCTGTCAATATCAAATTTGATAATAAATCGGCTTTAAATATCGAAAATATTGAAAAAAACGGGAAAAATCGGGGAAAAAATGATGTTATACTAGATAACACCTATTTTTATTGCCTTAAACTCTCTGTTAAACTTGAAAATACTTTCTAAAATCTATAAGGAGGTTGTAAAACAATTTTTTATTCTATTTACTGTCTCAAAATTCACAATATTCATCAAAAATCTTCCAAAATATTGAAAAAATGCAAATTTTTGTAATTTTTCTAAATTATTTAGAGTTAATGTCTAACAAATGATATTAAAAATGTTAATGAGCTATTACACTTCGCCTACAAAGGCCAATTCAGCATTTCTGCGGGCTAAAATTTATGGAAATGAGAGGAAATTTGGAAAAAACTAAAATTTTTTGGCGATTTCCGATGTTTTAAGGTAAAATACCTTGCAAATGGCCAAATTAACCTCTCGAAAAGCACGTTGATAGCACGTCAAGGCTTCCTAAAGTGCACGTAGCTTCTAATGCATTCCATTTTTTATGCGAATCAACGCTCAACCGGCAATTTTCAGAGGCCCAAGTCGAATGATTGATGAGGCGCCAAAGTACGTGACATCTCGAAACAAAATGCACTCGCTGCGGTAATCCATTTTCGGTCCAGCAACTGTGGCCACATTCGTGGTCATTAATCTCTTCGCGAAATTGGAAAAATTTCTCCCCCCTAATAAGCGCACAAAGCCCCGGCGGGGCCGCTCGGCGGAATGCGAGCCGATAATGAGTGGCCGCGCAAAAGTGCGTCTCACCGTCCTCGTCGTGCCGAGAACCGCGCGCCTCGCGGAATAGCCGGCTAATTCTTTTCTTTTTGCGGACAAAATATTGGCAAGTTTGGAGGAGAAGATAGAGTCCTCGCCGCCACTCTCGGCCCAAAGTAAATTCTCAAGAGATGGGGCACGTACGCGTCGCGGTCTTTGGTCGATCACATGCAACAACAAACATTAAAGTTTGGGTTGAAATTAAAAAGTTATTTTTGGAGCGTTTTGATGTCATGAATAACTTCGGCGGTAAGTCACGTAGTAAATGTTGGGGAGAAAAGGTAAAGAGCTCAAAATGAAGCCAGTAGAGTCTAGTGGTTATATTATTTTGCAGCTATGCCCTATGGCATCATACTTTGGAGAAATTGCAAATTTTGGAAAAGGGTCTGAAATTTGATATCATGGACAATATTGGTTTGTACCGTCGAAAGTTCTAAGTCGACGGTGATGCTTCTACCCTAATATAAGCCGCAATACAACTGGAATTTACTGTACAAAATATCAGCACGTTTTATAGGAGAGGAAATTTTTTACGAGCAATTTTCCAAAGACAACAAAAAATTGTTGACTCATGGATAATATTGGCGTATATTGTTATAAGTTCTAAGTCGACTGTGATGCTTCTACTCTAATATAAGCCGCAATATAGCTAGAATTTACCGTACGAAATATCAGAAAGTTTTATCGGAGAGGAAATTTTTTACAAGCAATTCTCCAAGACCAACAAAAAATTGTTGACTCATGGATAATATCGAGAGTAGCGGGGTTCTTTGCAAGTCCACCAAGTCCATTTATTTTTCATATTACATCCAATCACATCTAATCTACCACCTACAATTATCCAACCCTCAATTGTGCCAGCAACATAATTACAGGCAATCCAAATACCCCATCCAATTTGCCCAACCTGCCGTTATAATTAGCCCAGCATGTAAACACGACCGAAATTTCCGAGAAACCCCTCCAGACACAACAATCTTCGCCTTCACGGGGGGCAAGTTCGCCGTCAATCCCTTCGTATTAACCCAACACCCGGTGTAGTCGCGGGGAGAAAACAAAAATGGGCAAGGAAATTAGTCCTCCCTCCCGTATTTTGCACAAAAAAGGAGAAGATAACAAAGAAAACTTTGGGGGGCAGCCGAAAATATTGTCGAGCACGCACTATTTGGGGGCCGCGGAGACGTAAACATCATCACGTTTTCGCGAAGAACGCTGCGGGGAGAGGTCGGGAGGAACACAAAGTATTCGAAACATAGATAGCGCGTCTGCAAAGTTGTAACCTTTTGTGGAGTGGAAGAGAGCAATTTGCGCAAATTTAAAGCGATTTTTACGCAACACAGCTCCCAACTTTTTATTTTGAATAAAAAATTTGAGAGTTTTAACTACAGTGGCGGACCTGATCCAGTGGCAAAAAACATGCCATTTTGCATCCGGGAAGTATCAAAAACGTCGCAAAATACCTTCCTCTTCAAATGAAAAACTCCGTTTTGAACAGCGCGACTCAAAAAAAAAAAAAAAAAAAAGAGCGGCACGCTTTTGAAACTGGAGTCTTTTCACTTGTAGAGGGAGGTATTTTGCCGCGTTTTTGATACTTCCCGGATGCAAAAAGGCACTTTTTTGCCGCTGGATCAGGCCCGACACTGTGCATTTCAAAAGTTTTATAGGCCCTGAAAGTTTTAGCTCGCGCTTTCTAACAGCCGTTGAAATTTTTAAATTCGGCAATTTCTGGCGTTTGTTTTCGCCCATATCTTTGAAAAAATGCAAATTTTTTTTTCGAATTTTGCCATGAAAAGTTTCATACCTATTTCTATCTTATAGTATAATATTTCCACAAAAAAATCACTTTTTTCTGCGCGAAACTGGCAAAGATATGGCCAAAAAATGTTTTCCTCTCTAACCACTCCGCATTTCGCGTACTCTCTCGACCGCAAAATCCGTAAAAACACTTTTTGCCCCTATCTTTGCCAGTTTCGCGGGGAAGAAATTGATTTTTTGTGGAAATATTACACTATAAGATAGAAACAAACTTTTCAAGTCAAAATTCGAAAAAAATTGCATTTTTTACCAACTTTCGATCTAAAAATCTCATTCATTTCTGTAAGTCGCGAGCTAGAAGTCTCGCATATGCCTTAGAAAAAGTTATTCTAAGTTTGTGCCACGTTTCATCAAAATCCGAGCGTCGCACTTGGGGTACTCCCTTGTCAATTACTCCCGCAATTCCCTTTGCAATCTTATCAGAAAATTCCATACGAGTTTTGGGTCCGAATTAAGATGGATTGCCCGAATTTTTGCAGAAAAAATAATCGAAGAGCCATCTCTTTCGACGTCGCTGCAATCAAAAACCAAACCTTTTTGTATTTTGCAAGCAAAAAATTTGATAAAATCATATTTTCCGGAGAAAAAATCATCGCTACAACAGAGCAATTTAGCTCCATTACATAGCAATTTTGCTATGTAACGGTGCATCCATTGTGTCCTTGTCAGCGCCATTTTTTCCGTTAGATCCATTGTGTCCATGTCAGCGCCACTTTTTCGTCTTTAAAACTCCGTACAATCAAAGTAGGCCGCAAAAAATCGGCTGACTAATTCCTCCAGACAATAATGCAAAAAAGGCAAATGACTCAGTTTCAAATGAATCCCCGCGGCCAAAGACTGCGCTTGATGTAATGTCAGACGCCCTGAGGGCAACGTGTCTCCTTTGTGCAGGAAAAGGGCAAGAATTTAGTGGAGGAAAGGGATGAATCGCGATGAAATGGCGAAAAAATCAAGTTTTTTGATAATTTTGTACTTTTAGAGCAAAATTACAGTAATCCTTTGAATGCCACTTGTTTCTAAAGACCTCTCAGACATTCTAGAACATGTTACAACCATCAACACTTTAGATTTCATACATTACTATGGGTTTCTTTTGATTTTTTCGCAATTTTTTGAATTTACAGTGAAATTACAGTAATCCTTTTAATTCTACTTCTTTCTAAAGCCTACTCAGACATTCTAAAACATGTTACAACCATCAACACTTTTAGTTTCATACATTTTCCACGTTTTTCAGACTTTTTTCGCTATTTCTAAATTTACAGTGAAATTACAGTAATCTTTTGCATCCCACTTCTTTCCAAAGACCTCTCAGACATTCCAGAACCTGTTACAACCATCAACACTTTCAATTTCATATATTTTTCACGTGTTTTTAGATTTTTTCCGCTTTTTCGTAAATTTCAAAGCTTTAAAGCCAAATAAATAAAAAATTACAGTAATCTTTTGCATCCCACTTCTTTCTAAAGACCTCTCAGACATTCTAGAACTTGTTACAACCATCAACACTTTCAATTTCATATATTTTCCACGTTATTTCGGACTTTTTTCGCTATTTCACAGTTTTCCAAATATTAGTGCAAAATTACAGTAATCCTTTCAATCCCACTTCTTTCTAAAGACTCTTTACAATCTCTCAGACATTCTAGCAATTATTACGACCATCAACACTTTCAATTTGATACATTTTCCAAGCTTTTTTCAGACTTTTTTTGCTATTTCGCAGTTTTCTAAATTTTACAGCAAAATTACAGTAATCTTTTGCATCTCACTCCTTTCCAAAGACCCCTCAGACATTCTAGAACATGTCACAACCATCAACACTTTCAATTTCATACATTTTCCTCGCTTTTTTCACCAGTCCAACACATTGTTTGGAACAGGCCGGTGGAACAAAACATTTGACTTATTTTTGTAGTTTATTCTACTCCATTCCACCTTTTCATTGAATATAAATGGAAATGAAGGTGTCTGCTTTAAAATGAGTGGTATCTTGAACCTATTTCTAATATTTGATGAGGTCAAATTGGCAGGAAATTTTGCAGCAAAAATGTAAAACAATATAATTTTTGGTGGAAAAAGGGTTGGTTAGGGGTAAAATACGTCCTGAATAGCTGTGATAATTAATAACTAAGGCTTGTACATCATATAAACTTTTGAAATCCCCCATTTTCGCGATAAAATTCGGTTTTTACCTTATTTTAGGTAACATTTCCAAAATTTCCCATTTTTTGCTAGAAAAAATCGATTTTTCTCGTAAATTATAGGCTCAAAAAGCAATCTCATGGTATTTTCTATAATAAAACTGTATTTTCACCAGTAAAAAACTGTGTTTTTCTCAAAAAAATCCAAGATTTCACCTAAATTCCCAATTTTTCCCCAAAAAACCTCATTACATAGGTTCGTCACGCTCGATACGACAATAACAGCCGTTCCTTTTGCCGTCTAGACGCGCCGCGCCTCATTACCACGCCATTCCTTTCGTATATTCCGTCATTTCGCACCAAAAAATAGTCGCAAAATGAGCCGAAATTACTTCGAAACGAAAAGCTGGCCGCTGCCGAAAAAACCCGCTTTTCACGGCCTGGAACGCACGATATCCGGTTAAAGCCACCTGCATGACATTCCAATGGTCCATAAACGTCGGAAATTTTTAATGAAACAGAAAAAAAAGTTCGCAAAAGTTCGAAAAATTGCAAAAAAATCCTACAATTTTTTGCTAAATAGCCCAGGGCAGCTGCATGTCCAGAAAATGTGTCACGATGACACCCTTTTAAAAAGTGCGAGTAGCATAAAAAATGGATTTATATGGCTAGGAGAGCACTCAAGAGCATGTCAAAAAAATTCGGGCATTATCAAGATTCTCATCGCTGAAAAAAATCGAAAAATCCAGAAAATCCGTCATCCAAATTGCGCATTCTGAAAGTGTTGGGCCCGATTTTTTTATGAATGCTCTGGAGGGTACTCCTACCCACATACAGCCATTATTTATATCGCTGACACATTTTAAAAAGGTGTCATCGTGACACATTTTCTGGACAGACCAAGATTTGTAAGCCCCAAGCTATATAAGGGCATTTTCTTATAAAAATAGGTTAATTTAATCTCCGGCTAATTTTATATTCCATTTTTTTGATCAAAATTCCCACAGTACACTCAAAAATTCCAAAAAAAAGTTTTTTTTCAAATCCTTCCGAAATTTTAATTAGAATTCGCGGCTGCAAAAGAACGCCTGCGGCCCAAAAATTAGGACGGAATAAAAAAAAAACGGGGGGAGAGTGCTCCGAAAGATTGCCGAATTTGATTGTCCTATTTTCGGCGTGCCCGAATTTTGCAGAAAAAAACAAAAAAAAAATTTTTTTTTGCGAAATGGAATAGGACCCCGTTTCCTAAATTGGAATTGGCGGCTCTGCAAAAATGGAAAGCGATGCATTTCCAAGAATTTCGAAGTGAAAAAAACGCATGAGTCAAGGGGAGGGAGGGGCGAAAGACTGGGGTTCAGAGTTCGGGCAAGCCGGAGGTTCGAGGAAAAGCGACACTTGAGCGCGAAATTTTAAGTCACGTTTGGAGCTCTATATCGCCTCCAAAGGCAGCCACTCTGAAGCCGGCTTGACATCTTATCAATAATCCTCTATGTTACTGATATCCATCGTTAGTTTTGCTAAATTTTGTTTGATATATAAAATGAAGCAATAAAAATAACATGCATTTTTTGGGACACCCTGTATTTTACAAAAAATAAATACTAAAAAACGGTTAAAAAATGGCCATAAAGAGTCGAAAAAATCGCGAAAAAGAACCTCCAAAACGCTTTTTTATGCCTTTCTGACAATTTTCATATCAAATCACCACATAATTCAACCTATTTTGACTATGTTTCGACTTCATCATGTACAGTACCGTATATATTTAGAAACCGAAACAACTTTAAAACCTGTCAGAAACATCATTTTAATCCCAATTCTTAGTTTCGAATTCTCATTTCACATAATTTACAATATTAAACACGTGCTTCCCACATTGTACTGTAAAACCTGTTTTAACTTCAAAAATTGTATGTATTTTCTATAAAAAATATTTCAAACTCTGCAAAACCGAATAATTTGGGCTTTTGCTCTCGTCCCAATCAGGCTACCGTAGCTGCATCTCTTTTTTTTCTAATCCAATTTGGCCATCAAGAAGAATGGCCAAGTCCAAAAAAAAAATTTTTTTATTTTCTTTATTTACACTGACAATGAATGCAGGATGTTTTTGCAACATTCTGCAGGTAAATAATTGCCCCTGAGGCTCTGAAGGAAAGGAAAATACCAAAAATTTAATTTTTAATTTTTTTTTTTAAATATTTTTTTGATAGTAGACCTGATTCTGTGTCAAACATGTAATATTTCCACAAAAAATCAATTTTTTTGGCTCAAAACTGGCAGAGATATGGCCAAAAAACATTTTTTCTCTGACCGTCTCTCCACATTTTCCATACTCTCTCGTCAAAAGCCCCTTTGAATATCTCGGCTCCCTCTGAAAAGCATGAGCTAAAATTTTCTGGAATTGATTCTTAAAACATACAGAATACGTATGCAAAATTTGAAGCAAATGTGACAAGGAAATTGCTCAAAGTGCGACGACAGATTTTTAGGCAAAAAGTTGGCAAAATTTTTTCAATTTTATGTGAATTTTGGCACGAAAAGTTTTACACATTTTTCTAATGTAGAGGGTAATATTTCCACAAAAAATCAATTTTTCCGGCTCAAAACTACCAGTGATATGGCCAAAAAACATTTTTTCTCCGACCGTCTCTCCACATTTTCCATACTCTCTCGGCCGTTGAATATCTCGGCTCTCTCTGAAAAGCATGAGCTAAGATTTTCTGGAATTGATTATTGGTCCATATACTAGTCCTTCCGTAAAGTCGCTGGAATGATTTCGGCGACGCGCACTGTGCAAGAAAACTCAGGGTGCGAGCGACGTCCCAAAAAGCTCATTGCACTGTGCAAAAAGCCAAAAATTGCACAGTGCAAAGTGAACTTTCGGTTTCGCGGGGTGCATGTCGCCGAAAACATTCCAGCGACTTTACGGACGGACTAGTAGAACATGTGAGCAAAATTTGAAGAAAATCCGAGCACTGTAACTTGAGATATCTCTCTTTCAATCTACAGTATCCCCAAAATTCGAAAAGCTTGCGTTAAAATTTCTCTCGTTGAAAAGCATGAGCCAAAATTTTCTGCAAATGATTTTCACTTCATACAGAAGACGTACACAAAATTTGAAGTAAATCCGACCTTCGTACCTCGAGTTCTAGTCTTACAAAACATACGACCTCCCCAGCGAAATTTGTAAAACTCCTACCGCTGTTTGTTCGCGAAACCCGCCCGAATGCACGCACAAATTCGTCTCGAATAACAAGTTTTTGACACTCCCAATTAATGTATGTACACATAACATCGACCCGCTTTCTCAATGCGTCCATAATAACAGAGATTCCTACAATTCGGATTGTTTTTCGTTTCAAAATTGCGCTCCGAACGGGATGAGGTCAAACTTTCGGGGGATACGGTAGGTTGAAACGCGAATTTCGAGAGTTACAGCGCTCGGATTTGCATCAAATTTGGCGTCCGTATTTCGTATGAAATGAAAATTATTTTCGGAAAATTTTAGCTCATGTTTTTCGACGAAGAAAATTTTAACGCGAGCTTTTCAAATTTTAGGGTTACTCTAGATTAAAAGAGAAATATCTCGAGTTACAGTGCTTGGATTGTCTTCAAATTTTGCATACATATTCTGTATGGACCAAGAATCAATTCCAGAAATTTTTAGCTCATGCTTTTCAGAGAGAGCCGAGATATTCAACGACCTTTTGACGAGAGAGTATGGAAAATGTGGAGAGACGGTCAGAGAAAAAATATTTTTTGGCCATATCTCTGCCAGTTTCGGGCCGGAAAAATTAATTTTTTGTAGAAATATTTCCTTCTGCATTAGAAACATGTGTAAATTTTTTCATGCCAAAAATCGCAAAAAAATTTGAAAAATTTTTGTCGACGACTTTTGGCCTAAAATCTCGGTTTTTTCGCCGAAAAAAGGTATAAATCCCGCCTACGTATCCTATATAGACAATGAATTTTTCCCAGAAAATTTTAGCTCATGCTTTTCAGAGGGAGCCGAGATATTCAACGGGCTTTTGGCGAGAGAGTATGGAAAGTGTGGAGAGACGGTCAGAGAAAAAACGTTTTTTGGCTGTATTTCAGCCAATTTTAAACCGGAAAAATTATAAAAAAACTTTTTTTTGCAAAAAAAAATAGTGCACCAAAAATTTTTAAGCCTTGAAAAGTCCGCCGCGACATCTCAACCTTCCCATTTTCATCCGAGATTATCCAAATACGTAGGCCCGAACAAGTAAAACAAACAACATCTCCCGACACTACACAGTGCCCAAATTCCAGCCATTTACATGAAATTTCGGCAATTGTTTTTTACATTTTTTGGGATCAACTTGAATAAAAATTCGTTTTTTCGGAGGCAAAACAAAATTTAGCACTTTTAGACGAAAAATTAATGTAAAGACAGGTGTTTAAAGTGTCTCAAGACACCCTCACGCGCTCTACGGATGCTGTAAACCCATTTTCGTTCAACATGGGACATGACATTTGGGAATTCAGACAAGTTACAGAGAAAAAATTGAATTTTTTTGGAAAAAAGTGGGTTTTTTGGGCTAAATCAATATAAAAATAGTGAAAAGGGGGCTTCAAAGAATTACAAAACCCTACAAAAGCCTTTACAGATATTTATTGAGGCTTCAGGAGACTTATGAAACATTGATTTGCCCAATACTATTAGAAATTTTCGATATTTTTCTCCCCTTTCCTCAAAATAACTACAACTCTAGGTCAAACTTCAAAATCTTGACCTTCAGACCATGAAACTTGCCTCCAATCCGCTTGCCCGCAAATTTTGGGACCCGCTTCTCCCTCCCTTACAATTTCCCCTATCTATTTTTTAGTTTTTTGGGACAGCCAAAGGCGACAAATTGGGCTGTTTACAACGGAAATCCAAGAAATGCCCGGCCACCACAGTCAATCCTGTCACATAAAAATTTCATGAGTTATTAAAGTCCACGGACTGCAATTTCCGTGACTTATTTTAGTCACACTATGCTCGCCCGCGTAGACGCGACATTTTATACGACAAAAATGTTTTGTCGTATAAAGTGTCAACAAGGGCATAAAATTTTAAAAATTATGTATGGAAAAGTATAAACAACCCCCAGCGAATGTACTTCTATTCATATTGGAAGTTTCCCCGGCTCTTCCACGATAGGAGACATTTTATACGACAAAAATGTTTTGTCGTATAAGATGTCAACAAGGGCATAAAATTAAAAAAAATTATGTATGGAAAAGTATAAACAACCCCCAGCGAATGTACTTCTATTCATATTAGAAGTTTCACAGGCTCCTAAAAGATGGGAGACATTTTATACGATACAAATATTTTATCGTATAAATTGTCAACAAGGGCGTAAAATTGAAAATTATGAATGAAAAATATAAACAACACCTATGGACTCTACTTTGATTCATATTAGAGGTTCTACCGGCTCTTCCACGATGGGAGACATTTTATACGACAAAAAGGTTTTTCGTATAAAATGTCCCCATAATAAAACCGAGAATGATCTAGTCAAAACATAAAAAACCCCCGACTTCTTCTACTATTTGCATAAACATTTTTCGATCAAGCGACATTTTATACGACAAAACATTTCCTTCGTATAAAATGTCGCCCTCGCCGATTTTCTCAAAACATTTCCACAACACCATAAATGGCTCAAAAACACTTACAATTCTTCCTGATACTCCAATACAGTCCAGTTCCGCTTCTTTTTGGCATCAACATTGGCGGTGGAGTGTACGGTGTTGTGCCCATTCCCAGCTGTGACTTGGTCGGTGGCACTCCGGCGATGGAATTCTTGTTCGATCGAAGGCCCGATGCGTGTTGCCAGAGGGATTGATTTTGTTTGACGACCGGCTTGGCGGGCGCTTCGCGTTTGAAAAACTCGGCGGCGCTGAGCGACTGGCTTCGCGTTTTCTCCGGTTTTTGCAAATTGGAGAGGGATTTGGCGTGGTACTGTAAAATCAAAATGATTTATAGGCCTTATGACGAAAGTTCATTGCGATTTCTCATCGAAATTCTGTCGAGAAGATAGGCTTTTTGACCAAAACACCTTTATATCTATTACCATATAAAATTATGCAAATTTGGCCGCTTTAATGCCGGAATGAAACTTATTCGCTACGCAATCCTTCTCTCCTAAATTTTCAAACAAAAAACTCTAATAAATATCAACCTACCAGTCCTTCCCGCCGATTTTCCTTCGATTTGTCCTCAAAAACTGCGAAACTGGTCTTCCTCCCAAACCCGGCCGGTTGTGGTTGGGGCGCTGGAGTTGGCGTGTCGAAATTGAAGTTTATACTGCGCTTTGGGTTTGGCTGTGTTGGATATTGCGAATGCCCATTGATATAGGCCGAATTTGGTGAGTGCGAGGAGTTTCTGAAAAAAATGTTTTTTGAAGGATTGTGAATAAATTTATTCTTTAAAACAATTTTTAGCCCTCGATATCTTCTCTACAACAAGGTGAAAGGATTATTTTGTTTTCAGAGACATTTTATACGATGAAATATGCTTTCGGAAATTTTTCGTATAAAATGTCGCCTTGGCGGGATCTTCAAACAAAAGGGAAAAACAGTTGTAATAAGTAATTTAAAGGTTAAAATACGTGGTTTTTAATGTTGCAGGTAAAAATTATGTTTTTTATTTCAAATTTCAAAAATTTTTTTTGAAATAACAAGTATATCTTGCCATCTAAAAACGCTCTAATACAATATTTGGACTCCAAAAGCTTCTCTAGACCAAGCTGAAAGCATGATTTAGCTTTCGGCGACTTTTTATACGATGAAATGTGCTTTCGGAAATCTTTCGTATAAAATGTCGCCTTGGCGGAAAATTTAAATTAAAAAAAGAAAAAAAGTTGTAATAAGTAATTTAGAAGGTAAAATACGCTGTATTAGAAATTTCATTTGAAAAAATCAAATTTTAATTTTTTTTAGCAGCTACATCTATACATGTTAATATACATCAAATCCACTTACAATCGCATATTCGGTGCCAACGAGCTCTTTCTCCACGGCTGTTCGTAATAATCAAACGAGCGGCTATCATTGTTGTTGTATCCCGGGAACTGTTGGAAGTAATTTGAGGGCGAAACACTAGCCGACTTCTTTTGCTGAGGCACACACAGCTCATCCTGATGACTTGTGTTGTAAGTGCAATCGGAGCGCGGAGCACTGGCGTTCGAATAGTAGGAGGACTGCGAGGAGGGATCGGGAGAAATGTAATTGCCCTAAAATTTGGGGAAATTTACTTTAGAAGTCAAAAATTGAGTGGAGACATTTTATACGAAAAAAATTTTTTTTGAGTATTTTGGAAAATTTTTTTTTTCATAGCTTCGTCTTGCTTTATTGAGTTTGATCTGGTGATAAAACACGATCTAAAACTCCAAAAAATAAAAGATAAAAATTTTTTCTTACTTGTCCATGGTTGCCTACATCAATATGCAGTTGGGTGGTCGGGTAGTTCCCGTACGCCCCATTCGCATTCTGGCCCGGACTATAGCCCTCTTGTGGGATATTATGGCTGTTCATGAGGTTCTGATTCATCTCGGTGCGCGGATAAGCCGGGTTCAGAGGGCGATTTCGAGGGGGCGAGGCACTGAAAATAAAAAAAATTTTAAAAAATTTTTTGAAAAAAAAAATATTTTTTTGCAATTTCAAGTGAAAAAATAAAGAAAAATGATCTATGCAAATTTTATAATTTAAAAAAAATAAAAAATAAAAAAAATTAAAAAATATTTTTTCGTATAAAATGTCTCCCAAAGCTTATATTGTTTCTTTTTTTGCTTTATCAAAAAAAATTAAAATAATTTATGCAAATTTTTAATTAAAAAATAAAAAAAAATAAAAAAATTTTCTATCTTATAAATTGTCTCCCATATCTGGTATTATTATACTTTTTTTTCACATCTTCAAAAAAAAATAATCAAAAATATTTTTTGTCGTATAAAATGGCACCCAAAACTTATATTATTATATACTTCAAAATAAATTGGTTTGGCCCCAAAAACAGATGGTCTTTGAGAGAGCGAGTCCATTTCGTTAATAAAAAAAAACACAGAAGGTTACAAGTTACGAAAGCCTTTGTTTTCGGGTATATAAAAGCGCCCGAAAAACAGTCGCCAGGCAAAGGCAGAGAAAAAATAATAATTGAATTGGACCGGCTGAACACCTTTTGCTATGAGAAGGGAGCAAGACATACTATATATATAGTCTTTATTATATATATTATGGAGAGACAAGAGGAGGGAAAATTACGAAAAAAATAAATAAAGAAATAAAAAAAACCCCGATTTTTGGGTCGAAATAAAAAAAACAAAAAAAAATTTTTTTCGTCAATAAAAATCACTTCTCTCCAAGCAAAATTCAAAACAATCCCTTCCATTTTTTTTCTCTACCGTCTCTCATTATTTTCTATAGTCTCTCACATCCCAAAATAAATCGTTGAATATCTCGGCTCTCATTTGAAGAAGTAAGCTAAAATTTTCAGGGAGTGATTATTGGCCTATTAAAACTATTTTGACAAAATTTTAACTAAATTCTAAAACAAAATTTTTTTTTCTTTTTGAAATTTTTTTTTATTGTTTTTTTTATTATTTTCTTTTTTCCAGCTGTAGGGACGCTATGATTTTTAAAAAAATATTTTTTGAGGTTATTCTACATATAACTAAAATTATTCCCCCTCAAAAATCGATTAGAGATCAAAAAACTTTTTTAATTTTGAAATTTTTTTTTATTTTTTTTTTATTATTTTCTTTTTTCCAGCTGTAGGGACGCTATGAAAAAAAAATTTGAGCTTATTCTACATATAGCTAAAATTATTCCCCCTCAAAAATCGATTAGAGATTAAAGAAATAAAGAAAAAGAGAATTTTTAAAAATTTTTTTATTATTTTCTTTTTTCCAGCTGTAGGGACGCTATGAAAAAAAAATTTGAGCTTATTCTACATATAGCTAAAATTATTCCCCCTCAAAAATCGATTAGAGATTAAAGAAATAAAGAAAAAGAGAATTTTTAAAAATTTTTTTATTATTTTCTTTTTTCCAGCTGTAGGGACGCTATGAAAAAAAATTTGAGCTTATTCTACATATAGCTAAAATTATTCCCCCTCAAAAATCGATTAGAGATTAAAGAAATAAAGAAAAAGAGAATTTTTAAAAATTTTTTTATTATTTTCTTTTTTCCAGCTGTAGGGACGCTATGAAAAAAAAATTTGAGCTTATTCTACATATAGCTAAAATTATTCCCCCTCAAAAATCGATTAGAGATTAAAGAAATAAAGAAAAAGAGAATTTTTAAAAATTTTTTTATTATTTTCTTTTTTCCAGCTGTAGGGACGCTATGAAAAAAAAATTTGAGCTTATTCTACATATAGCTAAAATTATTCCCCCTCAAAAATCGATTAGAGATTAAAGAAATAAAGAAAAAGAGAATTTTTTAAAATTTTTTTATTACTTTCTTTTTTCCAGCTGTAGGGACACTATGATTTTAAAAAAATATATCTTTGAGCTTATTTTACTAAAAAAATCGATTAGAGACCAAAAAAAATAAAAAAAAAAGAAATTTTTTTAAAAATTTTTTATTATTTTTTTCCAGTTTTATGGACGATATGATTTAAAAGAAAATTTTTGAGCTTATTTTACATATAGCTAAAGTTATTCCCCCTCAAAAGTCGATTAGAGATAAAAAATAAAAAAAAAAGAAAATTTTTTAAAATTTTTTTATTATTTCCTTTTTTCCAGCTGTATGGACGCTAATTTTACAAGGAAAGTACTTTTATGGGGGCTCCTACTTTTTGACGGGACATATCTCAAAAAATCAGAAAAAATGTGCTGATCAAGGATATATAAATCCTAGCTGCCCATTTTAGGTTTTTAGGGGTGAAAATGCCCAAAAACTGGCTTAATTTCCCTACAAAAGGCGCAGGCACTCGAAACGATAAAAAGCTCAGTCGGTTTCTTCCTTCGGAAGAGAGCGGTGTGGCCGAGTGGCTAGTGTCGCAGTCTGAGAATCAAGAGGGGAACGCCGCACGGGTTCGGTTTCCCTTTTGGACTGAATCAACTTTTTTTGATGTTGAAGGTCGGAAAAATAAATTTTTGTGCCAATACTGATTTATTACGTCTTAGAAACTCAATAAACATCATTTTAAGCCAAAATAAAAACTGTAAACCTGTGAAAAATCAAGCGAAAAGGGGTTCGTATAGGGCTTTAAGTCAACGATTGAGTTTTCACCCCTAAAAACCTAAAATGGGCAGCTAAGATTTATATATCCTTGATCACCACATTTTTTCTGATTTTTTGAGATATGTCCCGTCAAAAAGTAGGAGCCCCCATAAAAGTACTTTCCTTGTTAAAAAAATATATTTTTTGACCTTATTTTACATATAACTAAAACTATTCCCCCTCAAAAATCGATTAGAGACCAAAATTCCCCCTTTCCTAATTGTAACATGTCCATTCAACGAAAAAAACCCGACCATTTCTTTTGAAGGAATGAAAAAATTGCAAGCTGACGATTAGTAAAGTTGACTGCAAGTTAATTGTAGCATGGGTTTTGAAAACAACCCTTTTTCGGAATTAAAAAAAAAATTGGCTTTTTTTTATTTTATTTTTTTATTTTGGAATTCCGAAAAATTGCCGAAAATTATTAAAAAATGATTTAAATATTATTTTTATTTTTGAAATTCCAGGAAATTAAAAAAAAATTTTTATTTAAAAATTTCAATATTTTCTCTTCAATTTTTACGACTTCTACGCTGTTCTCTGCTCCAATTTTTTCAGATTTTCAGAAAATCGAATTAGGAATAAAAGAATTGGAAGAAAAGAAGAGTTTTTTTTACTAAATTTACAAGTACAAAATTTGTGCGCAACATTGATCATTGAAGACAGTGTAAAGAAAGTTTTGGAGGGAATTGTAGTCTCTAATTGGAATAATGGAAGCGAAAAAATGGGAGCGAAAAATAGAAATTCGAAAAAATGGAGAGGTCAAGCGAAAATATTTTTTTAAAATAAAAAAAAAAATAAAAAATAAATAAAAAATAATTAAAAAAAAAATTTTTAAATAGTGACAAATATAGATAATATTTTTTTTTTCAAGACACATCTAACACTTTAAGATAGCTTTTTCATAAAAATGAATGAGAATTTTACGCCAGAAAATAAAAAAAATTCAAATTTTTCTTGATTTTTAAAAAAAAATAAATGTTTCATGCCAAAGAAATATCGTAAAAAATTCAGCAAAAAATACACTGTTTTTACATGCTTTTTTAAGCGAACTTTGCAAAAAATAATTAAAATTTTTAATTTGAAAAATCTCAAATTTTTTTTTAGATAACGAAATTGGCATTCTGCCCTACACACCACCACCAATATTTCCACAAAAAATCACTTTTTCCCCAGGAAACCCGAGGCGAAACAGCCAAAAAAAGAATTTCTCCGGCTGTCTCTCCGCATTTTGCGTGCTCTCTCGGCGCCAAAGATCGCTGAATATCTCGGTTCTCCTTGTAAATGATGAGCTGAAATTTTCAGCAATTGCTACTTGATCTATGCAGATTTCTTGGCCAAAATTTTAACAAAATCGGAGCTATAATTTTTGAGCACTTCAGCTATAAAGTTATAAGAAAATTTTTCAAAAAATTAAAGGTCCAAGACCCCAACACGCCTTTCCTATCACTCTAAAGTCCAATCAATAAAAATCCTGTTTTTCTACAGTCTTTCCACCCGTCATCGTTGTAATCACCCTCCAAAAATGAATCGCAAAATCGAACCTATCAAAGGGGAAAGGGCAACAAAATAAATGGACGGCTCTAGTCGTTGTAAAATCGAAAAAATAAAGCAGGAAATTTCGACATACAAGACAAGATAAAAGGACAGTTTTACAAGAATTTTTTTTTCTGATATAGGTAAAATACGCGCCAAATACACTTTGACAAGAGCATGTTTGATCATATAAAATGTCACCGAATTATAGTAGAAATGCCAAAAAATTTAGAAATCAGTAATTTTTTACTTTTTTAACCATAAAATTACCAAAAATTGTGATTTTTCAAAAAACATATTTCATCGTATAAAATGTCACCGATTTTTCTGAAATTTGGATAGATCAAAAATTACAGTATTTCAAGGCTATGGTCGAAATATTTTGTCATAAGACTGAATATCCATCAAGATACGGCGATTTAAATAGCAAAAAATCTCAAAGACTATTAGACTTTTTATCAGAACACTTGAGCTTTTAAGCCAGATCAAATATTTCAACATACAAGACTAGATAAAAGGACAGCTTTACAAGAAATTTTTTTCTGCTATAGGTAAAATACGAGTCAAACTACTCTTCGGTAATTACATGATTGATCGTATAAAATGTCACCAAATTTTAGTAGAAATGCCAAGAACTTAGAAATCAATATTTTTTTGATTTTTGTAGCCATAAAGTTGCAAAAAATGCAGATTTAAAAATATATATATTTCATCGTATAAAATGTCTCCAATTCTTTCCAAACTTTGGTACATCGAAAACTACAGTATTTGAAGGCTATTGAACTCTTTATCACAAAATTTGACCTTTTAAAACCCTCCCAATCCCCGCTTTATACCCCAAACTTGAGCAAACTTGCACAGCGTTGGGCCGTTTGCCCAACTGCCTGCGGCAACGCTGTCCAAACGAGGCTTATTTTCGCGTGAAAATAAGTGGGTGGAAGTGTGATAAACAATATGAAATTGAAACAAACGCGAAGCGAAGAGCTTGCTTGGAATGCAAGGTCATGTTGTGCGGAGTGGAAGGGACATGTGCGATGGGGGGAATTGGGCTACAGCGATTTTTTGAGCGATTTTGAGCGAAATTTCGGGATTTTCTTGGGATTTGGGTGACAAATTGGCCAAAAAAGAAGTCGATTTTTTGATGACAAATAAAACCCTGGGTAAAATACGTCGTATAAAGCCCAAAAGTAACTATAATATATAACCGGTGGAGTACCCCAAGTGCGACGCTCAGATTTTGATGAAACTTGGCACAACTTTAGAATATTTTTTTCTAAAAAATATCCGAGAATCCTAGCTCGCGCTTTGCAGAAACAACCGAGATTTTCGGATCGAAAGTCGGCAAAAATTTGACACTTTTTGCCGAATTTTGGCACGAAAAGTTTCATGCCTATTTCTATCGTAAAGGGTAATGTTTCAACAAAAAATCAAATTTTTCCGCTCGAAACTGCCAAAGTTATGGCCAAAAAGCGGGTTTCTCTCTGACCGCTCTCCGCGTTTAGCGTGCTCTCTCGGCGGCAAAAATCGTTCGATATCTCGGTGGCTCTTGCATAGCGCGAGCTAAAACTTTCAGGAATTGATATTTAGTTCATACCCGACGTGTGTGCAAAATTTCAAAAAAATTCTGAGCGTTGCACTTGGGGTACTTCCTTTGTAAATTTTGCGATTTTTTTGTGATTTTCGAGATAAATTTGGCAAAAATAGGAAAATTTTTTGATAACAAATAAAATACTGGGTAAAATACGTCATATAGAACCCAAACTTGACTAAAATAAATCAGAATTTTTTGAAATTTTGAAGAAAAAACGGGATTTTTTTGATTTTTCCCCGGTTTTTCATGACTTTATCGATAAAAATGGTTAGAATCATAAGCAAAGAAGTGAGGATAATGTAAATCACGGTTTACCGAGTAAAATGAGTAAAATTTCAAGCCCTGATTTAGACGAAAAATGAGGTTTTTTGATACTTTTTAATTTTTTTTTGCAAAATTAATAAATTTTTTTGGCAAAAAGATAAGATTTTTGTAAAATACGGCTTTCGTATAAGTCAGTATTTCAGTATTTCTTTTTTTACCTTCAAAACTGCTAAATCCAAAAAAAATATTTGACAATTTTTGTCAAAAACCCAAATTTTCCCCCGAAAATACGCAGAAATCAAGCGTTCTCACCACAATAATCCAAAATTTTCAACTCCATTTCAACTCCATTCCGCTCCATAATACGTCATTAATCCGAAATTTTTACAATTCTCACACAATCCCGTCCAAATTAGCGCACGGAACCGCCTCGGGCAGTCTTCGTTGCCAAGACGGCCAAAGAAGCGGCCCCGAAAAGAATGCCCGTCAGACGTCGGCTATATAAAGCCGCTAATTAACAACCAAAGCCGTCCAGAACTGGATAAGAGACATTTTATACGAACGAAAAAGGTTTGCGTATAAAATGTCACCTTCGGATTTTTGGGGTTTTCGGAAAATTTTTTGAGTGGAAACTGTAGAGAGCGAAAATTTCAGGCCATAAAAAACGATATTACAGAACTGGGTAAGAGACATTTTATACGAAAAAAGGTTTGCGTATAAAATGTCACCTCCGAATACTTGGGGTTTTCAAAGTTTTTTAAGTGAAAAACTGTAGAGAGAGTAAAATTTAACACCATAAAAAATGATATTACAGAACTGGGTAAGAGACATTTTATACGAAAAAAGGTTTGCGTATAAAATGTCACCTTCGGATTTTTGGGGTTTTTAAGAAAATTTTTGAGTGGAAAACTGTAGAGAGAAAATTTAAGGCCATAAAAAGTTATATTACAGAACTGGGTAAGAGACATTTTATACGAACGAAATAGTTTTCCGTATAAAATGTCACCTTCGGATTTTTGGAGGTTTTAAGAAATTTTTTGAATGGAAAACTGCGGAGAGAGAAAATTTAGAGTTTAAAAAATGAAGTTACATGGAAACAATCCCAGATTCTTCGTATTTTACCCATTTTTCCCAAAAAAAATCTCAAATTTTGCCTTTTTTGTCATTTTTTCGATAAAAACTTTAAATTTTGAAATGTCTAAAGTAATATTCAGAGACTGTTCATACTCGAGATTACCGAAAACGGCCAATATACAAACTATTTTAGGGAATATTTGAAGAAATTTGAAAAAAATCATCAAAAACCGAGAAACGTCCGAATTTTTATATCTAAAACAATGTTTTTGATAGCCAAATGTAAAAGATTTCTTGTGGAATTCTTAGACAATATAGGAGACATGTTTTTACATTAATATCTGCTATACAGCTAGCAATTTTGAAAAAAAAATCGAAAAAATTCGAGAAAAAGTGGGATTTTTGAAAATTTTGATGTCTAAATCAATATTTTTGCCTGAAAACCACCCAAATTTTTATTGCGCAACATTTTTCCCACCATGACATTGCCTAATCATCTATTTATTTTGACTTTTATTGATAAAAATTTTCAAAAATTTTCAAATTTCCCCAAATTTTGGTGTCTAAAACAATGTTTTTGCCCTCGAAATGTCCCAAATCGCGGTTGAAGTGCGCGCCATAACTTGCTTTTATACAAAAATGTAAGTCGCGATTAGGAGGGCGGCCGAAAAACACACGCAATTGTAAAAATGAGCCGTAAAAGAATCGCAAAAAAGTGGGGAAATAAGTGGAGTGCAGGCCCTCCGGGGCTCTTCTGCCCTGAAGCGAACACACACGGCCCCCAACTTACTCCCCGCGTCGCTCTTTTCTCTTCGCTCCCGGCTTGCCCGCAGAGCACACGGAACGGCCCAAAAGTGTTTTTTTTTGTTTTTTTTTGAGAGAAAAATGGAGGAAGAACGTCATGCGGGGACGGTTCGAAACACTCCGAGTTACTGTGCTTTTGGAGGCCCCGGGACATGGGGGATTTGGGGAAATAAATTTTCCGGGCACGTGGCAGGAATTGAGACTTTTTTAGGCTTTCCGGAAAGTTAAAAAAATGATTTTTGACGTCTGCAATGTGCGAAAAAAGTCAGGGTGTTCAGGCACTAAAATTTTTTTTTTGATAGGTAAAATACGAGTTTTAACTCGTATTTAACCGGTATTTTTTTAACAAAACTTTTTTTGATCGTATAAAATATCACCCAGTTTTAGTGTGAATACCAAAAATTTCAAAACAAATAATTTTCTGAGTTTAGCCTGAAATGGTGATTTTTAAAAAAAAACACAATTCATGGTATAAAGTGTCTCCAATTTTCTTCAAATTTTGATAAATGGAAAACTACGGTATTTAAAGGCTGTGTTAGGAATATTTTGCCATAAAATTGAATATCCATCAAGATACGACGCTTAAAATTTCAAAAAATCCCAAAAACTATTAGACTTTTTATCGTAAAAAATGGAGCGTTTAAGCAAGATCAGATATGTCGACGTGCAAGACAATATGAAAGGTCAATTTTTACAAGAAAATTTTTTCGATAGGTAAAATACGAGTCTACAAAACGTTGCCAAATAAAATTTTCGATCGTATAAAATGTCACCGAATTTTAGTCAAAATACAAAAAATAAAAATAAATTTTGTTTCTTAATCATAAACCATAACGTGATTTAAAAAAACACATTTCATCATATAAAACGTCTCCAATTTTTTCACATTATTTTCCCGACAGACTGACAAACTTCTGGCATTTTTTCGACATGCAGTATAATACATATTTTGTCCTCGGCTTGCTTTCTTCGCCTCTAAACTTTTGCTGTTTTTAATCCCACACGGAATGCGACGCGTCTCGCGTTACAAACCTTTGGGATTTCGTTTCCTTTGACATTTACACCTTCCTCTTGCTTTTTCGCTTGGAACAAAAATTGTTTTCGGAGTCGAAAATTTCAACTATCCACACTATGTCGGGAAAATAATGTGGATTCGCTTTGAAATCGATTATAATCGCTCTGCGATGCCGGCCGAGGAGATTTGGCGTGCGACAGCGACGAGAAAAGACATTTGGCTGCGAAAAATCCACATTATTTTCCCGACAGACAAATATTTTTGACTATTAATGGTGTTTTCAGAAAGTTCGTGGACTTTTTGTCGCAAGTTTTTTGCACTGTGCATTTCAATTTTTTGCACCGTGCAACAGGTAAAACAGGGTCCTACAAAAGACCTGAAGGAAAGTGGAAGGCTATAACTTCCGGCAGAGGCGGCGCAGAGACTTCGTATTTGAAATATGTATTTTTAAAGGACATAAGTTTTTCTCGACGAAATAACAAGCTCTTAAAGTCCAAACTGAGGTCGCTACGACCTTCTGAAGTAGAGGCATCTGTACCCCGAAAACTAGGTCTTTTCAGTTGAAAATGATCGAGAAATTTCGGACTTTTTCGGTTGAAAATCACCAGGAAATGTCGGATTTTGGGGGGTTTCGATATGGGTGATGTTGAAAAAGAGGAGGAAAGTGCCAACGCTTGCAGTTTTTTCGACGTTTTCTTAAAGACTATATCAAGAAGTCTTTAAGGGTTTTCGGGGTACAGATGCCCCCTGTAAAAGACCAAAAATGTCCACGCACTTTATGAAAATACTACGTAGTAGCGAATTTTTGAAATTAAAAAAAAAATCTCAAAAAAATTTTTTTTTTTTTTTTTTTTTTTTTATTTTTCTATCATCTGACTTTCAGTTGAAAAACCCCAAAAAACATAAAATATTATGTAAAGCAAATCCAAAGATCATCTCATTAAAAGTCGGGAATTTTACAACAAACATAAGTGCATGTTTATTGGAAAACAAGTGGGAAAGGAGGAGAAAAAGACCAAGGAGGAGAGGCCGAGAACACGCCCTGAATTCAAGCGAATTTTTTTGGTGGAGCAGAGATCGGACATTGGCAAAAAAGCAAAAAAAATCTAAAAAAAGACCGAAAATTTGGACAAAATATGGCCATATCAGTCTGTCGGGGAAATAATGTGGATTTGTCGCAGAAAAATATTGCGCCTCAGTCGCTCTATCATTGTCTCAAAACGATGATAGGACGATTTTAAGGCACTGAGAATTCACATTATTTTCCCGACAGACTAACGAAGATTTTGAAAAATTTAGATTTTTTTTTGGAAATGGCCAAAAAAATATTTTTTTTTGTTTTTTCGAAGCACGTTCAGCAATCCTAGTGAAGCCTTTTGGCCCAAAAATTACCCGGCAACCCAATGGAGCTTATTAAAGTTTTTGGTTATTTTTTCGGCCGCGTTCGGCCTTCCCTAAAATTTGACGTAGAAGAAAAGTTTACTACAAAAAAAAGTCACAAAAAACATTTTAATTTTTTTGGCCTGAGGGCATGAAAACGGGATTTTTTGTTTTTTTTTTTGCGATTACTCAAATTTTTAGAGGGTATAATAATTAAATTAGGAGAAGCGATAAATACAAACATCTGATACAAAATTTTTCTAAGCAAATAATTTAATTAGCCACGAGAGAATATTTTTTTTTTTTTTGAAAAAATACATTTGATCGTATAAAACGTAACCCTCAAAAGAAGGAAAAATCGGCGAAATGAAATTATTAGAGATGTAATACGAATTAGAAATTAGCCAAAAATTTTTTTGAAAAAACACTTTTCATCGTATAAAATGTCACTTTCAAAAAAAATGACAAAGGCTGAGGAAAGAAATTTTCAAAGGTAAAATTCAAGTTACCATGATGAATAATGCAATTTTTTTAAAAACACTTTTCATCGTATAAAATGTCACTTTTAAAAAAAAAAGTTTTTCTGCACAGTGCAAACGCCAAAAATTGCTGCAGCAACGTTACAACGGACTAGTATTTCATCATACGGTTTTTTTTGACCAAAAAAAATACGGTATCCTTGCGTTGAGTTCAGAGCTCAAAAACCCGGCGCGTTTCAATTGTTTGACAAGCTTTTGGAGACGGAAGACGCTGAGAAAAAGGGAGAAAAATATGAATAATTAGCAGAATTTTTTGACATCTGTCTCTTTTTATGCCAATAGTAGTACTATCTGTCTGTCGGGAAAATAATGAGCACTCTGTCGCAAAAATCGCATCACAGTCCAAAAAATTAAATTTGTCGCGGTAAAATCAAATTTATTTTCACTTCAGCGACGCGATTCGCGCAGCGACATTGTGGCCATTATTTTCCCGACAGACTGAGATCAGCTTGTCGGGGAAATAATGTGGATTTTTTGCAGCAAAATGTCTCGACTTGTCGCAGTTTCGAACAGGGCTAGAAAGCGATGACGGCCAATTTTTAGGCCCGAAATTGTGCTCGTTATTTTCCCGACAGACTGATAGTACATCGACAAAAATTTAAATCTTATTGCACAGTGCAAAAATGAAATTTTCTTTTTTACAGTTCATGTCGCGAAAATTACCTAAACGACTTTACGAACGGGCCAGTAACATATATAAAAAAGTGTTTTTAAAAAAGATATTCACAATGACTTTTGTGTTATTACGCAAAGAAATCTTGTTCTGCTCTGCTCCCAACAAAATTGCTCAAACAGCGAAAACAGTGATGTAAACAGTGCAGTTACAAGTGTTCCAGCTAGGCAAATACAATATTCAGATAAAATATACAAAAACTGCTCATTTATAATGTTTCCCGAACTAAAAACCTTCACAGTTTCGATTAAAAATCAAACTTTTTTATAATTTTCCCCCAAAAAATCGCAAATTTCCAACTTTTTACAACCAAAAAAATTCCAAAATCCTGCTACATTCCCGCCCAAATCAACAGCACAAATAATCGCTTTGCAATTTGGGATTTGAACGACTTGTTTACTAACTGGGATTAGGAGAAAAATTAATTGTCGGGCCACAAATTTTAATTACAATTTTGCTATTTCCAGAGCGAATTTCGTGTCATGTGAATCACGAAAATATCCCGCCAATGGTAGATTTAAAAAACAAAAAAATTGGAAGAAAATGAAACTTGTTACAACGGGATTTTTAAAGAAGATTATGAGGCAAATTCAAGTTGTCAGCAAACAAAAAAAAGATCGCTTATTGTGAAAAACTAAGGCAGTCTAAAAGATCAACATGCTCAAGGAGGTGTTCAATGAACGTTCGGGACGCCTATTATCAGACAGTAATATACGGCTTTTGGCTCCGGCTCTGAGCGGCTCCGGCTCAGTAGGGCCAGGCGCCAAAGACTGTCACGACGTAGCTATGAATCGTGGTGTAAGATGGCCCTTAACTTGCCCGCTACTACTAGTATTCACTACCTAACCCGGAGACGCAAACTAGAGGACTCTGGCAATAAACTGTGAACCCACGATATTGACTCCAGACGATGTGACCATAGACAAATCAATAGACAAATAGTAAATATAGTAGACTTTATTGGCCGCAACACAACCGGGATACACAGACAAAAATAATACTCTCATAATTGGCGATTTCTCTTCCTTTTATACCAATTTGTCGGTCATTCCGTGGGAATATGCAAATTCGCACGCGAAGTCGTGACATTCTGCATGTACACACATCAACAATATGAAGATAAAAGTTACGGATCTTCAGAAAATTTTGGTCTTTCATATGTCACAGTAACTCAGGATAAAACAGCTAACGTAAGTAATAGATAAAATTAGAAAAAGTGGTAATATTGAAAGTCTTCGCCAAGTCTCCGCCGGGCGTTCGCCGAGCGTCCGCCGACTATCCAACGGCTTTGCCAAGCCTTGTAGGCACTTCCTACAACCTTTTTTTTTGGTACCCACTCATTCTACACCCCGTATTGATCGGTTTTGCGTTAACGCGAATTGTCTTTACCCCGAATGTCGGGACGGCTGGGATTGCAAAGCGGGGAGGGCTGAACGTGCCACTTTTTTAAAAATCTCAAATAAAATGAAAATAAATCCAAAAAACCCTGATTTTTTTCTGTAAATCGCAGAGTTAAAATCTAAAACATGCGGTAAAAAAAGTTATTATATTTTACATGTCCACTATAAAAAATTTTTTTTTTATTTTCAAACCCTTATGACCCCCTTCCTCAATTAACGTAAGTATAATATAAAAACAACCCGAAAGCCCTTTGGCCCCTGATAAACACGGGGTTGAGTCAACGTTTCGCTATAAAAATAGCTCAATTAAATTTTTGGGATAAACAGAAAGTCGCAAAAACAAAAAAGAGCGCCCGATGTTATCAGGAACGGAGAAAAAGCGGAGAGAAAATTGTAAACAGCGGAATTGGAGACTGTTCCCGACCCCAAACTCTTTTTTCTTTGTTTCGAAAAATAATCGAAACAGAAGTAAAAGTGAGATTATCCAAAAAAATAAAAAATAATTGGGTTTGAGGGAAAATTTTGAGGAGAATTTAGATTTATTGGGATAGGAAATAGGTAATAAAAATAGAATTTTTAATAAAAATGAATAATAATTTTTTTTTATTTTTGCTCAAATAAAATTAAAAGAAAATAAATAAAGATTTTTTTTTTTTTATTTTTTTGAAAAAAAAATAAAAATAATAAGATTTTAAATGAAAAATATATTCAATTATTTTTTTTTAATTTTCGCAAAAAAGAAATACTCGTAAAAAATGAAAAAATTTTTAATCTTCAAATTTTGGATTTGGCCTAAAAAATAATAAAATTCAAAATTAAAGAAATTGAATAAATTTTTTTTTAATTCTTGCAAAAAAACAAACACAAAATTTTTTTTTATTTTTGGATTTAAAAATTTTTTTTTTTGAATAATTTGTTATAAAACCATTTTTTAATCAAAAAATTTGACCTAAAAAATAAAAATTATTTAAAAAAAAATTATTTTATTTTTAAAAAATAATTTTTCACAAAAAACAGAATTCAAAAAAAAATATGTAAATTTTTTACCTCATAACCCCAAAATTCCTCTTTTTTTAACTCCGCATTTTTATACGTTGTTGTCAAAAAAAGAAGGGATACAAAATCAAAGTCTCTCCAATTTTTTTGGTAAATACAAAGGGCAAATTGGTAAATAAATATTGTAATATGCCAAAACTTTGCATTTTTAGACTGTAAACAAACGATTAGTTCAAACGGTCCAAAATTCAAAGTAAAAAGTCATTTTTTGCAAACAAAAATAAATAAAAAATCCAAAAAAAGCGTCTCAAAAAAGCAAAAGCGATAAAAAACGAGCTACTTACTCTTCCAGCGGCTTGTAATCACTAGTATTTCCAGCATTTTGCCCTTGGATTGGGCCATTTTGCGATTCCATTGGCCCATTTTTCGTGGCCACACTGTTCTTCCGATAAATTGCCGCAGGGTTTGGCGTTGGACTGGCATTCTGGAACGGCTGAAATTAAAGCCAGCGGTCATTTTGACCCTATTTATGACCATTAGACCATTCTTGTCTAGTGTAATATAAAGAACCTAATTTTTTGGAAATGTTTCTTCGTATAAAATGTCGTCTTCGCCGTCAATGGAAGAATATTTAAAATCAAAGAAAATTTTATCCGTATTTTACCCCATTATATGGCTTAGGCATCTATTTCCCGCAAACATTACTATCGGACATAATTTATCGTATAAAATGTCACCATTGATAATAATGATTAAAAAACCTTTCAAGCTAATTTCTAGTCTTTTTCTACAGCAATAGGTCCCTAAATAAACCTTATACTCGATCAGGAGACGTTTTATTCGATTAAACATATTAAATCGTGTAAAATGTCGCTGTTTACACCAATTATCGATAAATTCAGTCTATGATCATTTATAAGCCCTTTCAAAGCACTAAATACTCAAATAACCGTTTTGCTAGCACAAGCGACATGTTATACGATCAAACACCTTACATCATATAAAATGTCGCCTTTTGCATCAATCACAGTAAAACCTCTGTCTACGATCGTTTATAATCCCTCCGAATAGCACTCAATACCAAAAACCCGTTATGCTTGCCTAAACGACATGTTATACGATCAAACATGTTTCATTGTATAAAATGTCGCATTATCTCCTAAACTTAAAAATTAAACTCAAAGCAACTTACAACACTCTGTTGTGGCTCCATTTGTCCGGGCGAGCAATTCTGGCAATAAGGTGAGTCCTGTTTTCCAGCCGCCTGCGGGCTTTTCCGTTGTTGCTGCGGGCTGTAGATCTTCTGATTCTGCGGCGAACTCTGCTGCTGAATTCGGGCAGGCAAATTGGGCGGGGGTGGCATGCTTGCAGCATCCGCGTGCTGTTGGTAGTTTGGGTAGAGCGAGTTTTGCGAGAATTTGTCGGGACTTTCCGGGGGCTGGGTATTGTTCATGTTGCTCATGGCACTGATATTGGGACTCAGCGTTCGTTGTTGGCTCTGTTGTATAGTTAAGCCCATGCTGCTTGCACTGGCTTGTTGCTGAGTGGGTACTGGCATATTTGAGGCGGGAGAGGACAATTGGGTGGTGTTTGGGCTGTGGGAAAGATGAGGGGCCGGCCCGGGGGTCAGCGTTGACAGGCCTTGGATATTAGGGCTTCTAGCCGAGTTGATGTTGGGCTGACCTTGCATTTTTGGGCTGGACGTTGCTATAGGACTACTGTAGTTTGGATTGGACATAGCTTTGGCTTGTGGGCTACTGAAAGCATTCGAAAGTCCGCTCGATGGATTACTGTAGCTAGAGGGCCCTGTTGACGGATTTGGTGGGCTATTGTAGTTTGAAGAGCCTGACGACGGGTTACTGTAGTTGGCAGAACCTGATGAAGCATTACTGTGACCCGATGGGTTTTGCTTACCGTAGTTGGAAGGTCCATTAGACGGGCTACTGTAGCTACTACCGGCCGGATTTTGACTATTATAGCCCGAATTAATTTGAGTGTGGCTTGCTGGACCTCCAGCGGGATTATTGTAGCTTCTGGATGCCGCTGATGGGTTACTGTAGCCCTGGTTTGAACCTTGACTACTGAAGCTTTGAGGGTTGCCGGAGGCAACGTAGCCCTGATTCTGTGGGGTTGGCATACTGTAGCTTTGGTTTTGACTGTAGCTGGGATTAGGTTGTCCATGGTTACTGTAGGTTGAAGCTGACTGATTCAGGTTACTGTAGCTCGATGATTGTTGCGCAGGGTTACTGTAGCTTGAATTCTGGGCTTGTGGATTACTGTAGCTTGCATTCTGAGCTTGTGGGTTACTGTAACTTGCATTCTGGGCTTGTGAGTTACTGTAGCTTGAATTCTGACTTTGTGGGTTACTGTAGCCTCCGGTTACCCCCGAATTTTGCACATTAAACCCTCCAGGACCCATGATCGTACTGTTCTTCCGCTGTATCATCTCCATCTGCGAGCGTTTTCGCAGCTCCTCGCCCGGCGCCACCACACTACTGCACTTCCTCATCGCCATCATGTCATTGTTCGGCCCAACTACTGTACTGCATTTCCGTGGGTTGCTCATCGCCGGAGCAACCACTGTACTACATTTTCGCATCGGATGATCGCCTCCGGCCATAATTGTTGAGCATTTCCGCACCGGCTGATCCGACATTGAGGAAGATGCTGGCCCGCAATACATCGGATCTGAAATGAGATTTTTTGAAAAAAAAAATTGCAAAAAAATGTCAAAAAGTAATTTTTGATGGTAAATGTAAATTAAACGAGGGGAAATTGTAGAGTAAGCCGTGAAAAAGCTACATCACAAGACTCAAGAGGCTTCTCTTCAATGGAAATGCTATAAACATCTTTATGAAAGATATTATATATCAAGATGTTGTCGAAAAATTTTTGTTAAGATATAAATTGCACATACTACGCTTGTTTCGAAAGTGCGTCGACATTTTGCACACATCAGTCTCAAAAATTTTGTGTAAACAAGATTTTTGAGACCTTTTTTGAAGCAATAAATCCAAGACGCGACGAATTCATATTTTCTTCATTTATGCCATGTTTCATCAAATTCTGAGGTGGTGACATTTTATACGATAAAACGTTTCTATCAAAATTTTTTTTTTCGGTTTTCCTGAATGCTCATTATTTTCCGACAGACTAGTAAGCATAAGTTGCGACAACTTACCGGTCTGTCGGGAAAATAACAAGCATTCAGCAAAATCTAAAAAAAAAATTTCTTTTGATAGAAATGTTTCATCGTATAAACTGTCACCATCTCAGAATTTGATGAAACTTGGCATAAATGAAGATAAAAAAATATGAATTGTGTCGCGACAAAATCAAATTGCGACTTGATTGGCGCAGCAACATTGTGCCCAATATTTTCCCGACAAACTGATAAACATCGCGCAATGACAACATAAACCCTCTAAATCCCCAAAACCACAGAAAATTCCCATTTTAACTGTTAACTTTCCTCAAAGAATTACGAAAATGTAATTTTGAGGCCTTTCAAATGCGATTAAAGCTATAATACAATTTCCAAGCAGTAACGTGCGAAACTAAGAAGGATACACGAAAAAATTTTGTTTCTAAAGTGCAATTCATATACAATTTGATATGAGTTTTGTTGGAAACAAGATGTTTTGGGGGGCTTTGGGAATGAAAGTTGAATTGAAAGAGATTTTTTTAAGTCGACGTTGGAAAAAATGTAAAACTTTTTTTTCGAATTTTGGCCTCAAAAGTTTCACACCTATTTCTACCATAGAGGTTACTGTTTCCACAAGAAATCAATTTTTACCTCGCGAAACTGGCAAAGATATGGCCAAAAAAGTGTTTTTTCTCTGACCGCTCTCCGCATTTTCCATACTCTCTCGCCATCTTATACGATGAAACATGGTTGGAAACGTTTTATCATATAAAATAACTCTCTCCGCGGCAATGAGCGTTGAATATCTCGGTTGCGCCAACAAAGGGCAAGCTAAAATTTTCACAAGGTGTGATGTGGCCTCACACCTTGTGAATCTTTGAATAATAAATATTTTATACGATAAAACGTTTCCAAACATGTTTCATCGTATAAAACGGCATCTTCTTCAAATTTTGTGCAAATAGTGCAAATGTGGTTGTAATCAATTTCTGTTGATTTTAGCTCGCTCACTCTATGCGCAGCCGAGATATTCAACGATATTTTTGGCGAGAGAGTATGGAAAATGCGGAGAGACGGCCAGAGAAGAAAACACTTTTTGACCATATCTTTGTCAGTTTCGTGCGAAAAAAAGTGATTTTTTGTAGAAACATTACCCTCTACGGTAGAAACAATCCCAATACTTTTTATGTCATAATTTTCGAAAAAAATGTCATATTTTAACAAACTTTCGAGTTAAAAATCTCGGTTATTTCTGCAAAATGCAAGCTAGAATTTTCGCATAATTCTTGCAAAAAAATTAGCCTAAATTTGTGCCAATTTTCATCAAAATCTGCGCTTCGCACATTGAACACATCTCTTCCAAATTTATGCCAATTTCAGTTAAAATGCATATACTTATATGGCACTTAATCCCACCTAAATTTGCTTTCTAACAACCGATTTTTTCCGCGAAATCCCCCTTCTCTACTTACTGTTTGTGTCGCCTGCGAACCCCTCAATGTTTTGGCCGTAATTTGACGGGTTGTTTTGCCCGTTGTAGCCATGCGGATAGTAGGTGTTGTGGTTGTAATCCGTGGTGGGGAAGTTCCGATTGTCCTGGTTCATTCTCGGCTAATCTGGAACGAACAGTGTGTGTGTGAATGTACGAGGCCGAAATACGATGACATTTCCGTTTCGAGGCCGGAAACGGCGGATAATCTCGGCGATTCGCCCGAAATACATTGGGTTTCTGGTTTTTGAGAGGCAATACTTCCTCGGGATCGTGTGAAATATGTAAAATACAGTGTTAATTTGAATGAGAGAAGTTTTTGGCGAAAAAATCTCGAAAAAAAATTTTTTTTTGATGGAAAATTTTCATCGTATAAAATGTCACCTCCTCAGAATTTGATGAAATTTGGCATAAATAAAGACTACAAGTTTATAAAACATATAAAAAAATTTTAGCTCGAATTTTATTAAAACGACCGAGATTTTTTGGTCGAATGTTGGAAAAACGAAGACTGTCCAAGTGGGACGCACAAAAACCAGAATTTCCTCAAATTTTGCGCACATATCCGACATAGACCACATATCAATCCCTGAAAATTTTAGCTCACGATTTACAGTGAGAGCCGAGATATTCAACGATCTTTGCGGCCGAGAGAGTACGCGAAATGCGGAGAGCGGTCAGAGAAAAACCACTTTTTGGCCATATCTTTGCCAGTTTCGTGAGGAAAAAATTGATTTCTCGTGGAAACATTACACTCTATGGTAGAAATAAGTACGAACTTTTTGATGGCGAAATTCGCAAAAAAATGTCATTTTTTCCAACTTTTGATCTAAAAATCTCGGTCGTTTCTGCAAAACGCGAGCTAAAAATGTCTCATATATCTTATAAAAGATTACTGTAAATATATGCCAAGTTCCATCGAGATCTGAGCCTCTCACCTTAGGCATTTCCTTAATTTTTATTTCATATTTTTAGCTCCGAAATTTTTCAATTTTTTAAAAAATTCAAAAAAAAAATCAAAAATAACTTACTTTAGGAAAATAAATTACAAGGGTAATCTCAAATATCGGCGTGCTTTCCACCTTTTCTCTTACACACGCATTTCCCCGAAAGAGAAAAGAATCTGAAAGTAATTGTTGGAATACACTGTGAATAAATGCTTTATAAAATACATAAATAATGCATCGCGACATACAAATTACACGTGTTTCGAGGAACAAATTCTAAAGGGCAACAGAGGAGAAATCAGGAACCATAAAATATAAGTCTGTCGGGAAAATAATGAGCACAATGCCGCTGAAATAACTTTTTTTCTATTGTAAAGGGTAATGTTTCCACAGAAAATCAATTTTTTTCCGCGCAAAACCGGCAAAGATACGGCCAAAAAGTGTTTTCTCTCTGGCCGTCTCTCCGCATTTCCCCTACTCTCTCGCCAAAAAGATCCTTGAATATCTCGGCTGCCCTTACAGAGAGCGAGCTAAAATCAACAGAAATTGATTACAACCACATTTGCACTATTTGTACAAAATTTGAAGAAGATGCCATTTTATACGATGAAACATGTTTGGAAACGTTTTATCGTATAAAATGTTATTCAACGATCTTTCGGAGAGAGTTCACGAAATGAGAAATGCTTAGTCAGAGAGAAGAACACTTTCTGGCCATATCTTTTCCGATATTTCTGCACAGTGCAAACGCCAGAGATCACTTTGAACTAACAGGGGAAGTACTCCAAGTGCGACGCTCAGATTTTTATGAATCTTGGCACAAATTTAGAATAATTTTTTCTAAGATATATGCGTGAATTCTAGCTCGCGTTTTGCAGAAACAACCGAGATTTTTAGATCGAAAGTCGGCCAAAATTTAGGACTTTTTGCCGAATTTCGGCACGAAAAGTTTCATGCCTATTTCTACCGTTGAGGATAATATTTCTACAAAAAATCAAATTTTTCCGCACGAAACTGCCAAAGTTATGGCCAAAAAGCGTTTTTCTCTCTGACCGCTCTCCACGTTTAGCGTGCTCTCTCGGCGGCAAAAATCGTTCGATATCTCGGCGGCGCCCGCAAAACGCGAGCTGAAACTTTGAGAAATTGATATTTAGTCCACACCCGACGTGTGTGCAAAATTTAAAAAAAATCTGAGCGTCGCACTTGGAGTGCTTCCCCTGTAAATTCGGCGATATGCACTGTGCGAAAAAAAGGTTTGTCTTGCACAGTGCAATTTTCGACTTTTCGCACCGTGCAAACTGGGCTGTCGCTCGCAGACTGCCTTGTCCTGCACAGTGCAAGCTCCAGAAATCACTTCACTTTGGACGGACTTCGGCGACATGCACTGTGCAAAAAAAAAGTTCGCTTTGCACTGTGCAATTTCTTGATTTTTGCACGGTGCAAACGGCTTTTTGGGCTGTCGCTTGCACCCTGCCTCTTTCTGCACAGTGCAAACGCCAAGAATCACTCCGGCGACATGCACGGTGCAATCTCTTGGCTTTTGCACAGTGCAAACGGCTTTTTGGTCTGTCGCTCGCAGACTGCCTTGTTCTGCACAGTGCAAACGCGAAAGATCAGGTTGGACTGAAAAAGCGACATGCACTGTGCGAAAACAAAATTTTCCTTTGCACTGTGCAATTTCTTGCCTTTTGCACCGTGCAATAGGCTTTTCTTGGCTGTCGCTCGCACCCTAGCTTTTTCTGCACAGTGCAAACGCCAAAACTCACTTTTCACCGACTTCAGCGACACGCACTGTGCGAAAACAAAATTTTCCTTTGCACCGTGCAATACGCTTTTTTTTGTGTTTTTTGCACAGTGCAAATGCTAAAGATCACTTCGAAGACTAGTACCAAAAATAGCAAAGATAAAAGTGCACTGAATGATGTATAAAAGTCAACAAACGTTGAATGTAGAACACATCCATGGCGGTCACGAGAAGCCTTGGGGAGGTAAGATAAAAGTGGAAAAGATTAGAGACTCTCATTCAGCGGGCGCCCCGGATTTGAGGCCCCCCTGGATTAGAGGGCCCTCCGGGCATAGCTAGTGTTCGACACGAATATTATTAAGATGTATTGGCAACTTATTAAATAGTAATTGCTTTCGATTAACTTTGAATTTTTTATTATTATGTATTATACTTCCAAAGGGATGTGTCATTATTGCGACGCTCAGATTTTCTTCAAATTTTGCACATATCTTGAGTATAGACCACATATCACTCTCTGAAAATTTAAACTGGGATTTTGCAGGGGCCCTGAGAGATATTGAGCGATCTTTGTCAACGAGAGAGCGCGCAATATGCGGAGAGCGGTCAGAAAAAAATGTTTTTTAGCTGTATTGTTGCCAGTCTCGCGCGGAAAAAATAACTTTTTGTGAAAACGTTAAGCTGACTTATCAGTCTGTCGGAAAAATAATGAGCGCATTGTCGCTGCGCTGATCACGTCGCTGAAATGAAAAGCAATTTAATTTTGCTGCGAAATGTCGCGACGGAAAATTCATTTTCTCTCAGCCCGGCGACTTTCTAGGGCTATACCCGGAAATGTAAAATTTAAAGAAAATGTGAGGGTTGGGAAACTTTGTCAACGATTTTTAATCCTTCTGAGGCTTGAAAACAAAAGACAATGTAAAGTAGTGTAGCAGAGACAAGTACAAATTCGCGGCACTACATATTTAGGGACCTTTGGGTACTTGAAATTGATGCTGATTGCATTTTTGGAGGAGAAACGAGAAAAAAAACTTGTTACAAAAGAGAAAAATATTATCAATTATTTTTTTGAAAATTTTAGCTCACGCTTTGCAAGGGCATCCGAGTTATCCAACGATCTTTGCGGCCGAGAGATTACGCGAAACGCGGAGGGCGGTCAGACAGAAAAACACTTTTACTTTTTCGTGCCGAAATTCGGCAAAAATGTCAAATTTTGGCCAATTTTTGGATCTAAAAATCTCGGTTGTTTCTGCAAAGCGCGAGCTAGGATTCTCGCATATATTTTAGAAAAAATATTCTAAATTTGCAAAAAGTTTCATCAAAATCTGAGCGTCGCACTTGGAGTACTTCCCCTGTAAGCTGCTTTTATCAAGTTTTTTTTGAAAGATGTGGGTTTGTCGCAGCAAAAAAGCCGTCGCGAAAAGACGACGCTACCAGTGAAAAGTGTGACTTAAAACTGTCAGTGCTCGATATGTGGCCTATACCTCGAAATGCAAAAATTAGAGAATGTGGGGATCGGGAAACTTTGCTTGCCAACGATTTTTAATCTTTCAGAAATTTGAAAACACAAGACATTGTAAGATAATGTAGCAGATGCAACTGCAAACTTGCGACACCACATATTTAGGGATGTTCGAGTGGTTGAAAAAAGGGAAAACTGGTGACAAATCAGTGAAAGTTTTTTAGGCCTTTCTACGGACTTTATGGACTACTTGTCGTTTCATAAAGTGCACAGACTTTAAATTTGTCCCCAGTTTCATCAAAATCTGAGCGTCGCACTTGCAGTTCTTCCCCTGTAAGCCCAAAATTTTGCACAAAAATTTTTCACATCATCCTACTCATCTTTAACCACCAAATTATCTATTCACTTCCTGGTGAGCAGGCTAAAACTTGTCAAAACTTCATTATCTTACACTACAATGCAGCATTCAACCCCTACTTCTGGCCAATTTACCCTCAACAGTTGGATGACTACAATATAAAACAATTTCTAATGAGGCTATTACAGAGAAGAACGTTGTAAAATGTGGAAAAAAGATAGTAAAAGCCGGTATTTTACATTTTTGTACCAAAAATAGATACGAAAAAAATGACTTTTGAACTGAAAACGACGTAGAATGGCGGGTGTGGAAAACAAATTATGCAAATTGGAAGGCCTATAAACATACCACGCACTTCAGAAATGGGTTCAATTAGAAAAACGGAAAAAAATTCAAAAAAAATTTTTTCGTATAAAATGTCACCTTGGGAAAAAACGAAAAAAATATGAAATTTAGCCTGCCTTTGCATTTTTTTTTGAATTTTTGATGTGAAAATATGTTAAAATTTCTAAGATACGCAAGTAAAAAAATCAAAAAATCCCGTTTTTCAAAAATTTTGAAACACCGTAAAAACTTTTGCCCCGTATTTTACAACAAATTCAGAG